GTGTGGTAGTGTTGGGAGGAGGGCCCCAATGGGAAGTATTTAGGGTTACTGCCACTGTGAAAAGGGGACGGGGGAGTTAGTTCTCTCTCCTGTTCTTCCACACTAGATACCAAACCTGCTGACTCCTTGATCTTGGACTTCCATCCTGCAGACCTTTGAGAAATAAATTTCTGACCTTGATAAATTATCCAGTCTCAGATATTTTGTCCTAGCTTATGAATGAGGAAATCAACATTAGGCATTTTAACCAAATCACATTATTAGCAAGTGGTAGTGCCCTAATTTAAACTCTGCTTTCCTGACCACTTAAGGTGACTCCTTAACCTCATGAAAGGGTATGTTACAAGTATTGAGCAGCTGCTCTTTAGAGGGAGAAAAGCCCTGGTTTGTAACATTTGCTGACTTATACAATACTCATCACCACTAATCAAGTTGCCAATGAAATGTCACCAAACACAGAGCTGGGAAGACATGTGAAGCAATGGATTACTATGTGGGATTTCCACCAAACCATACAGTGGATGTAAAGAACCTCAGAGCACAGGTAATAGTAAAACAATTAGGAAGTGATGAGTCTTGAATAACCTCCAGCTTTAATAAAATTCATTAAGTGTAGTTTAACTTTTAATAATGACTTTTAACAATCAGCTCTCAACCCTCTACCCTGTGAGAATTTAACGATCAGCTCTTGTGAACCAGTGTGAACTAGCTCCAGCGCCCACTGTCTCACACTTCCTGTGTGTGCAGAATAAAGATATGATCTGTTTTTTTCTCTGATATATCTTTGGCACCTAGAATAATGCCCAAAATATTGTATGTATTTCATCAATACTGAACCCTGTGAATCTTCCTTCCTAATTACACACGAAATCCATCTCTCTTGTCTTCTTACTACTGCAAATACTGTCTTTTCCTCATGCCCCCATTATCTTCCCCTACACCCTCTTCAATTCCCCCTTATTCCCTTCCTCTTGTCTAAAAATAGTCTCCCTCCTACTTTCATGTCATCTTTTAAAATTCTACACATTTGATTCTTGTCTTTCTGAGTCTGGCTTACTTAACATGATGATCTCCAGTTTCATCCACTTTCCTGCAAATGACACAATTTTGCTCTTTATAGCTGAACAATACTCCATAGCATACATCTACCACCTTTTCTTTACTTGTTCATCTGCTGGTGGGCATCTAGGCTGGTTCTATATTTTGGTTGTGGTGATTATGCAGATATCCCCACAGTAAGCTGACTTTACTTCTTCAGGTGTATACCAAGGATTGGAACGCCTGGATCAAATGGTAGCTCTATGTTTAGTTTTTTTGAGGATCCTCCATACTGCTTTCCACAGTAGCCACACTAATTTACATTCCCACTGGCAGTGTAGAAAGGTTTCTTTTCCCCCATATCCTCACCAAAATTGTTTTTTATATCCTTGATGAAAGCCATCCTGCCTGAGGTGAGATCGAATCTCAATGTTGTTTTTCATTTTTATTTTCATTAGTGTATGTTTGCAGTATGTAATGATTACATTTATCAGAGGGAGTTGGTTCATGAACACATCACATCTCAATTCTTGTTACATCCCCTTCCCCTCTCCTTCCTTCCCCCAGCCATCTCTTAGAGGTCTCCTTCTCATTTGCAAAAGATCTCTGTTTCCTAATATCTATCTTTTATTTTGTTCTTTAATTAATACGTTGTTTCTTATATAAGAGAAACTATGTAATATTTAAGCTTTTCTGTTTATTTTACTTACCATTATGGTCTCAAGGTGCATCTATTTTCCTACTAATGACTCAAATTTATCCTTCTTTATAGCAAAGTAGAACTCCATTGTTTATAAGTATCATGTTTTCCTTATCCAGTCTTCTGTTGATGGACACATCAGCTACTTCCAAGATTCAATGTAGTGTTGGTTTGCATTTCCTAAATGGTTAAAGATGTTGAACATTTTTCATATACTTACTGTCCATTTGTAATTCTTCTTCTTTGAAGTGTTTGTTCAATTCACCTGCTTATTTATTGATTTGGCTATTTATTTTTTGGCAGATACCATCTTTCCTTGTCTGTCCACTCAAACAGGCTTCATGCATCTCCTGCCCCCTTCATAACAACACAATGATCTCAAAAAAATCTGAGATCACCTTCTGTTCCTGCTTAAAACCTTTTCCTTGAAGATAAAAATCAATTGTGATCCTGTTACTCAGAGAACACTACTACTATCCATTTATTATCTATTTCAGCCTTTTTCTACTCTTATAGCACCCTTCTTAAAGCAAAGATATGATTCATAAAATCTTTTTAACAATCTATCAGATATCAGCATTTTAAAATATACATATAGTTCCACTATATGTTTTAGCAAAATTTTATGTAACTATTTCCTGCTGATTGGACATTTAGGTTTTTCTAGGATGATTTTTCTTTACTAAAAATAAAGTTGTGGCTGGGTGTGGTGGTACAAGCCTCTAATCCCAGCATCAGGAGGCTGAGGCAGGAGGATCATCACCAGTTTGAGGCCAGCCTGGGCTACATAGTGAGTTCAAGGGCAGCTTGAACTACATCTCGAGACCCTGTCTCAAAAAACCAAGGGAAAGCAACCAAGCTAGCTAGCTAGCTCTGATAAACATTGGTTCACATACTTCTTTGTGCATGTGCCCAATTATTTTCTCAGAATACATTTTTAGAAATGGAAGACTATAGATGATTTTCAAGTATCCAGTCTTCAAGAGGAGCAGTTTAGAGATGTTCAACTGCTTTCTGCTTTTTGTTCTTACTTGCCTTCCTACTCCACAGAATCATTGTCCAGCTGCCAATTTGTTTCACTGGGCATTGTACTCATCCTATTGCTTAAACTTTTTGCTGGTTTACTGATTATGCTCCAAATCCATTGATCAAGTTAAATGATTGAACACAAGTCTAACTGTCTGAACCGGTTCCATTCCTCTCTCCCACCACCCTCCTTCCTCACCTGCCCTGGCTTCCTTTCAGGTGCTCAAACACAGCAAGACCTCTCCTCTTAGGAACTTTGTACCTGCCCTTCCTTTGGAAATCTCTGCCTCCTTTACTTAACACCCTCTGCAAACTTGCAGGTCACTGATTAAAGAGGCTTTCCTTGTCCACCCGATTTAACACCATGTTCGCGATCAATGTATTCTATTCTTTGCCTTCACAGCTTGAACTCAAACTGTCATTACACATTTAGCTCTTTGTTGCTTTCATGTCTTCCTTTCCCACCAAACTATAAGCTCCACAAGGGCAAGGACCATTTCTGTCTATATTCCCAGGGCCCGTCATTCCATCTGACCAACAGTACTAAGCAGTAAGTGCTCAGTAAATACCTGGGTGATGAACAAATGGGCCTGCAGGTCACATATGACCATAGCGCTGACCACCAGACAGCCCTGTGTGAGCAAGATTCCCATGCAGGACTAAATAATTTTCTCACCTGCCTCAGCAGAGGCTTCCCAGTGACCCCAAGTCTGTGAAATTCATTTAAGACACACACCAAGTTAAGGCATGGCTTCCACTGCCAGGCAGTGCAAGTGAGGCGAAGGTGTGATCAGAACTGGAAAGAAAATACCCGGTGTAAATAGATCCAAAAGGAACTGAGTGACCTTACTTTGAGGCACCTTTTGCCTGGCTTAGTAAGCCTACCTAACCTGGAATCTTCAAAAATCGCCCTAGTAGCCCATTCTTGGCCTGGCTGGAGAGCTACTTAGGGTCAGCTTTCTTGGCATTTTATTTCCCTGACACATTTAGCTTTTCACAAAGTTATGTGAGAGGTTGAGGGCTGATAACTTTGAGCTTCCACTCTACATTACTTCTTTGTTCAAACTGGGGGCACAGAAGAAGAGTAGTTCATCGCTTGAGAGCTTTCAGGGAAGATCCACTGGTACTGAGTGATTGGCAATAGAGCACGCTTCCTCTTCTGGCCAGGACAGGGACTCAGGCAATTCTGCTCATAAGTGGAGCCAGAATAGGCCCTAAAGCACCTTCCCTAGAGCCTTCAGGGAATCCATCTGTCTCCTCACTTGGCTCCCAGGTACAAATCAGAGAGGATAAGAAAGATTAAGTATAACCAAGCCCATCTTATGGTCCAAGTAGTGGCTCCTAACCTCCACAAAGCCCCCATGGTCTTCCACAGGTCCATGGGTAGCCCATCCTATCATGGGCCCAGGAATTAGGCTACATTGGACAGGATCTTGGTCACTTTCATGATCTCTCATGACCAGCCTTCCCAGATGTTCCCGAGTGCCTTCTCCACCAGCGCAAGGGTCATAAGGATGAGTAGGATGCTGCCACTTACCAGTTAGGAGCACAACAGCTACAGATTCAAGTCTGGACAGATTCAAGTCTGGGCTCTGTTCTTCATCAGCAATATGACCTGTCTCTGTGAGCTTCAATCTTTTGTAGAGAGGAAGAAATCAGAGTCCCTATCTCCCTAGTCACTGAATGCTGGTTTTAATTATCTCCGGAACTGGCAGCAAAACTAAGACAGCTTACAGCTCAGGAGGGGGTGTAAGGATCCTCATTCCACCGTGGGGAACACCGAGCAAGGGGATGGATCAGAACTCTGGGGCTTTAAAACTGAGCTTTAAAGTTAGCCATTGGGTCTCCCACTCCTAGTTTCCACCTGGGTTGGCCTCAAGTCCTTAGCCCAGGATTGAGCTTCAAAGATTGCTTTCATTCCCTGGAATGGTTCTCCCTGCAGCCGTTGGCTTTATTCTGGGCATCCCCTGCTCCTGCTCAGCCCCAGGGAAGAGGCAAAAGACTTGCTTATTCCTCTAGGAGATAAAGAAATGCAAGGCCTGGGCAGGGGGTTTTGCAGGCTGTTCAGGGTCCCAAGGGCTCACCCTCTTCTTGCTCTCCTCTTCTAAAGTTTCAAAACACCAGGGCTTCTTGGTGAAGCTGGGTTCCCTGTGTGCCTGCTCACCCATCTTTCACTGTGGAGCTAGTCCCAAGGATCCCCTCACAGCCCAACCTCTCAAGAACCCAGCCCAAAGCATCTTGGCGAAGACATTTATTTAATATGGGGGATGGGGTATTGCTGTCTCTGTCAGTGTGAATGGGGTGGTAGGGAGACAACCAGAGGGACTTCTATCCTGGAGTAAGAGGCTGTCCTGGCCCCAGGCTGGGGGCGGAGAGCAGACTGAGGGAGGAGGGGAAGTGTGTGTGGGGGAAGGTGAAGCTCTGCACACATCCTTGGGACCACAGTCCAGGCTCACCCAGTCACCAAAGCAAGAACCGAATAAATAAAGTGCAACCGTGGGGTGGGGGGAGGAAAGGGAGGGCACCGGGCGCACCCACGCCCACGGCCCACATTCAGTGCTGCCAGGTCTGGCCCACCTCCCAGCCAGACCCTCTTGTCCAATCACCCCTGTGTCCATCCCTCCATGAGCCAGGCAGGGCCCCTGTGCAGCTACTGGAGGTAGCGGTAGGCCTTAAAGCAGTGGTTGCCAGCATCAGCCACCACCACGTGGCCATCGGAGGTCAGTGCCAAGCCCTGTGGGCCGTACAATGGCTCTGCAGATGTGTTGATATAGGACAGGAAGGAGCCAGAGCTGTCAAATACCTGGGGAAGGAGTGGAGAATGGAGGAAGAGGGGAGGTCAGGTAGATGAGAGGCTGTGGGGAAGGGATACAGCAAAAATCTCACTCCCAGCCATCCCTGGGACCTGCTCACCTGGATGCGGCTGTTGCCCCAGTCGGCCACGATGATGTTCCCATTGGAGTCCACAGCTACTCCTGTAGGGGCGTTGAACTGCCCATTGCCCTCTCCATGGGAACCAAACTTGAAGAGGAACTCCCCGTCGGCACTGTATACCTGGTGGGGGAAGGGGCTAGGGACTGGGCACCTGGCCTCAGGGAAAGAGTAGACCCTTGGAGGATGCGGGGGAGGTCAAGAACCAAGGACCCCTGGATCTGTAGCTGGAGCCCAGATCTTCTTCCCAGGATTCACAGCCATGTGCCCTGCTGCCTCTTGGACATCTTAGTGATGTGCAGTAGGCACAGCAAATCTAACAATGCATCTTCCCAGGGAAAGCAGCTGTTCCAAGTTCTCTATCTTAAAAACTACTACCACCTGAAGGAATCCATCCCCATCCTGGTCTAAGCAGAGACCACTTTAAATCCTTCCCCCCTGCTATGCTTTTATAGCTGCTACAGATGTGTCATCGTGGGTCGTGGGTCGATAAGGCCCAGTAAGCACAGCATAACCACACCCTGTAATATACACCCTATAATTCCTAACCATTGTTCACCCCTGCCCTTGACAAACAACAAGCACCTCCTTGTACATCCTCAAGCCCGGTCTCAGGTAGATAGCCACAACTCCTTTGTAGTAAACTCCCCCCTCGAAAGTCCCACCATGACTTCTTCCTTCCACAGCCCCCCTTTTCTATGCTCATGACCCTATAAAGACCATATATCCTATACAAGAGCGGCTGGTCTGGTCTCTAGTGCCAGATGGATCCCCTCCTGGGTTTATTCTGAAATAAATCAGTCCTGTTGAGCTCGCAGCCCTGCTTTTCCTTTCTGTCCTAACACTACCCAGCTACCATGAGGCATTCTTCATTCCGCCTTCTTTGCTTGACAGCCAACCAATTAATGCAAATGTTGATTCTTCCTCAAATCCCTCTCTGAAATGTGTATGCTATGTAGACACTGCTACTACTGACACAGCTTTATCATGGCCCAGGTTCTCATTTTTTGTTGTTGTCGTTGAGACAGGGTCTCACTATGTAGTCCAGTCTGGTCTTGTACTCACTATGTAGCGTAGGCTGGCCTCAAACTCACAGTGGTCCTCCTGCCTCAGCCTCCCAAGTGCTGGGATTACAGGCACATACCACCACACCTAGCTTCATCATTTCTCATCTAAGACACCGAAAAAGATTGATCTTCCTGCCTCTAGTCGTATCCAAACCACAACGATCTTTCTAAAATATATAGGATTGCATCTCTCCTTCCTGCCTGCAATCCTTCATGGATTCCCAGAGCTCTAGGAAGACTGCAAGCCCCTTAGCATGGCATACAAGCCTCATCCTCACCTTGCACCAACCCCTCAAACCCATTCTGAATTACTGTTTGGTTTGCTGGAGGGGAGGTTACTGGGGGTTGAACCCAGGATTGCCCAGGGTTGCTGGGCTTGAACTTGTGATTCTGCTGCTCAACTCCCAGAGGGCTGGGATTACAGGTGTGTGCCACCATCCATGGCTATTTGGTTTCTAGAACATGCTACAAGGCATGCTCCTACTCCTGGATCCTCCATGTCCTCTGCCTCAAACACACTCTCCTCCTTCTTTACCTTCTGGTTAATTCCCACTTAGGCTTCATGTCTTCCCCTGAATCAAATGCTACTGCTCTGTCCTCCCACAGTTCCTTGCACCTCCCCGTCATAGAATCTATCAAACATCATGTTGTAAATTCCTGGTTATTTTCTTCTCCTCCCTACTAGGCTACAACCAAGACAAGAGGGAATGTGTCTGCTTTGTTCATCAGTGTATTCTCACTTCTAGCATTGTGCCTGGGACAAAGCAGCCATGCCATAAATGTTTATTTGTTCAAGCAATGATTTCAAGGGGCAGAAAGGAGACTTGTGGAAGAGGAAAGGATGTAGGGACAGTAGTCATGGGAGTAGAGAAGACACTGACCTTCACCGAATGATTATGGAAATCCGTTACTACAATCTCATTCTTGTTGTTCACAGCCACAAAATGAGGCCCTGAAAATAGAAAATGGTCTTTGGGGCATTAGGCTGAGGTACTGAGTGGGCCAGGGAAGAGTAACTGGAATGATAAAGCTAAGGCGTTAGGACAGGCCTGGGGTCTCTGGGGCTGAGATAAACTGACTCTGGGATGATGAAATGAGGGTATGGAAAAGGGAGCTGTCTAGGGCCAAGACACAGAAGAGGTTTTGAGAGCTAGGGCATCCAAGGGAGTTCTCTGGGGCTGGAAAATGATCTTGGATTTGTCCTCCCATACCTGCAAAGTGGCGATCTGTGGCCCCACGGCCCCCAAAACGTCCAACCAGCTTGCCATTGGGCTGGAACGTGAAGACACAGCAGGATTTGTTGTCGACCACAATGATATGTCCATTCCGGTCCACAGCCACTCCTTTGGGCCCCATGAGGCGGCCAGCTCCAATCTTGGTCTGGAGGAAGGGGATACCAGAAGGGGCTTTATCCTGACTAGCGGGGAGAGCAGTCCCGGCCTGACATCAGAGCATAATGTTGGGCTGGGGAAGAACCACTGAGCAGGACAAGGCAGGATTGGGTCACTTTGGGCACTGACCACCAGGAGGCACTAGCATGGTCAACTGAGCTGCTGGCAGGGGTACAGACTGCATCAACAGCAGCCTCTCACCTTGAACTTGCCCTCAGGGGAGAAGATGCTGACCCAGCGGTTGTCGTAGTCTGCGACAATAATGTCCCCATTGGTGTCCACTGCTACACCTGTAGGGCGCTGCAGCTGCCCGGGTGAGCGCCCTCGGACCCCAAAACGGAACTTGAACTGGCCCTCATTGGAGAAAACCTGGAGCAAAGGAGCAAGGGAGGGAGCAGGGGGAGGGAAAACACTATGGGCACAGAGGGAAGGGAGCAAGACCCTGAGGGAAGAGACCCCACCCAAATATTCATTCATTCAACCAGCATTCACTGGTACTGTGCCAGAGGCACAGAGGAATTGCGTGTGGCAGCAGACCCTGGGGAACATGCAGCAGGGATGTGAAGGAGACTGAACATGTGAAGGGGCCAGTGGGGATGGTGAGGAAAAACACCAAGAAAAAGGGATAGGTGACCTGACAGCCTAATCGGATGCCAAATGATGAACCCAAGTCAGCGCACAGAGGAGGAGGAAAAAGTGCACAGTTTGTGAAAGGCACAAACTCCGGGGTGGACCTACTCAAGGACCTGCCTGTCCTGTATGCCTGGATTATGGGGACAACCCCGGTGACCAAGAGGAGCTGGGTTTTATCCTGGATGTAACAAGGAGTCACTGAAAACTTCTGGGCAGAGCAGGACAAGATCAGCTTAGCTTTTCTGAAAGGACATTTTGGCTGCAGGGAGGTGTTAGGACTGGAAGCCAGGCAAGCCATCAGAGGCTGCTGCAGGAGTCCAGGTGGGAAATGCTGACAGCTTATACCAGGGCAACAGCCTGGAGGGAAGTAGATGGAGTCAAGAGATACACAGGAGCAAGACTCTAGAGGACTCTGTAGCAGACTGGAAAGGGTTAGGTGAGAAAGGAGAACACACAAGGATCTGCCTACTTAGGCTATGAGGTGACAAGCTAATCTTCCACCTGGACAGGATGAACCTTTCAACCTCTCCCCCTCTCTGGCCTTCTCCACCTTAGCTACCCAACATGCTCAGGTTTCTTCCTCCTAAAAACATCTTTAATCCTCCCTCCCTCATAAATTAAGACTTCTGGCCTCTTCTTTGCAGCCAAAACATTACTCACTGCATATTTCTCCTACACTTTGCTTTATTACGGGCTCTAGGGACACGAGATGAATCAAAGCCAGGAGACACCCTGGAGAACTCACATTCTGGGCTTTGGCCCTGGCTTTGCTCCTTGATCCAGACCTGCTCCCTCCTTGGTGGCTGAGCTCCCTGTCCCAGCCTCACCCCCATGTCTTAAGCCTCTGCAGCTGTTTAAACTGGCCAACAGACATCAATTCCTCCTCATGCAGACCTTCCAGCAAGGCCCCACCTGCACAATCAGAACAGCAGGGCTCTGCACTGCTCCTCTGTGTCAGAACAGCACTTAGCAACATAAGAACTGAGGTACCATGGGCTAAAGAATAAAACTGAGGCGGACTAAAAGGAACTACCAGATCAGCAATGAGGTAGCACATCTGTCTCCTCCAGACTGAGCAACTCAGTTTCAGACTCAACACTGATGAGGCTGTGGGAGTTCTTGTTCATCCCATCCTATCTCTTACCACCCTTACACCGGGCCAGCTACTTATTTTTATTTATTGGCTTTTTGAGACAAGGTCTCCCTATATAACCCAAGATGGCCTCAAATTCTAGATCCTCCTGCCTTAGCTTCCTAAGTGCTGCGATTACAGGTGTGTGCCATCAAGCCTGGCATCATCTTTATATTCTCAGAATTTCCAGGTCATTTCTTCAGAAAATCTTTAATGACCAACCCCTACTCTTGAAGCAATATAAAGTTAGGTCTTCACGACACATGTTTCATACCTCTGTTTGTAAGGGCTGTCACTTTGTGACAAAATAATTTAAATATCTGTGTCTCTTCTATGAATGCAAGCCCTGCATGGAGTAGCAACTGCATCTGTTTTGTTCGCTTTTGTATTTTCAACACTGGTATAGCTTCTGGCACACAGGAGACATTCAACAAACAAAGGGATTCCCTAGCTCAGTCCTGGACCTGAATTGGACATTCTTCCTTAGATGCTCCACGGCTGTCTCAAACTAAACAGGTGTAAAAGTGAACTCATCAACTTATATCTGGACCTCCTGAGTGGTAACACCACCGCCCCAGCCCACCACGTCCTGGCATTCTCGATCCCTCTCTCACAACACCTGAGAGCTCATCAAAATCTGCATATTTGCTTCCTTAGTATTTCTACAATCTGCTGATGTCCTAGTTTGGTCCTTAACATCTCTCTCCTATACCACAGTAGTAGTAAGAGTACATCCTTGATTTCAGGGAACTTGGTGGGGAGAGAAACTAAAACAAAACACCAAACCAGACAAGTACAAAAAAATAAGACAACAGAAAAACAATTATTTCAGTAAAGTATGAACTGCTATAGCAAAAAGCTACGGGAAGTCAGAAAAGAACAGGATTAATGTTCTGCCTGAAAATAAGGATGACATTTTCATGTAAGAGCTGATAAAATTTTTAGACTAGGACAGTGACACAAAGAAATAATACATACCAATAAAATTCTGCATTCAAAACTACAAAGATTTTTGTGCTCTATTAGTGTGGTTCCTTTCAATGAGGGGCTTTGCCTCACCCTCCACAACAGAAGGATCTAAAGGAAGAAAAGCTTCCAAGGACCCCAGTCTCAATGAACAAAAGCAGGAGGGGTTCAGCCCCAACTGGGAGCCCAGCCCACACCAGCCCTGACAGTTAGGGAAGCAAATCCTCGGCTTGGGAATCTAAGAGCCAGGCTCCTAGCAGTTAGGACATTTGGGTGGAGTGGGAGTAGAAGCAAGGAGGAAGAGTGCTGTAGGAATAGCAGGTGTTTGGAAGACAGACAGGGCTATGCCAGCTTTCCCACTCTAAAACAAAGCCTCTCACTAGGGTCTGTGTCATCTGTCTGTCTGTCTGTCTCTCTCCTTCCCTCCCTCCCTCTCCTCTCCCCTCTCTTTTTCCTCTCCTCTTTCTATAAAATACTGGGAATTGAACCTGGGGCCGTCACACTGAGCTACATCCCCATCCCTTTTTAAAATAAAACAAACGCAAGGTCCTGAGTTCAATCCCCGCTAAAAAACAAACAAACAAACAAAAAGCCCAACAAATTATTTTTAGGCAAGGTCTCACTAACTCTCTATGTTACCCAAGCTGAGCCTGAACTTGTGATCCTCCTGTCTCAGCCTTGCAGAGTGCTGGGGTTATAGGTGTGCACCACTGTGCTCAGCTAAGGCACACATTTTTCTGTCATGTGAACATTCAAGTGAGCATGCAACAGGAAAGGTGACCTGCATCTCAGCTTCTGAGCCAGGAGGCATCCTGGCACGGGAGTGGACACGTGGTTGGTTACATGAGTACAGTCCTGGTACTATCCCCGCTCCAGTCCCCCATCCTCGCCCCACCATCCAGGCTGGCCCCAATTCCTCCCTGTGCTGCACTGCCCTCTCCACTCCTCTACCTTTAGCTAGAGGGCAGGAATAGGGGCTGGGCAGGACTGGAAATCTGGCCACAGAAGAGCCCCTGGCACCTTTGGCTGCTAGATCAAAGTCAGGGGTCAGGAAAGAGCTAGCACTGAGGTGAAAGACCTTAACAAAGCTGGATCCAGGGCAAGGCCAGGCAGGGTCAGAAACTTTAAATGCACAGATGTGTCGAGAAAAGGATCTTCAGGGAAACGTTTTGCTACCCAATGAAATGTTTCCAAGAACTGAAGTGTATGGTACTTAGAAACAATCCCCTGCAATACAAAATCAAAACCATTTACAATCTGACCTCGACCACACCCAGTTCCCAACAGTAAGCTACCTGCAACCCTGGGATCTTTCTGGGTCCCTTAACAACCCTGTCTGGCACTTTCCCACCTCCCTGCTGTTGTTTACAGCCTCTGCCTGGACAATGATGTTTTTAACAACCGCTAACATCAGACAGTGCAGTAGGTATCAGGTATAGTACACTGCATCATTTAATACTCCCAGAAACCCTGAGGTATGCTCTTCCTAATTTTACACATGAGTTAACTACAGCTCAAAGAGATCACATGACTTGTTAATACATGGCAAAGCCAGGACTCAAGCCCAGGTGTCTGGTTTCAGACCCTCAGCTTTTCACTGCTACAGTGTCTACAATACTAATGCTCACTGTATTGGGCTCTGGGCTTACTCCAAAGAGTAGAGCAAAATCCATGTTTCCAGGCTTTAAAAAAGGCACTGTGCCTGCTGGGGATGTAGCTTGTTCTAGCATACACAAGGCCCTGGGTTCAATCCCCAGTACTGCCAAAATAAATAAATAGATTGATTATGTGTGTATATGTATGCCAAGCACCGTGATACATGCTTGTAAATCCAGCTACATGGGCGGCTGAGACAGAAGGTTCATAAGTTAGAGTTCAGCCTGGGCAACTTAGCAAAATTTAAAAAAAATTTAAAAGCCTATGGATGTAGCTTAGTGATAGAGGCCCTAGACTTGATCCCAGTACCACAAAAAATTTTTTTTAAAGTTTCACAGTGCTGCAGAAACCATGTCCATTCAAGGTGGCAGATGACTTAAGCAGGTGTGTGAGGTTCTTAGAGAGGCGGGGCAGGACCACAAGTTACACTATACCTTTTGGCTATTGAAAACCATCCTGTTTGGTCAAGTGACCCCTATTTAACTGTCTAAACAAGCAGATGACTGTGGACACTCTAGACACGTAACACACTCTGGAGCCAGGCTGGTGTTTTGGAAGCTAGCAGAGGAGGGCAAGTCTGCACCCAGACCACTAGGAGAAAGGGGAGGAGAACAAGCCAGACAGCGAGAGGCTCAAGGAAGGCAGAGGGGAAGGAGGAATGAAGCAGAACCTTGGGGTCAGGCACTGATCGGGCCTACACCATGGCATGGAGATAGAGGCTGCCAGCCCAAGAACCCCTGGCTCCTGACTGCAGGTCCAGGGCACTGCATGGCCTGTGGGGCTCTGTAAGGACTGGTACTATCTGTGGGTTTCATCTTCAGGTTTCACCTTCTGGTGTCCAGAGAGTCCTGTAAAGGTGCTTACCTGGATACACTGGTTGTTGCTATCTGCTACCACTATACGGCCACTGCTAGCTGCAGATACACCTTGCAAATTGGTGAATTCACCCTTCTCCCTTCCTCGACTGCCTGTGGGGAAAGATGGGAGGGAAAAGTGAAGAACTCAACCAGGTCGTTTTGAACCTCCCACCCCTCCCCGGCCCGCCCCCGTCTGGCTCCACCCTCAGCCATCTGTACCAACACGGAAGACGAGCTCGTCCTCAATCGGGTTGTCCTTCCGTTTGCCACCTGTGCTGTACATGGAGCTAGGCCTACGCACCGCCTTCTGGCGCACATGGCTGCCTGGACCGCCTGGGGACTTGACCCGGCGCTTCACGTCGTCCGGGGAAGGTGGCAGGTCCCCAGGACGCAGGGCACGTACCCGGAAGGGGCTGCCGCGCACCGGCTGTCCGTAGAGGAGCACAGTGAGGAGCAGCTCGCCCTCTGTGCGCGCCGTGTACACCAGTTCGTACGTGCCATTCTTGTGGTCCACCACTGGCACCGGGAGGCGCGTGCCGTCGGGGCCCGTGATCTCTGCGCGAAGCTCGGCGCTGCCCGTGCGCACCAGCCGCCCGTCCTTGTCTTTGGTAGTGACCGTGAGCGAGGCGGGCTGGCCCACCAGCGCCTGGCGCAAGCCCTCACCCGTGGCCACCGTCTCGTGTGCGGTGGCGCTGGTGGTGAGCAGCGCGCCCAGATTGAGCACCGACCGCCGCAGCCCGTCCACCTCAAGAACCAGTTCCAGCTGTGCGTTCTCATGCGGCCGCTCCGGGAAGGCCTGAGCCGCCAGGGCTGACAGCCTCTCTCGCATGTGCTTTCGCACCAGCAGCACCTCCGGGGCCGAGCCCAGGCGGAGCGCCTGCTCTGCGAAGCTGCAGCTGCTGCCGATATGTTCCTGACCCTGGCGCAGTGTATCTAACTGGGTCTGCAATACCTGTGGAGGGGAGGGGAGGGGAGGGTGGGTGGCAACACTGGCACACAGGGAAGTCTCCGGGACCCCCAATGAGCTTGTGGTAAGTACTACTGCACTGCACGGAAAAAACAGAAGGGTGGGACGGGGCGTGGACATGGGCTAAGGATGCCAGCAGCACCCAGGGGCCATGTCAGCGTGGAGGCTGGAGAAAGGAAGCGAGCTGGTGAGGACCGGGGAAGCCAGGAAAGCAGGCGCACCTTCTGCTTGGCCCCGCAAATGCTCTCCAAGTCGCTGACCAGAGCCTGCTTGCGCTGCTGTAGCGCTTGCTCCAGGTCCTCGAAGGCTGCGCTGATCTGGGCCAGGGCCTCTGCCTTGCGCTCCTGCAGCTGCTGGCTGATGCCCCCCACTAAGGCGATGGCTGCAGACAGCTGTGGCAGCCTGGGAAAGGGAATGAGCATCTCATGCCAGGGGAAAGCGTCTGCACCCCACCCCAGGGACCCTGCCTTCGGCCCTCTGGGAGATCCTTTCCTTAGACTCCTTGGAGACTTCCATTCCTGCTCTTCCCAGACCTTCTCTCCCCTGCTCAGGCCCCTGCCCTCCCCTGTCGAGAGGCTGTCCCATGGCCCCCCCAGGGCCCGCCCCGGGCCCCACCCGGTGCCTACCGGCCACGCACAGCCTCGAGCTGGCGCTGCAGGGCCGCCTTGTGCTGCTCCACCACATCCCGCAGCAGCACCGTGCCGTGCTCCCGGTGCTCCCCTGCGCGGCACTCGCCGCACATGGCCGTCTCACAGGCCTCACAGTAAAACTCCATCGTCTGGCAGTACAAGGGCTCCTGTGAAGCAACCCAGACACTACCCTTCTCTGGCCCTCTCCCCGTCTGCCCTCCCTGTACCGTCTTCCAAGTGCACCCCTGCCTGGACCACTCATCCAGAGAGACACCTCTCTCCCCAGGCACTCGGCCCCCACCACTGCCTCCCCTCCTCCTCCCACCCCAAGCCCTGGCCTCACTGGGCCTCGCTTGGGCCCACCTTGCCTTCATGGTTGGGGCAGGAGAGAGGGCGGCCGGCCACTGCACTGAGGGGGTGAGGGTCCTCAGGGTCGCGGGCCCCGTCGGGCACCTGCTGCATGGCCTCCATGAGGCTGCTGATGAAGAAATTGTTCTGCAGTGCTGAGACACCCTGCTCGGGGAGGATGGACGTCTGCCGGCACACTGGACAGGACAGTGTCAGGCTCTGGGCAGGGATGTAGTTCTGGAGGCATCTGGCCAGAGAGGAGGAGGAGTCAGAGGGAGGAGGCAGGGCAGCAGCAATGCTCCCCCTACTCTAACAGGAGAGGACACCTCTTCATGGGTTTGTCAGGACACTGTACTTGGAACCTCTCCAGTCGACACACATCCCTTACTTACCAGCAGATTTAAAGTGCACTTGTGACTGAGTAGAAACCTAGGCCTCTTTCAGAAGAGCAGGCATATCTGTATTTCTCATGATGTGCACAACACAAGTTTGCCTTTACAAAACCTTCTCAAGAAAATGTGCACTAGAAGGATGTAGTGGCACACACCTGTAATCCTGGCACTTAGGAGGATCACTGTGTTGTCCAAGGCCAGCTTGAACAATACAGTGAGTTGGAGGCCTGCCTGAACTATATAAAAGAACGTGTGTCCCCCCATCAGAGAAAAGAAAAAAGAAATTGTGCAGCTATCCTCACTCCCTTTAACTCATTAAATATTTACTGCCTCCTCTTGTCAAATTTGTGCCAAGCTCCAGGGAGAAAAAGATAAAGCACAGTGACTTCTGAGTGTGGTGGCGCACGTCTATAGTCCCAGCAGGCTGAGGCAGAAGAATTGCTGCAGGTTTGAGGCCAGCCTGGGCTACATAGTGAGGTGAAAGCCAGCCTGAACTACATGGTGAGGGCCTGTCTCAAAAAATAAAACAAAACAAAAAAGGTAAGGGACAATGACTGCCCTTCAAATAGTTCTAGTCTTCAGAGAAAACATCACAGAAATAAAGAATTTTAAAAAATAAATAATGATTAAGAGCCTGGGTCCCAGAGCTAGGCCACCTGGGTTTAACTCCTAGGTCAGTGACCTCTCAGACTGTGTGATCCCTGGCAAGTCACTTTTACGAGTTAAGGGCTCTTCCTTTGTCAGACAGAGACTGTGGATGTCACAGGTTTGTGAGAGGATTAAATGTAGAGCACTGCTAACATGTAAAGAAGATTAAATGTGAAATGCCTGACTCACCAAAGTGCTATATAGGATAGGCTACTAGCACTGCCATACTTATCAGGAACACAACACAAGAGATGTAGTCGTGAGAAATGCATCTGACGCAGGTGGGTGAGAAGGTAGGTAGGCAAGGCTTCAGATGAGATGTAAATGAAATCTTCATGGGTAAATCACTGTTGGCCTGAGCAGAGAAAGGTGCGGGGAAAGGAGGAGGGTGTTCCAAACACAGAAGGCAGCAAGAATCAGCACAGCGCAGAGGGAGCAAGAAGCAGTTTGATGTGGCTGGTGACGAAGTCCAAGGCAAGCAACAGTGAGAGAAGTCAAGGAGCTTAGATGTTAATCCCAGTGGCAACAGGGAGCCACAGGAGGTTGGTACAGCCAGTCTGTTTTATCAAGCTCCTCTTTACCACCTTTTGTGGAGGGGTGAATGTGAAAGGAACAAACAGCAGAGAAGGAGGGCTGACACCATCATTCAGTTACTGCTTATTAAGCCCATGTGTGCCAGGTGTTGTGCCTTTTACTTTATGTTAACAGGCTCAGAAAGGGGCAAGTGATCCAAGGTAACAAAGCCAGGGAGCACTGGAGCCTGGGATTAAAGGGAAAGCAAAGCGTGTGCTTGGCCAGTATACTGTTATAATAACCTGGGCAAAGAGTGAGGAGAGCTGAGATGGGAACAGAATCGAGAAGGGTTTTAGAAGTATAGCAAGTGGGAAGTATTGTCTAACTAGGTATGGAGAGGGACAGAGGTGAGTCTTGGTTGGTTCCTGGCTTCCTAGTTTAGGTACATGTTATGGCTTGTGTCTAGATGTCCCTCCAAAGCCTCATGCAATTACAGGTGGGGCTCTTTCAAAGGTGGCTGGATCTAGAGTGTGTGACACTGGGGTTGATTCATGGTGTGATGCTAGGATCAAGGGCACTAGGATTAGGGGTGTGAGTGCTACCACCCTGAGTAGTCTGGATAAGATATAAGGGACAGAAAGAGCTGTGGTCATCCCTTGCTTGCTTTGCTACCTTCTGCCCACCATGAACTGTTTCTCCTCTGCAATGCCTATCGGCTGTGTGATCCCACCTTGGAGCCAGCTGACTATGGACTGAAACCTCTACAAACTGTGAGCCAAATAAACCTTTCCTCCCTTAACTTTAGGCGTCAGGTATTTTGTCTCTGCAATGAGAAAAGTAGCTAAGACAGTACCTGAGTGGATAGTGGTGATATAGTGGAACTCCAGGTTAGCTGGAGAGAAGCCAGGTTAGAAATAGAGATGCAGGTGCCATTAACATTGAGGAAGCTTTGGTACCTAAGGGAGAGGATGAGATCAGGCAAGAATGGGCAGACAGTGATGAGAGAGGGACAGAGCATTCAGCAAATTCTGAACAAGGAAAGCAGAGAGGACGGGCAGAGAGCAGGAGGACTGACAGAGGCAGGGCAGCAAAGTGAGTTCAGACAAAGGGAATGAGGAGCCCTGAGGGCAGAGAAAGGCTGAGGACCCAGCCAGAGTAAGAACTGGATATGCCCACTGAATTTGCATATGAGGGTGCTTTATTCTGTTATGAAAATGCAGTGGCGGGGGGGGGGGCTTTGATACAAGTTGAAAAGTGAAGGGGAAGTTGGGGGACAGACTGGGAAGGGGGATGAAGGACTGGGTGACACTGAGGTGCACAGAGGACAGGATGCTCCTTGTCTCGGGAGTTGTGAGCAGGTACAGAGGGAGTGGTGGAAGAGACCAGCAGGAGCAGGACATAGACTTGAGGTGGGGAGTGGCTTGGGTGGGCCGGAAGGAGAGGAGTGGACACCATCCTCTGATGGGGGGAAAGGGGAAAAGAGGTCTATGTGGAGGAGCACAGGAACAGTCAAAAAAACAGTCCCTCAACTGCTCAGCAAGATCAGCTGCAGAGAGTGCAGGAGGGAGGAGTCTGGAGATGGGTGAGGGCTGGGATTAGTCACCGAAGGGAGTGGGGAGGAGGCTTACTAGAAACAGACAATGGGACTGAAGGCGGCTGGGTCTGGAGACCAGGAATCAGTGGAAGGAGAGCTGTATGGTGCAAATCCTCCCATATCCTCAGTCTCTTCTCTCAATGTTCTCCATACCCTTTGCTCTTAATTAAAATTTAGCCGACACTAGGTGCCAGGCAGGATTTTAAGTGCTTCACAAATATTAACTTATTTAATTGTGACCTACTTTTCCCTTCAGTCCTCTCAAGTAGAGTGGTTTTTGTCCCATACTCCACATTCCTTAGGGCCAGAAGGTGGGGTTGAGTCCTCCCTCTTCCCAACTGGGACTTTCTATTTGTCTTCAGCAACTCTGAAGCTCAAGCCTTCTGGCTATGCCCCCCTTCCTTGTTGTTGTATCCAATGACCTAACAGTTACTCCCCCACTTGCTAAAGTCTTTCTCCTGAGTCACACTCTTCTATTACCCTCCCCAACACATCCTGCCATCCTTCTCAGTGACTGGCATCTACAAGATGATCCATCCGTCACCATGCCTCTTCCGTTCCCGGACTTCCTCACTTTTAATGATCTTTTCCTACGCTGCACCTCTGCTGTCCACTCCCATGCTCCCACCACCACCCATATCTCGACCGTCACTGATAACAACTTTGATTTCTACATCCCCACTCTGTCCCTTGCAGCTCTCTTCCAAGTGCTCTGATTCTAGCATTATTCCTGCAAAGGACCTTCCAACTTACCAGTACTTCCTTCCTATGTGCTGAGCACCCCTGGCTTGCAATAGCTTCCAAACTGAGCTCCTGTTTTCGCTCTTGCTCCTCTATAATACATTCTCCACACAATCAGAGTGAGCATTTGAAGAAATCTAATTTATATCAAATTCCTTCCTGCTATAAAAAATCTGGATAGTTTCCTGTTGCACTTAGAAAGTGAATATACAATAAACCCTTGACTTTTGAACTAAATTCATTTGCGAGGGCTGATTGTAACTCAAGTTGGTCAATGAAGCCCAGGCTCCTCACACAGCCTTCAAAGTCTCTCTCCTGTGTACAGGCACATCTCAGTGTCATTAGAGAGACACTGGCCCAGGATTTCTCAGTTAACCCCACATGGGAAAGGATGTTTTAATGTTCCTTCCAGAACCCTTTAAGGATTAAATCTGTATCTGAGACCATCTGGAAGCACAAGCAGCCGGCATTCAGGTCGTAACTCAAGACTTTGTTCATAAGTTAAAATTAAAATTCTAGTCATAACTCGAGGGTCCACTCTACTGCCCTAAAATCTACAAGCTGCCTCCATAAACTGTCCTGACTGATTCCACTGCTTCCCAGTTTCCTCCTCAGTTGGCCAAACACTGATTTCTTTGCTGGTCTCTGAACATGCCCTGTTTATTTCTTCCTTTAGGTCTCTGCACAGAGTTTTCTGTTGCCTGGAATAATCTGCATATGTCTGTCCCTTCACATCCTCAGATTCCCATCAAATGTCACTCCTTAAGGAAGCTTTCCCTGGCAACTATAAAGACCAGTCCCCAACCCAACCATTCTCACTTACTCTCTTTGTTTACTGCAAAACATCTGGCATAAGCTACAGCTCTTATTTATTTCCTGGCTTACAGTCCAGTAGAGCAGTAAGCTCTTTGAGAGGTACAAGCAATGGATAAATTAAGGAATTCTAGAATGAAGGCTCTGCAGTCAAGCCTGGATTCAGATCTCAGCTATTTACATGTGGTGTGGTCTTGCACATATTTCTTAATTACTTAATAACTCTGAACCTTTGTTTCCTCCTCTCTAAATTGGGGATAATAAACTGTCTCTGGTGAGGATTAAGTAAATCAATACATGTAAATCACTCAGAGAGTCCCTGGCAAACAGTAAGCAACCAGTACATTGTAGCTATTGTTATTATAATTTCTAGGGACTGATTTTTCTCCAGGAGTGCTCAGTGATCCGGGCACAGGAGAAAGTTCAGAGATGTCAACTCCAGCTCTTATGGCATGGACTTAGCAAAGCAAAGGTGTGAGAGAACTGTGGAAGCCTGTCAGATGATCAGCCACAGGATCTAGGATGTGCAGGAAAGAAAGAAAAGCCAGGGTGAAGTTGGTGTGGGAGAAAAGGGAGCAGCTGAGGGGCAAGACTTCATGTGAGTCAAAGATGACACAGTGGCAGTTGGGTAATGGGAGCCAGAAGTGGAAGATTGGCAGTTATGACCACAGAAGTGGAATTATTCCAGGAGATGACAAGACTGAGGTCTTGGGAGAGTCCTACTGAGGCGGAACAGAGGATGTCCTCCGAGAAACAGTCAAGAACCAGGACGTGTAAGTGGGTAATGAAGTCCCCAGGCTGATGGAAGAACCTGAATGGACAGGAAGGCTGAGACCATTTTCTGTTGATGATGGTGAGAGGGCTGTGAGCCAGAATCTCAGACAGCAGGGCTGGAAGGGAAGGAGTGTCCCTGGGCACAGACAGGTTTCAGTGGAGGCAGAGAGGAGGCTCAGATGGAGGCAACGGTGAGAAGACCCAGGACATCCAAGACACAGCCATGACGGATGACGGTTAGAGAAAGAACATGGTCAAAATACAGATGTGATTGTGCATAAAACCTTGCAAAAGCTTCACGAGGCTCTCAGAGTCAAGGCTAGATTCCCTAAGAGACGGACCAGCTCCTCCACGTAGCCTAGTCTACACGTCTCCCTCCAGCTTCAAGCAAGGCTACTCTCAATCATACTCATTCTACTCCAGCTGCACAGGCCTTCTTCCAGGCCCTCTTACCTGATAGGTTCCATCAGACCACATTAAATAAATATTCAGTGAATGAATGAGTGATGGATGGAAGCTGGAGATACTGCCTTTCACTCAGAACCTAGCACAGTGAGGATGGGCAGACTTAGCCCTAGGATAGTATCAAATATCCTTTCACTAATCACAAACTCTGCTGGTGCCAGAGCTGGTTAAGTCTCTGGTGGTGTGGAAGGCTGCTTCGGGATCTGGGAAGGGGCAAATACAGCCCTGTTCTAGGCAGAAACCCTGGCCCAGTGTTAGGAGCTTCTGGTCCTCTTACAGGTTCTTGCACCCAAACCCTTTATCTCCTACAGGTTGGGGTTCACCTGCTCCCCTTCCACATGGGCATATTTCCCTCACCCATCACAGGTGTGTACACATGCTCCCCTCAATCTCGGGTACACACACATCCACCCTCACCTCTCACAGAAGGTATGCAGGCAAGGCAGAACCTTGGGGCACCGGTACCGATCCAGGCAGATGCTGCACACCAGGAACTGCTTGTCCATTGGCTGTACTTCTGGGCCAGGGCTGTCCTCCCTCTTTGCCATAGTGACCAGAGATGACTCCTGCCACTCGCACCAGCCTGTATACAGAGAGATGGTCAGTAGCAGGGGCCAGCACTCCTCTCCCCACACCAACCCCACCACTCCAATTCCCTTCAGAGACATGTACCTATTTTCCTGGCAGGGACTGGAAGGAACAGCCAATATGGGGGGGGGGCGGCTAAGTGACCTTTGAGCATGGTGCTCTGTTTCAAAGCACAGATCTGAGGGTAGACTGGCTTGCAAACCTGCCTCACTTCTCTCTCACCAGGTACCTGGCCTTCCTTGGACAATTCACAAAACATTTCTAAGCCTGTTTCTTAATCTGTAGTTACACAAATAATTGTAGCTACCTCAGATGGTTGTTTTGAGACTCTGAAATCACGCATGTCAAATGTATGCTACAAGGATGTCCATTTTCACTGACACACCCATTCTTCATCTCCGCTTTATCTCCATGGGGCCTTTCTGTTGGAGCCTCTCTCTGCTGGTTACCGGCAGCTCTTCTCTTCACATCGACTCATGTAGTATAGCTCCTGGGGATTGCATTCTCTTCCACAGCTGATCCACGTCAGGACTGCCACCCAAGAACTTTTTTGAGACAGGGTCTCACTATGCAGTTCATGCAGACCTTGAACTTACTATGTAGCTGAGGCTGGCCTTGAACTCCCAGCTATCTATCCTCCTGCCTCAGGCTCCCAAGTGCTGGATTATAGACATGTGCTGCCAAACCCAGCTCCGCTGGAGAATTTTATCCCTTCTCCCAGCCCCAAAGCTGCAGCCAGGCCAGTATCAGTATCAGTTCTCTCCTGGACACCCCTGCATCCTCTCTGCACCTTCTCATCCATCTCTCTTTCAGCCAGAGTGAGTTTTCTAAAACATAGGTGTGGTTCATCACTACTACCTTTTTAAAGTGTTTCAACCTTCTCCATTATCCAGAAGATAAATTCTAAAGCCTGACACTGGCCCACAGGCCTAGCTTCATCTTGACCATATCTTCCTCTAACCTCATGTCTCATGATTCTGTGATCAGTCAGGCTTGTTCAGTTCCTGGAAAACTCTATATTCTTTTTCTTCTGGGCTGTCACACATTCTGTCCCCTCTGCCTGACATCCTCTTCCCATCTTCTTTGCCTGGGTGATGTTTACCTGATGCCTGCTTAGCTTTCCTGTAAATGTCACTTTCTTTAGAAAGACTTCCTTGATTTTCCACAGCCTGGCTTAGGTGCTCCACCTGTGTGATCCTCAACACCCTGCACTCCTCCATCCTTATCCACTAAACAATCATCTTTTTGTTACTTTACTGCTTCCTCCATTCCATGCAATGTTCCTGAGGGAAGGCATTCTATTTTATTCTTTTCATTCCTACCATTTAGCATGGAGCCTGATAAAGACTGATCCATATCCACTGAATAAATCTAGCATTTAGTTTGACAAATACGTCTTTACTAAGTGCCTACTTTGTACAAGCACTGGGAATGTAGTGATAAAACAAATATGGTCACTGTCCTTGTGACAGGGAGGTGATGCAGCTATTTTAAAAGGAGCAAGTAAATACATAATTACAAATTGGTACAGGGAGATACAATAAAGAAAGAAACAATGCAATGAGATACAATAAAGACACAAAGGATGCAATGAGAAAAAACACTCTTGACTGGGTGGCCAGGGAAGGACTCCCCAAGCAGGGAACTTAAGCAGGGCTCTACACGATAAGAGAAAAGTGGAAGGGGTAAGGATGGGGAACAAGAGAATCAGCGAGGAAAATCATTCCAGATTGAAGAAAAGCATATGCAGGTTCTTCAGGCAGAATGAGTGGATCATGTGGTTGGGCCAAAGTAAATAAAAGCTAGGAGTGAGTTTGGGAAATAAGCAGAGATGAGAGTATGAGGGACCTTGTTAAGGCATATTTTTGTTTGTTTGTTTTCCAGTACCAAGGATTGAACTCAGGACCCTGCACTTTTGAGGCAAGCGCAGCACCACTGCGCTAAATCCCCGGCCCCTGTAAGGACTGTTAAAATGTGCTTTTATCCTACTGTGAGAGAGAAAATGATGCAATTTACAAACAAATAACAATAAATTAGAGATGTATTCTGGTAGACTGGGCACAGTGGCATACACTTGTAATCACAACACTCTGGGAAGCTGAGGCAGGAGGATTACAAATTCAAACCCAGCCAGGGCAACTTAGACTTAGCAAGATTCAGTCTCCAAATGAAGAGGGTGGGGATACTGCTCAATGTGGAAAAGAAGGAAAGAAGGGAGGGAGAAGAGAGAGTGAAGAAGGGAGGGAGGGAGGGGGTATTCTGGTAACTACGAGAATTGAAAGGGAGAAGCAAGGGTGGAATCAGGTAGACTAGTTAGAAAGCTATCACAGTTTTTCAGGTAAGATGATGTTAAGTACTAGCAGAGCTATAGTACAGGCAGAAAGATGGGCTGCTCGGAGAAATATTCATGAGGCTGAATCAAAAAGACATGATGGAAAGCATATGAGAGGGGAAAAAGAAATGCAGACAATGACTCCCAGGTTTCTCACCTGAGCAAATGGTGGACTGTGGACCATGGACAGACGGAAAAAGCTGAGGAACTGTTTGGGGGTATTCTGTTCCAGGTATGCTAAGTCTGAGGTGTTTCTTTGATGTCCAAGTAGAGCTACCAAGTAAGGAACACAAAACAGGAGCTTAAGGGAAAAGTCTGTGCTGGTTATTGATTTGGAATCATTGGTATATTAATGGCACTTAAAGAGAGTGGATGAGGCCACCTTCAGACAGAGTGGAGAATAAGAGGAGGGTTAGGTATAAAGGAGCTGCCAACAAAGGCTACTCAGGAGAACGCAGAGGAATGGGAGAACAAAGACTGCTGAACTAAAGAGATCAAGGGAGAGAGCATTCAAGAAATAAAAGCAGCTGGGTAGAGTCGTGCACACCTGTGATCCCAGCACTCAGGAGGCTGAGGTAGAAGGATCACTACAAGTTTGAGGCCAGCTTGGGCTACATTGTGGGCTCAAGACTTTGTTTCAGAAAATAAAAAAACAAACAACAACAAAGAAAGTGGAGTAAGATAAAAGGTCTGAAGAATGTCTTCCACTGTTGGTTGTGGTGGAATGGCAGGAGCAGAAGCCAGGTCAGAATGACTGAAGAATGAACAGGAAATAAAGTTAATACAGTGGAAGACAAGGGCTGGGGATTTAGCTCAGTGGTTCTGGCGCCTGCCTCGAAAGCACAAGGTCCCAAGTTCAATGGCCGGTACCAAAAAAAAAAAAAAAAAAATTTAAAAATACAGTTGAAGGCAGAAAAATAATAGGCAATGACAAAGACCAGGTCTCCACTGCTGTACCCAGTTAGATACCTTGTGGACCTCTCTAAAGACAATGAATGAATCAATCAATTGCTGCACAGGCCAGTCCAGGTTCAGGGAAGGAGGAGAAGGGCTGAGTCGAATGTGTTCGAGGGTGGGTACAGTCTTTAGGCTCCCTCTGGAACAAAAGAAGCACTTGAGATAAAGTCCTCAAATCTAAGGAACTCTTTCAAGAGAGGGCATGCCTGAGAATGGGCACTGCAATAAGGTTGTCTCCAGATGTAACGGTTCCGAGTCTAGAGATTTAATATCAGACAACATAGCAGGAGAAAGGGCAGATTGGATGAGGAGGCCAGAGGCAAACTGAAGCTTCTGACTGAAGGGGAGGGCTAGAAGGAAGAGCAGGCGTGGCCTGCTGGGCCCTGCTGGGGCAGCAGGATGTCAGGCTCCACCTAACTCCAAGCCCCAGAGGCTCTCCCAGCCAGTCAAACAGAGGCGGGGATTGGGCTACATCCAGGGACCTACAGCTCCTCCCTCTTTTCCCCTTCCTGCTTCAGTTCCCGACCCAGACTAACTGAGCATACAGCTTTGAGGCTATAATCCAGCCTGAATCTAAGATTACCTTCCTCTGCTTGGGCCTACCTCTCCCATTCCACTGTACTCCAGACAGCTGCCCTCAATAGGGAGTGGTTCACTTGAACTATTTATCACAGGAGACACTTGGAGGATCTTAGACTTCAGAGCTGGATTTCACCCGCCTTGGGCTGCTCTCTGACACCCTGCATGCTTTGCCCCGCCCACCCTTTTTAGTACAGTTCTAAAGGTAGTTCATTTTCTCATTCAGCATTTACTAAACATTTCTGCTGGGGACACAAAGATAATTCATCACAGCTCAGCCTTCCTGGATTCTACAGTCTAGTAAACAGGTTACTGCAATGCACGGTGGTGAGGACCGTGATGGTGAGACACACATGGCTCTTGGAGCACAAAAACAGTTATCTAATTTAGATCTAGAGCAGGGTGGGCCCAGAGGCTGGAGGCTAAGGGAGTTCTCCTAAAGAAAGTCATTCCAGCTGAGAAGTACAGGAGGAGTTAAGTTACAGGGAAGATGGTGCCTTCGGCCTCAGGACATTGCATCATACACTGTGATGGAGAGGGCTAACAGACGTGATAGAGGTAAACAGGAGCTAAGCAATGTTTTGTTGGCCTTATTCTAGAGTTTAGGCTTTACCCTTCCCTGACAGGGGATTAAAGCTTTATGCCAAAAGCAAAGGAAAAGTTTGATGGTGGAGAGGTAGGAGAGCGTAAGCACAGGATATCCAAAGCACATTTGCTACTGTTATGTGGTAAATAGTTCAGAGGAATCAAGAGTAGAAGGTTAAGAGTTGGCGTTTGGTTTCCCTGGCTTCCCTCATGCACGATAGCCCGCTCTTCATCCTCCAGGGTGTACTTTTATCTTGCTTTTTCCTCTTTTACTCAGCCCAAGCTTCCTCTGCAGAGCCAGGTTCACTCTTCACTTTTACTTTTTCAAATAAACTTTGCTATCATTAAAAAAAAGAGTGCAAGTGGGCTGGGAATTTAGCTCAGGGGCACCAAGCCTGCCTGGCTAGCCAAGGTCCAGAGTTCGATCCCCAATACCAGAGGAAAAAAAAAAAAGAGTAGAAGATGAGTAAGAGATTGCCTTAAGTAAATAGCAAAGAGAGGATAAAATGGATTCCACAGGGAGGAATCAACAGAACTTGATAACTGGTCAGTTTTATATTGCCAGAGAAGAAGGAATTAGAGATGATTCCTAGTTTTCTAGCTTAGAGACTGGAATAAGGGCAATCTGGATGATAGAGTGATAGGTTCAGTGTTTAACTCAATGAATGCAAGGTACCTAGTCCACACAGTTCCAGTGGCCAGGTCCAACAGGCAGGTGGAAAGGAAGGCTGAAGCTTAGGAAAGAGGTCTGGCCTGGAGACATGATTTGGATGCCCCTGGTGTACAGATGGTTCCTGAAGCCATGGAGTGGATGACATCACCCAGAGAGAGTGAAGTGAGAAAGGAGCACCTGTGACTGAGCCCCAAGGAATGCCAGCATTTAAGATATAGGTTCAGCAGGCAAAAGCATGTTGAGAAGTATAGCCCAAGGGCAGAAGCAAGAAACAGAGAAGAGAAGGCCAAGGGAGAAGTTTCAAGAACGGAGACTGTCATTATGAGATGCTGTAAGGAAGGCCCCTTATTTAAACCTCAAAAGAAGCTGTCCTTAATCCAGGAGCTGAACAAAAGGAAGTCAGATCCAAGGAGGTAAGGAAGAGGCTGATTTTGAACAAATTAAGAAAGCTAGTGCTGACTCCATTGGATTCTTGACATCTGCCTGCCACAAAAAGGTGTTTCAAGGCCTTTTAGTTTCTCCAAATTCTCAGATAGTGTCTCATTTCCCACACAGCTCCATCCTACACTTTCATAAGATTCCTAAAATACATGATTTACACAGCAATCTGTGGAGATGACCAAGGCATTTTTAAAAGTGTATTTGGGAGGTCTGCTAGGCTCACTTGCTAAAATGACTCACTCCTACTCTCTAGCCTCCAGGTGTATTTGATCATTTGATGCCTCAGCAAAATAACAAATGACTACAGGCTACAGTCTTTGGGCTCCCTCTGGAACAAAAGTAGCACTTGATGAGATAAAGTCCTCAAATCTAAGGAACTCTTTCAATAAGACTGGTAGGAAAGGAGAGTGATGAGATTCAAACTACCAACCTCCCCCACTACTGCTTGACTAGTAGGTGAATGAACCATTCAATCAAACTTCCTTGGGTATACTCTGAGCCAAGTCCTTCAACTGGGAAGTGGAGACACAAAGTTGAATCAAGTGTGTTCCCTGTCATTCACAAGTTCTTAGACTAGTGCGGGAAATAGGTATAAATACATAAGTACAATATGAGAAGAACCATGATGTTGACATGTTCAGACTGCTATGGCAGAAAGTATCTAACCTGGTGGAGAATAAAGAAGGCTTCCAAAGGAAAAGATATTTGAACTGGGTCTTGAGGGGAAAATATGAGATGAGTAAGTACACTGGAAAAGCAGTGTATAAGAGAACAAGCATGAAAACTTAATAAACACAGGCTAGTCAGGCAAAAAAGCAGAGGTTATAGTTGATGCTTTCATCATCTGCTCCATGTGGATTCTCTGCTTGGCTCTTTGGTTGTTCCTCCAGTGCACATTACTTAAATATTTAGTTCTACAGTTTTATTTTAGGGTCTCCTCTCCTCTCACTTCTCATACTTTGCCTGGGCAATCTCATTTTTTCCCATGGTTTCAGTTACCATTCAATTGCTGATAAGTCCCCAAGCCTTATCTCCTGTGCTTAAGGATTCTCTTACCCCATACCTGTACATCCAACTGCCTCTTGGACATCTCTATCTGGATGATGCACAGGGTCTAGTTCAGAATTGAATTCATTCTCCATACCCCCTCTTTCTGCTGTTTCTCACTTCCATAAAAGGCACAACCATTCACCTTAGCCTGCCAGAGCCCTGGTACTCTTCACTTCTGACTTTTCTTCCACCATTCAGATACAATCTATGACTATGTCCTTGATGCTGTCTCTAAAATGTGCATAGGTTTTACAAGCCAGGAAATTTAGGATCTAATTCTGACTGCCATTTATGCACTAGCACAAGTTCCTACCCTATCCCTTACTTGTAAATTGGGGGCGAGGGTAGTCTTTTTGTTCTCAAAATCTGAGAATCTTGAGGCTCCCTTTCAAACCAAGGTCCCCATTTACAGACTAATTTGTGTCCATGATTAAATCGCAAGCCACACTACCTTGATGTTTTCTGATTGTTAGCTTCCTCCATAACGCTAGGTATGTTCAAGGGTGGTCACAGTTGCCCTCCCCTTCCAAAATAAATGTTTGCCAAGTTTAATTCACTCATGGCACTCCCTCTCAACACCCTCTACACCAGCCATATGGTTTTACTTTTCTGAACAGACTGTACTACCCCAACTATGTCCCCTTTGCTCAAGTTCAGCAAGAATACCATTGTCCCCGAAGTGTCTGAGGCAATACATGGCACACAGAAGGTACTCAGTACATGCTGGTGACAGGAAAGCCATGTTTAAATCCGTGCATTTCCCTCTCATCAAACAGAAGCAAAATCAAAGGCAATAACAATAAAGTCCCAAGGAGAAAGACCTCAACTGAAGAGAAGGAAGCTTTCCCACAGCAGAAGGTAGTAAGTGCTCTGTCACTGGAGGCATACAAGCCAACAGGGGCAGGGCATATGTCAGGCCTGCAGCTCTGATTCCAATTCTGCAGCACACCAGAACCCTGCTTAGAGGATGAATGGGCACTGGTGAGCTGGATAATCTGGCAGGGGAAGACGTGTGAAGAAGACTCTGCACCCTCTTCCCCCAAAAACCCAGATCTATCTTTACTCTTGGGTTTCTGAGGTCCACATCAGACCCCCCACTCTAGGAACATGCCCAGGGCCTGCCGTTAGTTGGACTGACCTCCCTGGGGTGCAGCCTGCCCTTCCAACCTGCAACCATCTGTCCCTGCAGGTTTGCGGCCCAAGATATAAAGCCAAATCCAGAAAGGAGGAGGTCAGTACCAGGGAGGGGCCTAGGGTCCTCTAGGTGGGGCCCAGGCTGTAGGGGAACTGGAGGGGTCCTTTGCTACAAGAACCAGAATCTGCATGAAGCTCACTGTCCAGAGAGCAGAGCCGGGAAGGAAAGGGTGTTCTCCAGCCTGGCTGGTGGGCCTCTGGGTGCCCACGGAGGGTGGAGGAGGAAGCAAGGAGCAGAGATGTCAGCGCCAGGGAGAAAGGAACCCTTCGGACAAGCTGGGCCACAAGATTCCAGAGTCCCACTCAGCAACCCCACCCACCCTTCCAGCGCCTCGGCCGCAGCATTCAGCACCCTCCGCCAACAAGCGCCGGCTCCCGAACCCCGCGCTCCTAAAAGGATCCCTCAGCTATCCACCCGCGCCTCCCCCCCCAAACACGGACCTCACGTGAGCAGCCACAGCCCGGAGAATCCCCCCGCTGCTCTCACGGACAGGGACACGCCTCACGTGGACACAGACAGGAACAGCTTTTGAAAAGCATCCGCGCCCTCACCCACAGACGCCCAGACAGACACACCGCCGCTCGGACCCGCACCCGGACCCAGGCACAGGTGGACCGAACGCACCCTTGGGGCCCGCCCGTCGCACTCACGGCGCTGGAGCAGGATGGGAGGCAAGGCCCGGACTGCGGCCGCTCGGAGGGACCCGCGGCGTTGCCCCCGCTGCCAGCGCCTGTCCGCCCGGCCCTGCCCAGCCCGCGGCGCCGCCCCACGTCCCGCGCCTCCGCCTGTCCCCGCGCCGGCGCCGCCGCCGGATTAGCCGCACAGGCCGGAGGGAGGGGCCGGGGCGGGGCTGCGGACCGGCCGGGGGAGGGGGCGACTCCGGCGCTGAAGACCCTCCCACTCCCCGCCCACCGCGGAGGAGGCACCGCCCACGTCCCCCAGCGCCCCGCCCCCAAACGCCCCTGCGGCGCCTTTGGGCGCTACCTCTGCGGTGCTGCTGTTGAGCGTGGCGAACCGGATCCCGGATCTCCGATCCCGGATCTCGGCCAGCTACTGAGGGCTCCGGGGAAGGGCGGTGTGGTAGGTCTCAGGTACAGGGACGAGGTGCGATCGAGAAAAGGCCGCTGGGGCAGCAGGGATTCAGGACCCTGGGAGGCCGACCTGGCTGTTTTCTGGTAGCACTCTCTCTGGCTTTCTGGACTTGCGGGATATCCGACCTATGGAATTTGCTAGTTTGGTTCCCGCTGAGCAGGGGAGAGCAGGGACCATGTGTATCGCCACTGGATTTTCTGGGCTGCGAAAAAGCAATATCCAGAGCTCAGGGGGAAGGAGGCTTACTAGGAGGTGGGAACTTGATTGAGCGCTAGTGGCCTCAGGAGCCTCCTCGTGAGGAAAATTACCGTTCAGACCATTCAGATTCCCTTACTCAAACCACAGACCCAGAACTTCTCAGAATCAATGCATTACGGAAAAGCAACCCTGGTGAAAGATAACAAAAATTATAACAGGTTCTGAGTGCTAATTATGTACATATAACCAATCATTCTACATAGTCATTTTTTGGTTTTCGGGGTTTTTTTGGTATGGGGGATCGAACTCGGGACCTTGAGCTTTCGGGGCAGGCACTGGAACCACTGAGCTAAATCCCCAGCCCCATTCTACATAATCTTAATACTCATAATTAAGTAGCTTCTTTTATTAGCCCTATTTTTTTTTTTTTTTTTTTTTTATGATTCCGGGGGATTGAACTCGGGTCCTTGCGCTTGCGAGGCAGGCGGCAGAACCACTGAGCTAAATCCCCAGCCCTATTAGCCCTATTTTACAATGAAAAATAAACAGGGTGTTAACCCTGATCACTCAGCTAGGAAGTAATGGAACCAGATTTTGGCCCTGCTTTTAGGCCTTGCCTCATCATTTGGAGATTGAGTACCCTCAGGATAAAAAAAAAATACCTACTAGCCTTATATGAGAAACTCCATTTTTACATCCAGCTCATTAGATGGCTGCAGGCTAACCAAAGCCCAGGGAGCCTGCATGGAATTGCAGCGTCCAGGACAAGAGTAAAGTCAGGCTTCTGTGCACCCTAGTGCTATGAGAATCTGCTGACTGGCTGCCCCCTTTCTCCAGCCCTCCACAGATGGAGAGAATATTGAAAAAGTCTGGAGTCTCTTTGGCCAAGGGACGTTAGATGTGATGACAGATGAAAACAACGTGCTTTTGGGGAGTTTTCTTGGGGTTTTTCACGAGGTTCTGCTTTGGGCTTGACACCCGGATGCACCAGGAACCACAGGAACTGCCTCAATCTCATCTACCCGAGTTCTGGCAACCACCACTTAGCCGCTCCTGTGTTTGAGCAGCCTCAGGCAGGGTTTGTGCTTGAAGTTAGGAGCAAAGGCCGCTAGAGCCCCCAAGATGAAAGAACTGGGGCCTGTACCACACCATTTTAAGCCTTGAGACTATTTTCTCAGCCTTAGATTTCTTCTATGCTGTCACACCTGCTGCTTACAAGGTTTTCTAGCTCCCTTTCTCTCAAGGGCAAAAGTCCTTAACTAGCCTGCAGTTCCCCTTACCACCCCCCTTTCCCTTTTAATTCCAAACTGAATTCCTACTCAGTCTTCACATGTTGTCCTGACCGGTTGTCATCTACCTAATCTTCCAGCCTCAACTTTCAAGATGACACCCTCATCTCTACCCATCTAATCTAGATGTCCCTCCTCTGTGCTCCTCTAGCGCACTATGCTTCTGTATCCTAGTACTTATCACTGTATTGTGGTTGCCTGGTTACTTGTCTGTATCCTCCTCTAGGTCTTAAGCACTGTGGGCAGGGACTATGTTTTATTCACTGATGTTTCCCCAGAGTCTAATGCAGTGCCTGGCAAATAAATGCACTCAGTAAATATTTTCTGTTATGAGTCAATGATGAAGGTCTGCAAGCCCAACTCCCTCTGGATCTTGTGCCCTTAAAATCCACAGCTCTCTTGGTATTGAGCTGTGGGGCATATAGTTTTGGCTCCAGTTGGGGTTGAGGGGGATCAAGTCATCAGACTGTTTCTGAAACATGTGACTTTAGATTTCTGGGCCCAGTTCTCGACTTCATAGCACTTGGGTGTATAATCAGACTTAGTCCACCCAGCCCACCCTCCTGTAGTCCCCACAAATTGACCTCACTGGGCCTACTTTTATGAAAGGTTTATTCCTAGTGCTAGATCCCAATCTCTTGGGTTCTAAGCACAATTAAACTGGGTGGGTGGGTGAAAGGAGGCCCATTCAGATGCTGGCCAGAAATGGAGCTCCCCGTTATCCCCACCCCTTTGGTCCCAGTCCCCTTCTCTGCAATGGGCACGCATAGAGGAGGGACAAAGGGTATTGGAGGCAACATCATTGGCCCAAGGGAGCCCAAGAAGAGCTGCCATTGGCTGACAAGGCCTTTTGAGACTCTTGTCATTGGTCAGGGGCACACCCCAGGAGCTGGGGATAGGCCCGAGGAGTGATGCCATTGGCCAGGGAGTGGTTCTGTCGTAGCCTTTGGCTGTGGAGTGGAAGGAAAAGATCTGGGAGTGAAGCCCAGTAGCCAGAAAAAATGAAGGACAGGGCAGCAGCTTCTGGGCCTACAGGTCCTCTTCATACCACAGCAGTATGGGCAAAATTCGTGTCAGATCCCAGCCAGGGAAAGGGAGCCCAAGCCAGAGGGCAAATGGCAAGGGATGTCCCATGTCCAATCTCCTCCACCCTGGGGGTGCCCTTCCCAGTGTCCTTCTTGATAGCCAAGATGGGCTGGAAGTAGCTCACTGCTCCTCTAGCCAGGAGGGCTTCTCAGCTCCTGGAGGCCGCAGCTTGATGTTGAATTGCTGTAGGGTCTGCTCCAGTTGTTTCTGGTTCCCAGCAAAGTAGGCGGATACCGCGTTGTGGAAAAGCAGCAGCTGCTTGTGCATCACCTTGATCTAGGGGTCCAGCAGGGTCAACTAAGGCTGGACTCAGGTGCCCTTTTTGAGAGCTCTGAGCCTGAGTATAGATCAGGGGTATGTGGACTCCGCTCTGATTGTGCTTTGGGGATGAGGACTGAACTCCACCCAGGGAAACAAAGGAGAAGGGTCAATCTGACTGTAAAAACCTAACTTGATTTTCTGGGCCTACGGTCTCATACCCCAGCTAAAGGTGTGATTTTTCCCAGTTAAGTTTCTGGGAAATTCCCTAACAGAAAAGGGCCAGTGATTGGCAGGAGAGAGACCTGAAAAAAGCTCAAGGGTTGAGGGGGCCGGAGCTGCATCTCCCCATATGATAACGAGGAAGGTGTCAGGGGCAGGTTACTGTTAGATGGGAAGGAGGTTTAGGACCAAGGGAGTGGGGTTGGCACCTTGTTTTCTTCCAGGAACTTGAGCTTGATGGCCACATCTCCCCGAAGCTTCTCATACTTGTCCCGATGTGCCTGGAAAGTGGCCTGGGCGCTCTCAAGTCGACCACGTGTCCCTGCATCGCGGGGGCCTAGGCTCAGCTCCTCTAAGTCTGTTCGGTAGGCATCATATTCCAGCCTGGGGAGGGGGTGATAAAGGCTGGTCTCCACCCCTTTTTTTCCAACACAGATTCTCCTGTCCTTCCTGAATTGCCCCTAAAGCCCAATTTCCACCCATATCAACCAACTTCCCAAACCTTAGGCCCTGCCAGTCCCACACCTGGCAGCCTCATACTGTTTGACAGTCATGAGCGTGTCTTCCATGGTCTTGGTGACCAACGTGTTGATGCTAGAGACAAAGAAGTTCACAGCCCCTAGGAGCGTCTCCCCATTCTTGCACAGAAGCTTCTGTGTCTCTGCATTGTAGCCAAATTCCTCCTGAGGGCAGAAGGAAAGGACAGGCCTTGAATAAGAGTCTCTTCATTCCCCTCCTTCCTGGAGAGGAAAATGCCATCAAAACTAAAACAACCAAGGCCTGACTCTAGCAAGGCTCTCTTAGCCAGGAAGCTAGTTTGGCCATCCTGGGGATCCCTACAGTAGGAATGTTGGCCATGGGTGTTCTCAGATAAGTTCAACAGACTGAAATAGAAAGCTAGTATAGCAGGCAGGGGAGGGGCTCTGATTAGGCCTACTACCAGAAGTATTCTCAACAATGTAGAAAAGGGTTATTGTAAAACACCTAGTGTGCCCCCTCCCCCATCCCCACTCCCTCCAACTTCTGGACCTCTGTACAAACCCTTAGATTGCCTTCACACGTGAGTGCTGCTGGGGGCAGGGCTGGGCCCACCCTCGAGGGGTTCTCCCTGTGGGCTGCAGGACGGAGGGAGGGAGTCTGAGGAGTGACTGCTTGGAAGGGCCCGGGCCCAGTCCCCCCACCCTCTTTGCTCTGGCCAAGGCACCTGAAGCTCTGGGGACTTCTGGCTGAGATCAGCAAAGGCGTCACCTAGTGCATGCTGGGTCTGCAGCAGGCTGTAGAGATGGGCTGTCAGTGCCCGGCCCAGCTGCAGGACACTTTCATACTTGCGCTTCGTCTCACGGAGCAACTCGATCTGTAGCTCTAGCTCCAGGTCCACAGTCCGAGAGCCTCGGCCAAATCGCTCTGATAACAGTTGTTTTGTGCACTGATTGGGAGGTGGATGAATAGGTCAGAGAACCTAGACCCTGCCCCCCACCAACAAGTACCTACTCCAGCACCCCCAGTCTCCTAATCTCAGCCATAGATGGGCTATTAGGATCTGGAGAAAAGGGGAAAAGTTACCCAGGGGGAGTTTTGAGAAAGGGGGAGGTGCTTAAATCCCACCTTATATGTGTTGATGCCCCATTTCTTGACGATGTCAAACTTCTCTCCAGCGATGCCCCGGGCTACCTCATCTCCAGGGCCAGCAGGAGTGGTGCTGTGAGATGGATGGCGGCCAGATCCTAAAGGACCGAGTTCTTGACACCAGCCTCTCTCAGATACAACCTGACACCCCTGAGGCCCCACCCCTATTTCCTACCTAGCACCTGAGCACATGAAATGATTTCCCCAGAGGGGAAAGCTAGAGAGGATTAGACTGTCCTACTAACTACCCTAGGAGAAATCAGGAACTCGTGCTCTGAAGCCAAATCCCAATAAATACTTAGCCTTCTTGTGGGGGGTAGTGAGGGGTTGCTGGTATATAGAGGCAGAGGAACCAAAAAAATATGCTAAGTTGCAGAGGAGACAGTGGGTGCTCATAATAGTAAACCTGGTTGATGTTCCCCTAGAGAACCCTATTCTAGGAGATTAGGGCTGTTTCTTCCTCTACAGTAAAATTCTGGGAAGCCTCACAGAGTTCCAAATCAGTCTCAAGCTCCAAAAGGAAAACTCCTGAGAACTAGAGGTACTGTGTTAAGTGGGCCCAGGTGGTGGCAGCAGGAAAAAGAAAAATGGCCATCTCGGGGATCAAGGAAAGAAAGAAGCAGGATAACCCTAGGCGCTGGTGTTGGGCCATGGAGACAGTCCATTGGTCCTGTACTAGCAGAAGTTCTCAAAATCTCTACACATGATTCAGTTGTTCCTAGATGTATCCCATGCTCCTCCAAACCATCCCAGTCCCCCTCTCCTCTCAAACCTTCTGTCTCTGATCATTCATACCTGTGGGGATGAGTCCATCACCAGAGCCCCCATAGCCACCAGATACAATGCTGGTTTCATTGAGGTTGGGTCCTGACACCATCACCTGTTGGAGGTCCTAGAGGCCAGAGAGAGGGGCACGGGGGTACTTCAGGAACACATGGGCAGCTGAAACATTTTGGGGGTGGGAACTTAGATTGGGGGGAGAGAGAGTGAGATAGAGAGGGAGGGAGGGGGAGAAAGAGAGAGAGGGAGATAGACTGGGAGAGAGGGAGAGAGCATAAACACACACAATGGAAATCACCACAGAATCAAGTGAAGATTTTGTAAAACGAATGAAGGGAATTAGATAACTTAGGGGATGGCTACTGGAATGGGATGGGAGTGAGGGGAAAGGATTTATACACCGGGCTCCCAAAAGACAGAAGCAATAAACAGAAGCACCTGCTCCAGTCCATCATCTTCAGGAAGCTGCCCAGCTTCACCATTCCCATGGATAGGGATCTCCATTGTGGCTGCCTTCCCTAGGATCCCGTCCGTCATGGCTAGGGAAGGGGCAGTCTCCACCCCAGCACCCTGCAAAGCCCAAAACAGCTAGTTCTGGAAACCAGCCAGCACTCCAGAAGAGGGAGGCCTCCCCTGCCATTTCTAAGGCTTCAGAGGTTGTCCCAGGACTTGAGTGTCCCTGGGGCTCAGCCACCACTTCTTTCCTCTGATATATGTATTTCTCCCCTCCAACGTGTGTATTTCTACACATGCACATCTAAGCCTTAGGTGTCTTCTCACCACCCCCAACCTCAGCTTTAGTAATCATTCACGCATTCACACATTCAACTGATATTAGTGAGTGCCTACCATGTGTCAGGCACCAAGGCAATGGGAACAGAGCAGTGAACAGGAGATAAAATCTGTGCTGTCTTGGAACTTGTCCCCACGCAGGTGTGTTTACTCCCACCAGGAGACCAGCCCCTTTCCGCGGCTAAGGTGCTCACCCAGCATTCAAGCGTGCTCTCCAAGGCTTGGCCTTCCACATTCCTTGGTGTAACTTCTTTCCTCCCTCGGGAGGTCTCCCCCTCCTCCATCTCAAGCACCTCCTCTTTCTAGAGCTCTCCCCAGTAGGCCTTAGTTGAATCAATTGGTGTATGTTCCCGGTGTCTGATAAAAGCCTGTTTCCCAGTATCTAGGCTTTCCCTTCCAAAGTCAGTTACGTCTTCCAGGTGTGTAAGTCCTTGCTCCTTCCCCGCCCCCATACACCTGGGCATCAGGTGTGTCCTCATCCTTGCCCAAGGCTTAGGGGCATTTTGCCCTAAGGACAGGTTCGTGAGTTTAACTTCCTCTCACTCAAGTAAATCCCTCTTACCTGGGCCGGGCCGTTCTTCCCCTCAGGGCGCCAGGCCCGGACCGCACGGGGACCTCGGGTTCCAGTTCCCGTCGCGATCCAAGTAGCAGGTCAGGGACTTGGAGGAAGTGACGTACACTCCGGGCAGAAGAAGCCGGCCACGTCGCAGATTGTAAGGGCGGAAGTGACGTAAAGGAATTGGGCCGGGCGATCCTGGAACCAAGCCGTCAATCCTTGGAGAGCGGAACGGTTACTTCCGGGGTGGTATAGCTAAGCTGTAAAGGAAGTGACGCGTCGCCCCTGGCGGTGTTATGGAGCAGCAACAGCAGCAACTGAGAAACGTGAGTGAGAGTTGATTTGTTTCAAGGCCAGACGTTTCCACAGCGAAAACCCCAGAGATTCTAGAGCTGGGGACACGGGCTGTGGGGCGCGGTACTGGGATACGTCGGCGGCGGGGCCTTGAATTGAAGGGTGGAGTGAAGCTCTTGTAGCTGAGTTCTTGGTCCCCTTCTCTCCCAGTTGCGAGACTTCCTGTTGGTCTACAATCGGATGACAGAACTCTGCTTCCAGCGCTGTGTGCCCAGCCTGCACCACCGAGCTCTGGACGCTGAGGAGGTGGGGGTCTGAGTAGTGAGGTCATCCTCAATTCCAAGAACTAACGGTGGGGTGTTTCCTCATCCCCTCAGTTCCACTACCTCTGACCCTGGCTTTTCCGTGACCTTAACCCTAGATTGGGAATGGGGAAGGAAGGAACGGGATTGATAGGACACTTTTGAACTCTACTTCCACCTTATTTTCCTTCCAGGAGGCCTGCTTGCACAGTTGTGCTGGAAAGCTGATCCATTCCAACCACCGCCTCATGGCCGCTTACGTGCAGCTCATGCCTGCCCTGGTACAGCGCCGCATCGCAGACTATGAGGCCGCCTCAGCTGTGCCAGGTGTTACTGCAGAACAGCCCACAGTCTCGCCACCAGGCAGCTAGCCAGCCCCAACCCTAGCCCCAGGAGGGAAGGTACTGGAAGGACCCAATGGACCTTGGGCTTGGTGAAGCCCAGAGAGATTGAGGGATTGCCAGAAAGCTGGGTACTCTTGCTCCTTTCCTGGAGACAATAAACCCAGTTTTTGCCGTTTGGTTTATAATATGAGTAGGGAACCTTTGTCCACTTTATTAGCACCATCCTTTGTTATGTCACTTACTGCGTGTTTGCTGGCTTCACCCCTCGCAGCTGAGAAATTGCCTTCTATATCTAGAAGGACAGCCTCAGTATTCCCAGCATCTGATTAGAGCAAGGTCTGTGGGTACAGTTTACAGGTTGGTAGTACAAATAAGAAGTTACTTGCTGCTCAGATGACAGATAAAATAATGAGAGATCTCTCTGGCTGTCTTTGAGTCTTTCTAACTTAAATAGACGAGTGTGCATTGGCATATAATTTTTTTCCTGGACTGCGTCTTACAAAAAGAGTTCTGTTGGATCTAGGGCAGAAGGTGATATCAGTAACAGAAGGGGGAAAAAAACAGCTCCAAAAAACCTGTAGGGCTTTTAGGCATTGCTTCTTAGGAAGTCAGTGGTCACAAAACACAGATAAAACCTCTAAGAATTGGAGGTGTTCTATAATTGCAGCCATTTCCCCAGTTTAGTTTCTTAGTATTTACTGTCTTCCTGGGATCACCATTAAAATGTTTAAATTTTTTTTAAAAATGTGTTCTTCAGGGGCAATCAAGAATGCAGAAACTATAGTATGGTCAAATTTGGGGAAGACAAGTCTAAGGGAAAAGTAGGTAGTGGTGTTTATTTAAAAAAGAATAAAACAAGGGTCAGGGATTTAGCTCAGTGGTTCTGCCACCTGCCTCGAAAGCCCAAGGTCCCGAGTTGAATCCTCAGTACCAAAAAAAAAAAAAAGAATGAAACAAAAATCTGTGGGTCCTTTTTAATGCTACTTAATGTGTCACTTGCTGCTGTCTAAAATCCTGTAATTCCAGTTTTCCACCCTCTACCCAACATTATTCTCACTATACTTCTTCAGTGACTTATAATTCCAGCCTCTATATTCTTGTTTGTTTGGTTTTTTGAGATAAGGTCTACCATTGTAGTTCAGGCTAGCCTTGAACTCACTATGTATCTAAGCTGGCCACAAACTCATAGCAATCCTCCTGCCTCGACCTCCTAAGTGCTGGGATTACAGGCATGAGCCACCATGCCCAGCTGCATCCTCTGTATTCTTTTCTCATTATCGCCTTCCCTTTTGTGGGGATTACTTCTGTATTCAGCAGCCTGAATGACATATCACCCCACCTCATTTTCTTCCCTTTAGCCTCCATTTTGTATCATTGTTTTATTTTTTTTTCCATCTAAGCTCCTAAAGAAAAGTAGTTATATAATGAATGCCATGGATATTTAGTCTCCAACCTGAGCCAAGCCCTCACTACCAGCAAGCTACTCTTTTACGGGTTCTCGGTCTATTCTGTCATCTGATCACCATGACAGAGCCACCTACTCGCTTAGTTGTATCTTGGTTATTGCCATCACCTCAAACTACTCCATCTTCAAAACACTATCACATCATAGTCACTGGTCATATTTCTTTTCCCTTTTTCTTTGTTGAACTGTTGCTTTTATTCTTGATTTCACTACAGCATTCAGGCTATTGGTTCTGAACTTTTTCCAGCCAGTTTAAACTGGTGGTTTTCTTTCAACAAGCTGAATTCCCTTGCTTTTCATCTTTTTGGACCCTAAAGATTAAACATTTGTGCCTATATTTGAACAGCTAAATAGAAACCAATATTGAACAAATATATATCACCATGAATCCATAGTTATCAACTTCAAATGGAGTTTCAGCTCCAATAATCCCACTGGCTTTTTCTGATGTTTATTACTCCCTATAAAGACCATTTCAAACTAATAACCTCTTAACATTCTTTCTGTGGGTCACCCTATTTATAGATGAAAGCAGAAGCTATGTATCCTACCACTTACTAATCCACATTCATCTGCAGCATTCTCACCTCTTTCCCTCCTTCCTGTCAAAACAATGAATCCTCTAATGCCAGTGCCTATTCTTGTGCTTTGAATTTTAGTCTTTTCCTGTTTGAGGTTCTCTTTCTTCCTCCTGCTTTACTAGATATCAGTGCTTAAACATGTTAACAACTCCCTTGTAACAATAAACCATTGTACTTTATTTCCCCTCCAGTTACCATCTTTTCTGTAATCCAGCTGAGTCTTTCAAAAACAGATACTTTGGCTCCCATTTTACAAGTCACTCTCCTTTTTCCATTCATTAGCCGGGTCTGTTTTGAATTATACACCCTTTATTTTATTTTATTTTTTTGGTACCAGGGATCGAACTCGGGTCCTTGCCCTTTCGAGGCAGGCAGCAGAACCACTGAGCTAAATCCCTGGCCCTACATCCTTTATTAAAATAGTTCTTAGTAAGGTCACCTTAGTTGTGACATTATGTCCCTGAATCCCTAGTGGTTATTTTTTAGTCCCCGGCTTACTTCTGAGTGGCATTTGGTGCTGTTTTCTTTTTTCGGGGATCAAACTTGGGTCCTTGTGCTTACGCAGCAGGTCGCGAAACCTGGTGCAATTTTCTAGTTCCTCATCATTGACCCATTTCCATTGGTGGCCTTGATTCCACTCGTGGTTTTCCTGTCTCTCTGACTACAGCTTCTTAACCTCCTTAGCAGGGTTACCCTTTCCCTAGTCTTCAAACCTAAAAGTTTCTCTAGGTCTTGTTTTTTCTCAGTCTAACTTTTCTAGGATGGTTTTATCCCCACTCTAAGTTTTAATTGCTAATGACTCAGATTTACCTTTACACAGATAAGTTAATATCTAAAAGGCCCCATCTTCAGCAATTCATTTTATAGCATTCCTTTGTATTGTGGTACTGGGGATTGAACCCAGGGTCTTCATATTATTATAGACAGCTAAGTTAGGTAAGAATATAGACAGGGCTAGGGCCTTGAGGGAGTCAGTCCAGAGGATGAGAACACATTACAACTGTGGCTAGAGGCACATCTATCGAAGCCCAGGCCTCAAAGAATGACCAAGTCTACCTGCCTCCCCAAGGGATAAGCAATAAATTGAATATTATACTATAATTGGTATCACCTGGTCCAGTATAGTGTAGATAGACATCAGTCACCCAGGTGGGTGACCAGGACCTCCTGATCCATCCCTTGCTTCAGAGGTCTTTGTTCTTTGCATGTACACTTGCTACGTGACCTCCTGCCCCATTGAATCAATATTTAAGTGACTATACTTGTAATCTTACTGGTTAATCATAGTTTTGACCCATGTTGTACCCACCTCATGATTTTGCTCTATCAAACTTAAAAGAAGTGGGCTCATTGACAACCCACTTTCAGGTCCCCTCCTATCAGAAGCTATCAGTAAATTTCCTACTCTTAACCTCCATTCTTCCTTAGAATTTATTCTTTGATTTTGGGGAACACGAACTCTGCATATCTGACATCTACCAAGTTAGGAGTTATATTATTTCCCCTATATCAATATGGACCTACATTCCCAGATTTTTTTTTTTTTTTTTTGAGACAAGGTTTCACTAAGTCACTAAATTGCCCAGTCTGGGCTCCAACTTTGTCCTGCTTCAGTCTCCCAGAATGCTAGGATTACAGGTGTATGGCTACCACACCTGGCTTCACTGTTTCTAAATCCTATGCTTAAATATTGAATCCTTTCTCTCCATCTCTATTATCACTGCCTTAATTAAACTTTTAGCAGGTTGGTTTTTTTTTTTTTTAAGACAGCATTTATGTTGTTCAGCCTGGCCTTGAATTCACTATGTAGCCCAGTCTGGCCTCAGTTTGTGACAATCCTCCTTCAACCTCCCAAATCCTGTAATTACAAGCATGTGCCACCATGCCTGTTCCTTATCAGTTCTTTCACAGATTATGGCAGTCTCCTAACAGCTTTTTATCTTGAACCTGGACCTTTTTGATTATTTGGGATTTAGCTCAGTTACATGTAACAAAGACAAGAATATTAGACACAAACTTTTTATTTCTCTTTCAAGTAAAAGTTTAGTCCAAAGCTGTTGTAGAGACTTCACAGTCATCTGAGAACCAGGGTTCTTAGCAGCTTTCTGATGGTTGTAGATGGAGTATGGTTCTCATCCTTTGACCAAGGGTGGAGTTTTCTTCATCAAATAAACAGTCCAGGAACAGAATGGGGTAGGGATTTGTGGGGAAGGGACATGCATTCCTCCCTTTAAAGACATGTTGGAAGTTACACATCACAAATTTGTCATATGGCCAGACTGTTAAAAGAGAGACTGGGAAATATAATCTGTACAATCAGTCACTTGCAGCATCTGTTTCTAAGGAAGAAGAGGACAACAGCTATTGGGAGATACCTACCAATTCATTTTCTATACTAGCCAAAAACGTTTCTTGTAAAATTGAAGTAATCATGATGCTCATCTACTTAATGACCTCTGTAACATTCAGACTCCTTAGTATCACAACTGAGGCTTTTTCTAATCAGTTCCCCTGTGACCTCTCTAGACTCATCTTTAACCTTCTTTTCTCACGTTTTGTCCTTCCTCTTATCCCTGAGGAACTGATTTTGAAGCTGAGATCCAAAGGAAAATTTAGAATTGTTTGGACAAAAGATAGAGGGAAAGACTGCCTTCCTTTCTTCATGTTTTTGTTTAGATGACACCTTTTTTTCAGTGATGTGAGTTGAACCCAGGAAACATTGAGGTACATCCTCACATCCTCAGTCCTTTTTATTTTTTTATTTTGGACAAGGTTTTACTAAGTTGGCAAGGCTGGCCTTGAATTTGAAATCTTCCTGTGTCAGCCTTCCAGAATGGTGGGATTACAGGTATGTGCCAACATGCCCAGCTGAAAATTCTTTTTAAGTAGCTTATGTGACCTTTAGTTTTGTGTGTAAACTTGGCTAAGTTAAATATAGTACCATTATTTACTATTAGTTATTTAATAACTAATCTAGGTGTTATTTTGAAAGTATTCTGTAAATGTGAGTAACACTTACAATTAATTGGCTTTAAAGAAAGATTAGCCTTGATAGTATAGGTAAGCCTCGTCCAATCAGTTAAGACCTTAAGAGTAAAACTGAGATTTCCTAGAAAAGAAGATAATCTGCCTCAAGACTGTAACATTAATTTACTGTCCCTTTATGATAAAAGCCCTGAATAAATTAGGTATAGAAGGATTATTTTCAAAATAATGCAGGCTATATATGACAAACTCAGTCAACAGCAAACCAAATTGAGGGAAAACTGAAAGTATTTCCTCTTAAGAGCAGAAGCAAGAGTGTCCACTCACCATTCTTACGGTACTAGAAATTCTAGCTAGAGCAATCAAGCAAGAGAAAGAAATAAGCATACAAATAGAAACACAAGAAATCAAACTGTCCCTGTTTGCAGATAATATTCTGTACATAGCAAACTAAGTCATTCCACCAAATGACATTTAGAGCTAATAAATTCAATAAAGTAGCAGGGTACAAAATCAACATATAAAAGTCTAGCTTTTCTATACACCAATAGTGAATTCACTGAAAAAAATCAGGAAAACCATCTTGCCTACAATAGCCACCAAAAAAAACTGTTTTGAAAAGGAAGTACCAAAGAATAAACCTACTTAAGTAGGCAGAAGACCTAAAAGAAAAAGTACAAAACACTGAAGAAAGAAATTAAGATACTAAAACTGAACGTGGTGACTCACGTCTGTGATCCCAGCACTCTGGGAGGCTGAGGCAGGGGGATTGAGAGTGAGAGATCCTGTCTCAAAAAAATTTAAAGTGCTGGGGATGTAACTCAGTGCAAAATCCCTGGGTTCAATCCCTAATACCAAAAAAAGAAAACACTAAAAAGTGGAGAGACTTCCCATGTTCATGGATTGGGAGAATTAATATTGTTTAAGTGGGCATGCTGCACAAAATGACCTACAGACTCCGTGCAGTCTCCATCAAAATACTAATGTCATTTTTCATTGAACAAGAAAAAAAATAATTCTAAAGTTCTTATGAAAATACAAAAGACCTAGAATAGCCAAAGCAATCCTGAGCAAAAAGAGTAATGCTGGGCCAGGGGTTTAGCTCCGTGGCACTGTGCCTGCCTTGCAAGTGCAAGGTCCTGAGTTCAATCACCAGCACTGCCCCCCCCCCAAAAAAGAATAGTGCTGGAGTCATCATAATACCTGATTTCAAAACACACTTCAGAGCCATACTAATGAAAACATCATTGCACTGGCATAAAAACACGTCCATGAACAATGGAACAGAATAGAAGACCCAGAAATAAATTGATACATCTGTCAAGTGATTCTTAACAAAGGAACCAAAAACATCCATTGGAGAAAGGACAGCCTCTGTATGTAGCATGGTGCTGGGAAAATTGGGTATTCACATGCAGAAGACTAAACTCTGTCTCTCACTCTAGAAAAATCAACTGAAAATGGATCACAAACGTTAATGGAAGACTTGAAACTTTGGGTTTGGGTTTGGTTGGTTGGTTTTATTTTTGTTTGTTTTTGGGGACAGTCTCACTATGTAGTTCAGGCTGGCCTTGAACTCATAGCAATTCTCTAGCCTCAGCCTCCTGAGTGCTGGGATTACAGGTGTGCACCACCACACCTGGCAAGACCTGAAACTTTGAAACTACTAGAAGAAAACAGGGAGGAAACACTTCACGATATAGGCACATGCAGTGATTTCCTAAATAGCACTCCAGAACTCCAATAAACAAAAGGAAATATTAACAAATGAGAGTACTTCAAATTAAAAAGCTGCACAGCAAAGGAAATGAATAGGATGAAGAGAAAACTTACAGAATGAGAGAAAATCTTTGCCAACTCTTCATTTAACATTAAGATCCAGAATATATAAAGAACTTAAAAAAGCCACAATAAATGAGAAATGATATAAATAGTTCATAAAAAAGGAAGTACAGTGGCCGGGAATTTAGCTCAGTGGTTTCACTGCCTGCTGCACAAGCACAAGGACCCGAGTTCGATCCCCAGTACCAAAAAAAAGGAAGTACAAATGACTAATAAGTATATGAAAAAATGCTTGATATCTGTAGTCATCAGGGAAACGCAAATCAAAACTACACTGAGATTCCATGTTATTCCAGTTAGAATGGCTGTTGTAAAAACAAAACAAAAAAAATGCTGGTGAGGTTATAGAGAAAAAGGAACCCTTATATACTTTTGGTGGAAATTAAATTATCCACTATGGAAAACAGCATGGAGGGCCCTCAAAACACTAAAAGTACAACTACCATATGATATAGATAAACCATTCCTAGCTATGTATCTGAAGGAAATGAAATGAGAATATAAGAGATACCTTCATACCCATATTATTGTAACACTATTCACAGTAGGTATGATATAGAATTAGCCTAAGTACCTATCAACAGAAGAATGGATAAAGAAATGTGGTATATATACACAATGAAGCAACATTCAGCTATAAAAAGAATAAAGTCCTCTCATTTGCAAAAAAATGGATGGAACTAGAAGACATTATGTTAAGTAAAATAAGCTAGACCCAGACAAGTATTCAGGATATTTTGCTTTTGGAATTTTGTTGTTTTTGGTTTTGAGCTGAGGTTCAAACCCAAACCCTTGCACTGGGGAGGCAAGCACTCCACCACTGAGTCATATTCCAGTCCCAGACTCAGAGAGACAAGTATCATGTTTTGTCTTTTATGTGAAAGCAAAACAACAAAAGCAAAAAAGATTGGGCAGGGGATTTAGCTCAGTGGTTCTGGAGCCTGCCTCACAAGTGCAAGATCCCCAATTCAATCCCCAGTACCAAAAAAAAAAAAAGGGCCAGAGATTTAGCTCAGTGGTTTCACCACCTGCTGCGCAAGCGCGAGGACCCAAGTTCAATCCCCAGTACCAAAAAAAAAAAAAAGCAAAAAGATGTACTGAAAGTAGAAAAAGGACTATTAGGGTTGGGAAAGAAAGTGGAGGAAGGTGGGAGAAGGAAAGGAAGATATGATCAAAGCTTTATATGTGTATGTATAGAAGTGCAGCAGTGAAATCCATTCATTTGTACAATTAATATGTATTTGTACTTATCATAGTAAAGCAGATGGGATATTTGGGAATATCATGGAATTACTAGACATTTTTTCCTTTGATTCTTTCAAGTGGGGCCTAGAAAATAAAGACACATCTAATTGTAAACATTAAAACAAAATTGCAGCATTAATTTCTCCTTGAGTTTCCAGCATGCTAGCCTGCCCAACAGATTTTAGAATTACCAACCCCCACAGACATGTGAGCCAATTCCTTAAAATAAATCTCTATATATGTATGTAAAAGTGTACATATATCTTATTTCTCAAGAGAACCCTGAGAGATACAGCATCTTTTTTTTTTTTTTCCTAACAGGAGGTGAGGCCATCATGTGAGAATAAAGCAGAAGAAAATGGAAGATGAGCGAGTACAGATGGTTTGAAATATTCTTTGGGCAGTATCAAAGAATGAACTGACAAAGGAAACAATTAGATTTTTAGCCAGTGTTGAAGGCTCAGTAGAGGTTAGTGATCAGCATTCTCTTCTGTCCTTGTCTGGAAAGCTTCCGATGTTTTAAGGCTTAAACTCTATGGCCTAATGTGATTTGAGGACTCTGCCTTGCCCTTCCCAGGAAGGACTGTCTATGCCCTTACTCATGCCTTTACCAAACTCTTGTTCAACAGTATGTTAAGATCAGTAGCCAAACATATCAATTGTATCAAATATCTATTATCTACCAGGCTATATTCTAAGTATTTTATATACATTAATTCATTTAATCCTCATAATCAGTCACCCTATAAGGGTTCATTTTCAAAAGATGAAGTCAGGATGTCAGGCAGTCTAACCCCAAAGCCTGTCTCCTTACCCACTAATGAAGATTGTTACACATTCATATATTTTCTCTGTGAATATTTTCTGATCCCCTATTCATGGTGCCTCACCTTAGGGACTGGGGATAGAGTAGGGAAGAGAATTGCTGCTGCTATGGAGCTTACATTTCAAGTCAGGACAAGACAGTAAACAAATAAATACCTGTTTATATGAGATGGTAATTGATACTGTGGGAAAAAATTATTTAGGGCAAAGAGGGTAAAAATGTTGAGAAGAGTATTGCCATTGTCTATTGAGTGGCTAGGGAAGAACCCAATAATAAGGTGGTTTTTGAGCAAGGACTTCAAATGAGGGAGTAACCCTTCGGGACATGTGGAAGAAAGAGTGTACACTGCTTTGCTGTTCAACTAGTACTGTAAGCCGCTAGTTCGCCCCCATTATCCACTTCCCCCCTTTTTTTTACTAATGGAACCCCTGAAATTTCTCTGGGTGCATAATGACTAAAAGTAAAGATTAGATTTGCTAGCTTTAGTTACAAGTAGGTATGGCCATGTGCTTGAGTGATGTGGGAATTTAGCAAACTGCGCCATTCACAAAAAGGGTATGCCTTCTCTTTGCTCTTTTCTCCTATCTCACTAGTTAGGATGGACCCCAGAAGACATGATGGTGAGCCCTCTGGGACTTTGAAGACAAGGACTACTTCCTTGGAGAAGGCATGTTAGCCCTGGAGTACTTAAATAGTTACATGAGAGAGAAAAATAAACTTCTATCATGTTTAAGCCATTGTATTTTGAGTCTTTATTACAGCATATGTGTGATAAGCAAAATCTTAGTCCCTGAGATATTCTGCCCCTGGTATATATACTGTGCTTATCCCCTGGGACTAGGAATGTGACATTTTGTACTTCTGCAATTGTTATATTTCATGGCACAATTGATCTTAAAAATTATCTGAGTGAACCTGATTTAAGCCATTTAAAAGCAGGAGTGTTCCTTGGCTGGCTGCAGAAGAGGATATGAGAACAATTTGAAGCATGAGAAGGGTCTGAGGCATGTTTTCTGGCTTGAAGAAAGAGGGACATGGGGCAAGGAAGGCAGATGACCTCGACATGAGAGTTGCCTATGACTGATAGCCAAGAAAGGAAAGAGACCTCAGTCCTGCAACTGCAAGGTGCTAAGACCTGCCAACAAGAATGAACTTGGAAGCAGATTTTTTTTTTTTCCTCAGAGCTTCCAGATGAGAATTCAGCAGACTTCACTCTGTTTCAGTACTCTGTTCATACGCACAGCAAAGAGCCCCGCCAAGCCATGCCGGACATCTGATCTGTAGAACTGTGATAATGCTACTCGTGCTGTTAAGCTGTTTAGTTTGTAATACTGTGTTACACAGCCACCGAAATCTTGTGTTTTAGTGAAGCTCCTCCAGAGGACCAACCATAGGCTCAGAAGCTGCACAGTTTGTTGTCTAACGCTGGAAAAAAACTAGTGTGTAATTCAGTTCCAGTCCAAAGCCATCAAGGGTTCCAGTGTCTGTGGGCAGGAGATCGGTGTCTGTGCTCAAAAAGATAATTCACCCTTCCTCTGCCTTTTTGTTCTATTCAGATGGCAAGATGATGAAAGGAGCAGCTTTTGGAGGAGAGCACAGGGCCCTGGTTTTGGACATTTGAAGTTTCAAAGTTTGAGCCTGGCATAGTGGTGCTCACCTGTAATTCCAGCACTTGGCTGAGGCAGAATTGCTGCAAGTTAGAGGCCAGCCTGGGCTACGTAGTGAGTTCAGAGCCAGCCTGAGCTATGTAGCAAGAAACTATCTTTAAAAAAGTTTGAGATACTCTTCAGCTATCCAAGTGACGATATAAATAGTTTGATGTACAAATCTGGATTTCATAGTAAATGTAGGGCTGGATTTCTTTTTTCTTCCCTCCCTTTTCCTTTCCTTCCCTTTCTTTCATGATTCAACTGAATTTTTAAAAATCAACCATTCCTGGATTCACAGCCCCCATCTAGATTTGGAGCTCTTGGAGATTAAGATTTTGTTTTACTGTATTCAGGTTTCCTTCTGGGCTTCGGGGTGGGGCTGATTCGTATGTTGGTATGTTTGAGGCGGAGAGGGGAGGGAGTCCCCTGGGACAAACCTCACTGGGACCCGGCAGTAGCTTACCCAATGAATAGATAGTCACATGAATGACACCTGCTGTCCACACCTCAGATCATGTCATCTTTTCAGACCCAGTCGGGTCCTTTGTAGGCCTCTTCGTGCCACCGCGGGCGGGGCCGGTCGAGGTCTGGCCCCTCCAAGGCCCCGCCCACCTGCGACCCCACGCTGTCCCTTAACCATTCTAACAGCTGGGAGCAGTGCAGCTGCTCGCGGATCCGCTTCCCTTGGTCCCCCAGGAAGGCGCCCTCCCACAGGCTACCAGGAGCTCCTCCTCCGCCTTCCTCTTTCAGCTCACTCCTTTGCCCCTTCTTCCTCTAGGTTCCATTGCGCCCCGACCACCTGTTCGTGGTGCCCACTCCTTGGCTTTCTGTCCTCACGGGCTTCTCAGCCTGTGGGCGAAGACGTCAGGGGCCGGGGCCTTTGCTGCCTGAATGAAAACTCATTCTTCCCCTTCAGGTGATCGCCAGCCTCCACTCTGCAGCTTCCTCTCGGCAACTGACCGAGCCCAGGTTCTCTGAGGAGCCCTCGTCGGTGCACCTGTTTTCCTTGTCAAGTGATCACTTGTGTGCCTGCCTGTCTGTGGGTGGGTGGCTTTGACCAGGGGGAGCCCGCGCCTGGGACCCGAGTCTAAGTGCACCCACTTCTCCAGCAGGCGCTGCCCAATGAGACGTCGTCGTCAGCAGAGCTGGCTCTCTTCCCTTCCCTTGCCTCCCATACCCCTTAGGCCAGGTGAGGGGGGCTGGGCGGTGGGAGGAACTCCTGTGTGGGGAGGGCTCCTACCTCTGACCTGGGCCTGCTTCTCAGTCTTTGCGGAAGCAGCAGGGAAGTGTTGAGGGTCTCAGGAAAGGCACTTTGCTGGCCTGGCTCTGCAGATCCATCCTTTTCTGGGTTCTGGGTCCTTTCCTTTCCTTCTCTCCCCAGCCCCACAGACCCTGCTCAGAGCCTGAGAGCCCTTTTCCTCCCCCCTTCTTGGGCTGGACCACGCAGGTGAAGCCCAGAAACAGAGAGCCTGGAACTGGCAGTTGAAGCCTGAACTGTGGGCAAGATCACTTCGACATCAGCTGAAGGTCCAACTCCTCTCGGGCCAGGAAGACAAGGGTTTGTCTCTTGATGCAGAATCATCAGATACCCTTGACTCTTGGCACTCTGTGTGTAGTCTGGACAGCACAGGACAGCCCTGGACCTTCCAGACGAAACAGGCAATTCCTGAAGACAGCGACTAACTCAGAGCAGCCTGCAGTGCTGGAGCTACTGCTAGCTGAGCTCCAAACTCTGTTCTCGGCTGTGCTGCAGGACCACAGCCCTGCAGCTTGGCGCTACCTGCATGCAGTACTGGGTCTCCTGCCTCCGTATCGTGAGTTACTAGGTGGTCACCTTGATTTGCTGCCCTTCTTGGAGCAGCTATACTGCTGGGCACCCTGGGTCCAATCCCAACTCCAGCTGGACCTGCTAGGTGCCATAGACCTGGCTTTTCCCCCAGACAACTCTTTGTTATACAGTGCCTCCCATGTTGACTGCCATCCCCAAAAGAAGAGGTTCAATCAACCAGTCTGCCCTTTTGTGCAGGCCCGGTGGGGTGGACAGCAAGGAAAGGAAGAACTGGCCACGTGGCTGCGACCATTGATACTGCCTGAGCTACAGCACTGCCTGGGCATTGTTGGTGCTGAGGTGGCCCTGGAGGAGGCCCAGTGGTTGGATGGTCTTAGTCTCCTGCCCTTGGCACTGGCTATGGACATCCCTGTGCAGTATAAAAGCAGTGATACTAACAACATAGAAGAGGAGCCTGTCGGAAGCAAAGAAATTAAGTGAGTGAGTGACCCAGTCTGGGCCTTTGAGTAGAGGAGAAAAAAGTCAGTTTAGGGTGACTCTAGGGCCACTTGTTGTCTACAGCCAGCTCACTATTGAGCTTAAGGATTAGCCTGACCCCAAGCTGAGTTGGTGTGAGGTTGCTCCTTCCTTTTTGTCTGTACAATAAACCTAGTGTCTCAATGTTAATCCCCATAGGGAAATGCAGAAATTGAAGTCAACAGTCAGCTATCGGGAAATCAAAGCTTCAAAAAAACCACTTGACTTTCCACAGTTCTCAGACTTCTTTCTTAGATGGTGCCAGAAGCCTGCTTAGTTCTTTTTCTCATTCATTCACAATCACCAAGCTTCACCTCTAGGCCTGACTTACACTGGGTCCTAGGTGCGTGGTATCGAACTTTAGGACACTCCTAGGGAGCGCTTGCCTCCACAGGTCTGTGTAAGCCCAAGGCAGAGTACAGTAGGCAGCACACTAGTTGGGATTTCATCCTGCTCCTTTCAAGGTTTTTGTCCCGCCTTCCCAATGTGGGCTTCTGACCCCTGGAGTAATGATTTTCCCCTAAATTCTGGCTGTCTGAGCTCTTTAGGATTTCAGAATGCTTACAGAATGCTTCCTCTTTTGGAAATACTTTAGCTTTACTCTTTGAAGTTCTCCCTGCCCTTTGGCTTGATTTTCCAGGTGTTTTGTAGTTTGTCTATGAAACGTTCACTGTCTGGGGAAAAGGTTAGTTTCACCTTTAATCAAGCTTGGCTTCCTCAGTTTTTCCTCTAAGTTTATGCCTGGGTCAAATTTTTCCTGAAGTCTCAAAGCTCTAGTGGTGGATTGGTAGGCAGACTCCTGGAAGGTAGCCAGTGCCAACAATTTATGCCTTTTCCTTTTTCAAAGAGCTGCCCTGTACCCTGAGTACAAGTGTCCCCCTCCCCTAACTGAAATGGTAATGGGATGAGATGTTGGAAGGGGAACAAGTTCTCCTCCCTTTCTTTGAACCTAGCAGTAAACCTCTACAGTCTATCTAATAAAGCTTAATTTACATTGTTTTTCAGGGCTGGCTATGCAGGCATTCATTGAATAAGACCTGCTAGATGCTGGGGATACAAGACAAGGCAGATTCAATCTATTCCCATGGAGGCTTACAGTTTAGTTAAGAAGATAGATATAGATACCTTAACACAAATAAAATATAATTACAACTTGTAATAAATATTGCAAAAAAAAAACCACCCACCATCTTTCTCCTGGTTGCTTTTGTTGAAGAGAGAGGGTTGGGGGGAAGCACATCAGGGGAGGTTGGGGCTGAATTAAATTAGCAAAATGTCTTGCAGTTTAGGAGGCAGCATTCAGCAGTCTTCAGTGATACTAAGGCAAGTAAGAATCAGAAAATTATACCATTTAGCAACAAGGAAAAGTTTAGTGCCAGCAGTTTCAGTGGAGTTTGTGGGAGGATTATGAATGGAAGATTATGAGCGGAAGATGAAGTGGATATCTCATTTTACTATTCTTTCATGAAGTTTGACTTGAAAGGAAAAGATAGTAGGACAGCAGCTTGAAATAATTTTGGTGACTGGGTAGTATTCTTTTTAAAAGTAGATGTTTATAGCTGGATGTGGTGGTGCATGCCTGTAATCCCAGCACTCAGGAGGCTGAGGCAGGAGGATCGCTATGAGTTTGAGGCCAGCCTGGGCTACATAGTTCAAGGCTAGCCTCATAATGAGACCCTGTCTCAAAAAAAAAAAAAAGTAGATGTTTATAACCCTTAAGGCAGCCCTTGAGAAATAGGTACCTAATAAATATTTGTAGACTAAATTAACAGGCTAAATTTTGCAAAAATGTAGCTCAATGTTAGTCTTCCCACTACATTTTTGTTTTGGAAAAGATAGTTATTTTCCGTAAAATTTTTAGTTATGTTAAAATGTCCCGGATTTATTATTATTTACTTATTTTGTTGTTGTTGTTTTTGTGCCGGGGATGGAACCCAGGGTCTCAAGCATGCTGAACATATACTACCCCCAAACTGTTCCCCTAGTCCTATTGCTATTTTTAAGTGAATTTAAAATAAATATTTCAAAATTTTGTTTTAATGTAAAAAAATTAACAGGCCAAGGTAATAAGAGAAAATGTAAAATATATCATAGAGAGGGGTTAAGATTTCCAGAGCACAGATAGATTAACCTCATGGAGAAGAAAGTACACCTTTTCCTCTCTGATTGGGAAATACAGGTAAGTATGTAGCAAGGCAACTAAAATTGAGTTAGTTCATGGCTGACAACTGCAGTTTTCTCCAGGCAAGAAAGGAAGCAAAGAAGAATGGGATTAGGGAGGCACTTGACAGGGCCAGGCATGGGGTTAAGGTACATAGCTTGAGGGCCCTGAAAGAAGTGGCTGCTTGAGAACTTGTACTAAGCTATCAAAACAAAATGAACCTATAATCAAGATTGGACACTAAAGATCTATAGAGGAAAAAATATTCCTGATTATATGAGCTTCTGAATCTACTATATCATATAAGGCTTTAACTGCTGAGGAAATGAATAATAGCATTTATTTTATTTAAGATGACCTAACCGAATATCACATATTATTGATATGATCTCTAGAATAGGATTGCATTATAATGCCTGGAGTGACTTATTCTACTGATCAAAGTTTGGGTCAACTACAGATATTAGTATACTTTAAGGGTAAGTTAAATCATTCCTAGCTTCTTATTGCTTCACTTGTTTTGTGCTATGAGATCACCCCAACCGAAATTATTAGTGAGTTCTTAGATAACTAATATTCTTAACAGTTTTCTTGACCAATATGGTAAGGAACAAGAAGATGAGACCATGTCATAAAAGGGTAAGAAGATGAGACTAACATGGAAGAAGGATAAGAAGATAACGCTTCAGGGGATTGAAGGACACACTGCCAAATCATGGTTGAAAATGAAAAGACTTTGAAGCTAGAGTTTAAGTGATGATGATGATAATGGGGAAGGACAAGGATGATGATGGAATCAAGAGCAATTGTAACAGGATGGAGAACATACAGGGTCAGGAGCCAGATATAATGGAAGCAAAGGTAGGAGATTGGATCCAGAAAGTTAGGAAGGTTAACAGAGAGGAGAAATCCAGGACAGTGAACTTACAGGATGATGAGTTAAAAAAAAAATAAATTCTTCCTATCACATAGTATTGTGTCATACTGACTTCACAATAATCACAATTAACCCAGAATGATTATTCATTTGTCAGAAAGGGAAAGATTGTTCATGCACTGTGTGAATATAGTTACCTATGTTGCAGGACAGCTCCAGTTTTGCCCAGTATGTGACATCTTCAGGTATAGGTAGTATGCAAGCCCTGACAATGTTATGTCACATGCCCTCGGACACCTGATTCAGCTCCTTTAATAGGCCAACAGTGGCAAGGGCCAACTCCAGATACCTGACCTCTTTCTCTTCCTTTTCTCTCTTGCTCTTTTCTATATAGGTCTCGGTTTGACCATGACATTCCTGGGGAGAAGCCCTTCCAAAAAAGAAGCAGTGGCTTCTCATCTGAGGCTTTGTTCTCAGGTAGCCAGACATTGGCCATCCTGAATACAGAGAAATACCTGAAGAAGATCCACTTCCTCTATCTCAATGTAGCTCCCAGTCGGTACTTTAGGTATGAGCCTGTAACCAGACCTCTTCTACGCTTTCCACTCCCGGATTTCCTCCCCTGCAATCTCCCTCCCTTCTCTTCCTTCCCAGGTCCATTCCTCTCCCCTGTTCTTTCTCAACATGCTCCTTCTCTATCTCCAGTTTCCCTCCTTCTTCACTTGTCTACAATCTGTCTCCTTTTTCCTGCCCTTTTCTCTCATAGCCTTTTGTCTTAGTCACCCTTTTCTCAGCTTTTGCTCTTTCTACTTTATTCTATTCTATAATAAGAGAAACATTTGACCATAGCCTCAGAAGCAAATTTAATGATAATCTCTTCCAACTTCAGTGCAAAAATCAAATGTTTAAATCTACATAGTATCTGGGAAGCTTTGTTTTCCAAAGGCATCCCGTTCCTTAGACTGAATCAAAATCTGCTTTCTTTTAACTTCTACCTCTTGGTCCTAATTATCTCTGGGGCTATAAAAACAAGTCTTCTCCTTCCACATGACTTGAGGCATAATTTTCTCCCATTAGGTCCAAATCTTACATATTCTTAAAAATATTTAAATTTTAAAATGTTTTAGCTTTCTATTTATTTTGTGGCATGAGAATTCAGCCCAGAGCCTTACACATAATAGGAAAGTGCTGTACCTCTGAGCTACACCCTCAGCTGAATTTTTAAAATTTAGTCACATAATAATTATACACATATATGGGGTACAATGTGATGTATGCAACGTGTAATGATCAGATCAGAATAGGAACATACCTGTCACCTCAGACATGAATAGAGAACACTCAAAATGCCCTCTATTAGCTATTTGGAAATATTAAATTAATTGTTGTTGCTGAGTCTGTAGCAGCGGTGAAAGAATGGGGTCCCCCATCATTGCCCCAGGTACAGAAGCTCTCAAAAGACCACCATGTCTCTGTTCAAGAACTGGCCCTTCTTGGGGAGCTGCCCTTGCACGCTGGAGTGGGCGATGGCTAAGGCCAGCTTTATCCACTGCGGCACTGAGAACAAGCCTGATTTGACACAGTGTATCTTCTGCTCAAGGAGCCGGAGAGGCTGGGAGCCAGAAGACAACCCCATGGAGAAACATAAAAAGCATTCATCTGGCTGTGCATTCCTTTCTGTCAAGAAGCAGTCTGAAGAATTAACTCTCAGCAAATTTTTGAAACTGGACAAAGAGAAAGCCAAGAACAAAATTACAAAGGAAATCACCACCTAGGCAAAAACAAAATTACAAAGAAAACCAACACTTTGAAGAAACTACAAAGAAAGTCCACTGTGCCATCGAGTAGCTGCTGCCTTGGAGTGAGTCCCTTGCTGTGGTCATCAGTCCTGGAGTGACAGTCATGTCCAAGGCATGTTCCCCAGTGTCTCCAACCTTTCTGTCCGTTAGGAAAGGAGAACACCAAAATTTTGAAATTGGGTATTTAAACTGATTTTAATTTTCTCTTGAAAGTAACACCAATGGCTCTTCTGTCCAGGTGACTGATGCTGAGGACCACAGTGGCTATATCTTTTTCTTTGGTAGCTTTTTCTCTAAGTCTTGGAACTTAGCAGGTGAGGAGTGAGTGAGGAAGAAGGCAGAGTCCCTGTGACTTGATCTGTTTGTGAAAGGAGAGCTAAATGCCAAGCAAGGGGTTTCTGGTCTTGATGTTTCCAATACTCTGTAAACCAGTTGGTGTGCATTGGGCTGCCGGTAATTTACCTGCCTTTTTGATGTGTGCTTTCTGACAGAGAGCAATGGAATAAATTAATTTTGGGGGGAATAAATTAATTTTTAAAAATTGTTATCAACTATAGTTTTCCCACTATGCTGTACAGAATTAGAAGTTACACATCCTCTCCATCTGTACCTCTGTTCCAATTAATCATCCTCTCTCCATCTTTCCTTCTCCCCACCCCTCCCACCTGTGGACATTTTTTCCACATTTCAGCATGTCTGAAATTGTGATGCATTTATGAATTGATGGAATATCACATTGGAAGAATTTTTTCATCTCAGTGTTTCATAAAATAATGCTGTAGCATTATTGATGGTGTCTTAAACTTCATGGGATGTGAGATATCTGGGTCTGGAGATTGAACTTCTTGGAACAGGATAGTGCCATTTTCTTTCTTCTTTTTTTTCTTTTTTTCTTTGGCTTTGATTTTTTTTTTTTTTTGTACCGGGGATCAAACTCGGGTCCTTGAGCTTGAGAGGCAGGCAGTGGAACCACTGATTTTTCTTTTGAATAATATTTGTTCCATCTTTTCAGTTTGAAAATCATTCTGCTCATTTTTTCATCTTCCTATTTTCTTCTGCCTTCCTTCCTGGTTCCTTTTTAATTTCCAGCCTTCTCTTGTCTCTTTTTGAAATCTGGACAAGTTCCTTCAGTTTCTACTGAGCTTTTTCTTTTTTTTTTTTAAGGCCCTACGACCTGGTGGTGGTGCCACCAAAAAGGGTGAATCCTGAGCACTACATCTTCTCTCCCTTTGGGATCCTGCACGTACATCCCATGGAGGGCAGTGAGGCTATGACACTGGGTGCCTGGCACCACCAATCTCTTCTCTGGCAACAGCTCCAGTTCATTCCATTCTTTAAGCATTGCCTTGTACGCAAGGCCTTGACCTGGTAAGTGATGATGGAGATGGGATTTGGGGAGAAATGGATGACAGCAACAGCATATTGTCATTGATCTCTAATCTGTAGTTGGAAGAGGAGTGTGAGGTGGCAGGGGCTGTGTCAGCTCCGGACTTTCCTAGAGAATCATCTCCTCTTGGCTGTGCCCCACTTTGGAGCTGGGCTTCTCCATATTAACAGGTAAGGTGTTAATACAACTTTAATGGGTTGTTAAAGTTATTTTCACAAATGATAGTATATCTTTGTAGAAAAACTGCAAAACAAACAAGTACATAGAAAAAATTCTAATTCACCACCCATAAATAACCATTATGAACATTTTATTATATATCCTTTCAGTCTTTTTTCTATTACATGTAGAAAATGTGATCATATGTTACATAATCAGTTTTTTTCTCTGAGTCATATATTCTGAACATATCCCCATGTAATTACATGTCCTTCTACATAATCTTACCTCAGATACTACACAATTATTTAGTATCAAGTCTGGGGGAGTCTAACTCAGGTGTTTGAATCCAAAGTCTTCTCTTTGTTCTTCCTGTGCTGTCAGTTGTACTCTTTTGGGGAAGGAAGAGAGGAAGAGAAGGTTGCTCACTTTCAGTACTTCCTTGCCTTCCTTCCTAGCTGAAGCATATTCCCAGGTATATTTTATGATAGGAGTTACAAACTCAAATGTTTGTGGGGCCTAAGGAGAAGGTATTCGGTGATTAGATTTAAGACATTAGGGGTAAAGGGGAACTCCAGTCTAGACATTACATCTAAATAGGGCAGTTACTTCCCAGTTACAACTAATTGTTGCCATTTGGGAATATAGATCCAGTGTGATCAGCCATTTTATTTTTCAGGATTTCCTGGAAGTTCACATTTTGTGATAAAATTCTTATTAGCTGTTTGGCTCAGATTTTAATTAAAACAGTGTGCTGACTAACTCTTAGTGTTGCTCACTGGAAAACTTTTCAATCTGAATTTGACCCACTGTGTATAAGTTTGCAGCCTCTGCCATAGGTAGATTCCATTCTCCAGTGTCACCTAGACATATTGATATCATTAAAAACATAAGAGCTTGGGAGTGTGGACAGGTCTGAATTTAGATTCTGAACACTAGCATGGAATTTAGTCTTTGAGCCTCAGTTTCCTGATCTGAAAGCTAGGATAAAGATTTCTGCTAGAACAATTGTAATGAAAGTTAAATGACATTGTGGATATCTAGTACCAGTAGACACTGAATAAATGACATCCATTATGATCATCCCATCTGCTTTTTGGGGGCGTCTTTAATATCTTTAAAGGGTGTTTAGAGATATGGAGTTCTTTGAGGGGGAGGAGGAAAGTGGAAAACAAGAGTTAGCTTCCTCAAAGATTGTCAACCTATAGAAAAGTTATACTTTTAGCACTTTAATCCTAAAACTCATTTGTCTGCCTATATGTTTAGGAACTTCAGGTTCTCTTATTCCAAGGAAGAATACTCTAGTCAGCTTTCCATTGTTGTGACAAAATAGTTGAGAGAAATGAAAAAAAACCATTTATTTTGGCTCATGGTTTCAGAGGTTTCAGTCCATGGTTGCTTAGTTCTGTCACTTTGGGTTGGTGGCAAGGCAGAACATCATGGCAAGGGAGCACATGGTGGAGCAAAGCTGCTCATATTATGGTAGCAGGAAGAGGAGAGAGAGAGAAGGAATACACCCTTCAAAAGCACACCTCCAATAACCTATTTCCTCCAAGTAGGCCCAGTCTCTTAAAGTTTCCACCACCACTCATGGTCCATTAAGTTATTAATACATAAATGAATGAATTCCTTCATGATATAAGAGCCCTTATAGTCCAGTCATCTGCCAAAGGCTCCACTTCTGAACACTGCTGCACTGGGAACCTTCAAAACATTAGCTTTTACTGGCCCTTTACACTAAAAGTAAGCATCAGTTCATACCATGAGTCTTTTCCAAATAGTTCCCAGCCAGTAACTTTTCTGGGTTTTAACTTTTCCAAAGAGGACTCAAGAGGAAGCTGTCACTGTTGGTCACTGGGAATATTACAATCTTCGAAAACATTTGCTCAGTCTGGGAACAAGTCAAAGGTATAAAAGGAAGGAGGGCTGGGATGCCAGCTCTAAGTAGCTTATTCCTTGATTGCAGGCTTCTGCAGGAGCTACACTCTGTGCCCTGGCTACCCCAGAAGCCAGATCAGTGCTATGAGCTACTGGATCTGAAGAAGGCTCTAGTCAAGGAGAACAGGAAGGCTCTACAGTTACTCCATCACTGTTTGAACCTCTGTACTTCCATTCGTCAACTGGTAAGAGGCTCCAAGTTACTGTGAATCTTTTCTCCAAGCTGAGCTCCCCAGAGTTGCATCCTCCTCTTAGTTAAGTTCCTCCTAGGATCCCCTGTGTGACCTGGATCCTGCAGTTGGCTCACACTTATTGTCCTGCCTAGCAACAGCAGTGTCTGCACTGGGACAGATGGATCATTAACAGATGAACAGAGACTAGGACTCAAACTTTCCCTAAGGATTGGCCCTGGCCTAGGAACAAAGAGAAGAAGGAAAATAACAAAGTTTATTTTTTTGGTTGTTTGTTCTAACATTAGGGAATTTAAGAAATGGAATCTTGATCTTTCTTGCTGCTGAAATTATCTTTGAACCTATCTTGAACCTTTGGCAGGTTACTATGGCTCACAGATACATACAACAGTGAAGTCCTTCCTAATTGTGCCAACTTTGTATCTAAGGTGTGTGCCACCTTGTCTGGGGGTCTGGGAGGTCCTGTTGTGTACTTGCCTCTGGCCCATGACTTATTGTCATGGCTGATTATCAGGTGTTTAAACTAATGTTAGGAGGCAGGAACTTTGGAAAGTGATAGGGCCCACAAATGGGCCAGTTCAGCCCCATTTTGCCATTTTGCTCTTTCACCTTTCACCATGTAAGAACACAGCATTCCTCCTATCTGAAGGATGAAGCAAGAAAGCTTTTACCAGACCTTGGACTTCCCAGCCTCCAGAATTATAACAAAATGAATTTCTGTTCTTTGTAAATTACCCAGCCTTAGGTGTTCTGATAAAGCAGCACAAATGGACTAAGACAACTGGCAACAATCTACTATTGCTTGCAATTGGTATGAAGTAGGGGACAGTCTCATGGGACTGAGCCTTCAGCTTGGGGGATCTGAAGCTATCTCCAGGTCAATAGCATTAGAATTGAGTTAAATTATGGGACACAAAGTGTTTACAGAAGAACTGCTAGGTATGTGGGGAAACCCTCACACATCTGGTGTCAGAAGTGTTGAGTGGTGTGAGAACAGAAAAAACAGTTTTTCCTACCTCTTACTGATTTCTTTATACATTCTAAATAAGTGTCAAATGTATGTAATGTAGATATCACTTCCAAGTGTGTGGCTTACTTTTTCACTATTTTAATGGTATCTTTGGATGGGAAGACACTTTTTTCTTTTTGAGACAGGGTCTCACTATGTAGTTTAAGTTGGCCTTGAACTCGGTATGTAGTCCAGACGGGCCTCGAACTTGTGGTGATCCTCCTGCCCCAGTCTCCTGGATTTTCATTTTCTTAAAGTTCATTTTATCAATCTATTTTCGTTAGTCCCTTTTTAATTCCACTGAGTATTTTGAGTAGTAGTTTAGAACATCTTTGCCTACACCAAGGTTATACAGATATTCTCCTATTTTCTTAGAAATTTTATTGCGTTATGTTTTAGATTTAGGTCTATGACCTATCAAATTGATTTCTGTATTTGGTATGAGGTAAAAGTCAAGGTTTATTTTCCCACTTATTATTATGATTATCTTTTCCCCTCTTAATAGTAGCAGTATCTTTTTTATTTTTATTTATTTATTTATATATTTTTTTGGTACCAGAGATCAAACTCAGGACCTTATGCTTGCAGACAGCGGAACCACTGAGCTAAATCCCTAGCCTGCAGTATCTTTTTTAAAACAATAAGATGACTTTATCTGTGTGGGTCTGTTTCTGGATTCTCTATTCTGTCCATTAGTCTATTTGTCAATGTCACAGTGTTAATTATTATAGACTATATATTATAATAAGGCTATATTTGATATCTGTTCTTCAAGATTACCATGGATATTTTGGGTTCTTTGAATTTCCATATAAAGTTTGTTAATTTCCACAAAATGACCTATTTGAATTTTCACTGGGCTTGCTTTGACTCTACAGGCCAATTTAAAGAGAATTTATATCTTAACATTTAGCTTCCTAACCATTACTCTGATCTCTTCATTTATTTTGCCTTCTTTCATTTGTCTTACCAAAGTTTTCTAGATTTCTTATAGAAGTCTTAACCATTACATCATTAGACTTACTATTAGATATTTGGTGGGGTTTGTTGATATTACACATGGTATTTTAAAATATCACTGGGCTAGGGATTTAGCTCAGTGGTTCTGGCACTGGCCCCGCAAGTGCAAGGTCCCAAGTTCAATCCCTGGTACCAATAAATAAATAAATAAATAAATAGATAGATAGATAGATAGATAGATAAAATTAAAATTAAAATATCATTGTTAGCTGGGGATAGTAGTACATGTCTGTAATTCCAGCATTTGGGGGGCTGAGATAGGAGTATCACCTCAAGTTCAAGGGCAATCTGGGTTATATAATGAGTTCAAGGCCAGGCTGAACTACATAGTGAGGCTTTGTCCAAAAAAAAATTAAATAAATTTAACTTTTTATTTATTTATTTTTCATTTATTTAGTTTAGTTTTGTTTTGTTTTTGGTACCAGGGATCGAACTCAGGTCTTTGTGCTTGGGAGGCAATTGGTGGAACCACTGAGCTAAATCCCCGGCCCCTAAATTTAACTTTTTAAATTTGGGGTGGTGGTACATGCCTAGGTTAAGGCAGGAAGATCATAAGTTGTAGTCCAGCCTGGGCAACTTAGCAATTTAGGAAGCCTGTCTCAAAATTTTTAAAAAAAGTTCTTGGGATATAGTTCAGTGTAGAAAGATCCTGGGTTCAATCCCCAGTACCAAAATGATAATAATGATGATATGAAGAAGAAGAAAAAGAAGAAGGGGAAGGGGAAGAAGGAATCACTGCTGGTGTGTGTGTGTCTGCATGTGCGTGGGCAAGGAGGTGGGGCAGATGAGTTAGAGACCCAACTCCTTGGACTCCACTTGCTATCCTTTTCTTTCTGCCCCACTCCTATCTGGAGGTAGTGGGCATTTATATTTGTGATTCTTTTCATTCATTTCCAAATTTTCAAACATTTAGGCTTGGGGGTAGTGGGGACAGAAGGAAATGAGAATAAAGGACAGTAGTAGCAAAAGAGTAGGAGGAGGACATGGAACTGAAGAAGAGGATTAACCTTGAGTAAGGGGTAGAGCCTGGGAGGAAGTGACAGTTTGTCCTTGATAATTGCCTGTGTGCCATTGTGGAAATTGAAGGCTTGAATGACACTTTTAAAGAACCAGAGTTTCTGGGTATGGCTAATGTGGAATTAAATTCACTGACCAGTTTCCCAGCCTAAGTAAACTTCAAAAGTTGGAACTTAGTGTAATTTCTGGAGGCTTGGAAGTTTTAGCAGATAAATGTCCAGATCTTACCTACCTGAATCTAAGTGGAAACAAAATCAAAGCTCTCAGTACAGTAGAAGAAATTTGAGAAGTCTTGATTTGTTTAACCATTAGATGACAAACCTGGAAGGTTACCGAGAAAGTATTTTTGAAGTGCTACAGCAAATCACATACTTAGATAAATATGATAAAATGATAACAAAGCACCAGACTCAGAAGTGAGTGGAGGTGAGGATGATGAAGCTGGTTCACCTGAAGAATATGAAGAGGAGGAAGACTAGGGAGAAGAGGATGAGGATGGGGGAAGATGAAGCAGGCTCAGAGATGGGAGAGGGCTAAGCAGCATAGTGATAGAAGAAATTCAGGATGAAGAAGATGATGATGATTCCATTGAAGAAGAAGAGGAAGAGGAGGAAGAGGAAGAAGAAGATCTTCAGGGGAAGAAGAAGATGATGATAATGCACTGGATTGAGGGCTGTGAAGTGGAGGCTGTAGGGATTGAGGGTGTGCTAGAGCATGGAAGAGGGCACCTTACCAAGTCTGGGCGCATGTCTCTGTGCGATGTGCCTTGCGTGGGGCTCAACTGGGTCTCAGGAGGCTGGGTTTGAGTTCATGTATAGCAGAAATACAATCCAGAGACACCAGTCAGTTCTAGTCACAAGCTCTATGGTGCATCACAAGGAACAAGAGAGCAGTGAGGACAAAGGGTCCGTCTGGTCAAGCGTAGCTTCTGGTGTCTTCCTTCTGTTCCTCCACAGGACCAGTCCAGAGACTTGGCAACTTATCACCAGCCTTTGTAGGCTAAAAACCTCCTAGATCTGAAAAGAACTCACAAGGCTCTTAGGCTTTTATCGCACATATTCCACCCTCAGTCGAAAGTCTATGCCAGTGCAGAAAGTTTCTACTAGAGCATAAAGCAGGATTTTGCTACCGAGCAGGCCACAACACCCCAGCCTAATGGTTGGAGTCCATATCATGCAACTGTTGCTAAACCTTATTCATCCAATCTTTTTCTTTGTCTATTCTGTGCATTTTGAAGCTCTCTATTTACATATGCAAAAATTTTCTATTTGAGTTCCACCCTGGGGGCTTTCCCTGGACAGGCTTGGCCTGTGAACATTAGTATAACATTTGTGTCCTCTTAATATATACCCTCAATTTTGCATCTACTCTGGTTATTTAAAAATTTCTGGGGCTAATCTCTACTGAAAAGGAATCTGCCAGGTGCATATTTAGGTTCCAAATTCCAGGCACCAAGACCAGTGAGTAGGTAGTTCACTCCCCATCCCTCTTCCTCCAGGGAGTTTCCATTCTCTACACTGACAGGTTCATGAGGACACATACCACATACAACAGGGACTGCAGGAACGAGTACAAAACTGCAACAGAATCAGGGCAGGCCAAGGTTCCGTATACCTTCTGAAGGTACAGCGCCAGCAGTTGGAGCAGAAGCTGAAGCAGGCAGAGACCTGGTTGCTGCAGTTGGGAAAGTTTGCCCGCCTGGTCAACTACATGATTTTTCAGAACCTTGTTACAATCTTGGAAGATGAAATAACCTCTTTTGTGACCCACATCCTGCAAGTGAGGTGGTGGGTAGGGGTAGGAAGGCAATCAGGGGCCAGATGCGGGGCTATGTGTATGGATGTCTAACCCTACTACCTCTCCTGGGCCTTCTTTCACAGGCTCAAAGGCAAAAAACCCTTTCTCTCGTCACAGCTGGTCTGTGATGATCTTTGCCAGCTGTCTCCTGTGCCCAGTATTGAAAATATGATCCAGATTCTATCTGAGGGCCTACATTCCATCAAGGCTTCTGCCCTGAAGGTATGAATTCTGGATTAGATAGGAGGTTGCCTTTTGGAATTCCCAGCTCCTATTCCTATGTAGTCAGAAGCTCTCAGCCTGGTTTGGATCTCTCATTGTTTCTCCATTTCCACCCCTTCTCTATATCCTGACATAAAGCTAATGCAGTCTACTGACCTGAAGACCTCAAGGGATTCCCTGCATCTTGAAGGTACTTAAGGGGACCTAGGCAGAGGGTAGGAAGGCTGGAAGGAGGAGAAGGGCACACGTAGCTGTGAATGGCATGAGAAGTGGTCAGGAGGCCCAGGTTTTGGGTGTGGATGGAGTAGCTGTAACCTGGGCACTATGCATGTGTGTTGGATGGTAAGAGTCAGGGGGTGTTTTTGTTCACTAATGCATGTGCTTTTGTTCATGTGTGTGAGGTAAGGGGATGTATAAGAGTGTGAGTACATTTTCCTTCCCCTGGTACATCCAAAACTCCACAAGGTTTTTCACCCATGCCATAGTTGCACTTTATTTACTGTTGAAATTAATTGTTACATTGATTTGTACTGGTTGAGGAACTCTGCTCACTTAATATTTGCTTTATTTCATACAGCTCTTTTTTCATTTTCTGTAAGAGTTTTTGTTTTTGGTACCAGGGATTGAACTTGGGACCTTGCACTTGCGAGGCAGGCGCCAGAACCACAGAGCTAAATCCCCAGCCCTCTTTTTTCATTTTCTATAGAGTACAGTAGTTCATTAGTATTACTGACCACTTCTTAACCATCAGTGAGGACACATATTTTCATATTTTCTTTAGAGTACTAATGCAGCCACAATAAAATCATTAGGTGCATTCAGTGATATCTAAAATGTAGATCCTTTTTAATTTCCCCATTCAAATAGTGTGTTTTCATTAAGAGATTTAAGATGAAGTTAGTTTTAGGAGGTAAATGACAAGAGGAAAAGGTTTCATTGAAAGGAAGCTATTTTTGTTGTTATTGTTTTGTTTATAAATCACACTGGTTGAGTCACTTTTTTCCAAAAATCAATTTAGGTTATTTGATAGAGACCATTGATACTTGACTTATATAGTGCAGTGGAAAAGGAAAAGGCTCTGGAATCAGAGACATTAGTTTATTAATCTGCATAAGTGGAAATAACAAAAATATTTGAGTTTGAAGATTACTAAAGGTAATATGTCTTGGACAGTGCTCAGCACATAGTAATACTTGCTACAGATCATATTTTCTTACTATTAGTATTACATTACAGACTCAGACAAATCAGACGATTCACCGTATTTTCTCATTACATGCTGTAATGTCTTTCTTAGAATTATTTTTAAAATCTTGAATTTTTATTTTAAATTTTAATGAAAGTGAAAATATTCACCTGCAATGTAATAGGTTTTCCTCTTCCACTTGGAATGCCATAATACTTCTTTTTTTCTTTCTTCTTTCTTTCTTTCTTTCTTTCTTTCTTGCTTGCTTGCTTGCTGGCTGGCTGGCTGGTTTGCTTGTATCTTTCAAATTGTTTAGGGAAAGAAGAGATAGATGAAAAACACAGTAATGTGACAAAATGTTAATTGTTGACTAAGTGGTTGGATAAGAGAGTTCATGGTACCATTCTTTAAACTTTTCTATAAAATTTTAAGAAAAAAATCTGCAAAATCAGATCTAGAAAATTAGATCAACGGGCTGGGGATTTAGCTCAGTGGCACTGTGCCTGCCTTGCAAGCACAAGGACTTGAGTTCGATCCCTGGTACAAAAAAAAAACACAAAAAAAAAAAAAATTAGATCAATATGATAGAGGAATCAGAACCAAAATTCTGATTCAAGATTTTCCCTAATTTTTTAAAGAAAAATAGAATAATTTTCAATAGGGTAAATATGCAGTAGATAAAACTCTACTAGCAGTCTTTAAGAAAAGTACATCAAGGGCCGGGGATTTAGCTCAGTGATTTCGTAAGTGCAAGAACCCAAGTTCAATCCCTGGTACCAAAAAAAAAAAAAGTACTTAATAATCAGCCTTTTATTTATATTTGATGTTTTGTAAAACTCAAATTAACAAATATACTGTACTATGGACCAAATAAATGGCATCTGCATAAAAATTTATGTTTTAAAAAAAGAAAAATGCATCAAGCTGGGCATTGTGGTGCACTCCTGTAATCCCAGCACTCATGAGGCTGAGGCAGGAAGATTGCCATGAGTTCAAGGCCAGCCTGACCTACATAGTGAGTTCAAGGTCAGCCTGAACTACATAGTTAGACCCTGTCTCAAAAAACCAAAGCGAGGGCCGGGGATTTAGCTCAGTGGTTCTGACACCTGCCTCGCAAGCACAAGGTCCAGAGTTCAATCCCTGGTACCAAAAACAAAAACAAAAACAACACAAACAAAAAAGCCAAAACCAAAACTATTACCTTAACATTCTTACATTAACTGTATTATGACAATATCCTACTAAGATCAGGGTATCTTTTTGATATATAAGTCTGTTATACTGAAAAGAGAGAAAAGATTACCTCATTTTATTATAAAATCTTTTGATACATATTTTGGTCGGGATGATGTTGAAGTTTAGCTTAGAGATACAATGCCAAGAATGAAAACTGTGCCAGGCATAGTGGCACAGGCCTGTAATACCAGCACTTAGGAGGCTGAGGCAGGAAAATCTCCACAAGTTTGAGGCCTGCTGGGGCTATATAATGAGTTCAAGGCCAACCTGGACTACTATAGCAAAACAAAACAGCAGCAACAACAACAAAAACAACAGAAGAAGAATAATGAAAGCTGTGACTACTGGTTTTAGGAGGGTTTTTTAATTTTGACTTTTTGGGGGGGTGAGTTATATTTTGTTTTTGTTTCTGTTTTGCTGGACAGCTACACATGTCCATGAAGGAAGTATAAAAAGAAGCAGTGTGGCAGTGAGTGGATTTTAGAAGAAAGAGAAGGAGAGGGTTTTTGTTTTGTTTTGTTTTGTTTTAGTTCCATGAGGAACTTGGAAGAGATCATATTTATACTTGTATAAGTATGATTGACGAGCTTTACTCTGTGTGAAATGTCTGAGTCACTCACTCAAGGAAACCTACAGTAAAGATCTATATTACTTAGTCCCTTCAAAGTTGAATTGATAATAAAAAATGCAGCCCCATGCCAACTTACATGTATTATACCAATACGTATATATTTCAAATTGAAGCCCCAAGTCCCTCATAAAATACAAATAACTTACGTCTTTGATTTAGTTGATATCCAATGCTGCTCATGTTAGAAAAATTAGCTTTTCTTAACTTTCAACAGGTGACTTGGTTCAGAATGTCTTCCTAATCTTTCAGTTTCCTTATGGTGTTTTTTGTTTGTTTTATTTTGTTTTTGCATTTAAAAAGACGGCTAGCTTTCTGAGATTTCCTGTTTCCATTTCCTTACCGCACTTTTATCTTTGTCTTTTGTTTTTCTCTACTGCTTCTGTCCTGCTCAGTTTTTATTCTACTCCCAGCACTGTCTCCTTAGAGTTGCATTATGTCCCGAATCCTGGCTTGGTTCCAAGAGATCATAGGGCATAGACTGCTTCAACGCCTACGAGCCTTACTTTACAGCTCCCGGGGCAGGTACAACCCTTCGTGTTCCCTGCTGCTCTTGGATTGGCCCTCCGTTTCTCAGGAAATCCTTTTCGGCTGTTTTGGCGGTTTCCTGTCTTCAGGTTTGCCCAGTGCCTCATTGTTCCCCCTCTGCTTCTTTTCCCACAACTGCTGATAGCAGTGGGAATGAGGCTGTGGGTGGTTTGTCCTTACTTATTTGTACCTGAGGATTTGTGTGGCTCCCTTTCCCCATTTGTTAAAAATGTTAACTGTTGTAGGTTGTTTTACTGTCTAATTGCTTTAACATTTTTATGTGGGGATTTGGTTGCCTCTGCCATCATCTTCTCAGAATTACTCTGGCATAATTATTCTTGTTTTGTTTTGTTTTTGAGTCAGGGTCTTGATATGTAGCTCAGCCTGGCCTCAAACTCGCTTCAGTCCTCCTGCCTCAGCCTCCCAAATGCTGGGATTACAGATGTGCACCACCATTTCTGACCGGCTTCCTATTCTTATATGGAACAGAGACTGTAAGGTATTGGAGATAAAAGCCAAAGCAGGAAAAATTTTGGAAGAGAATTACAATAATGCAGTGAGGGTGTGGGATGAGGAGAGTGGGTAATAATAGATGTGAGAATTGGATTGTGGATATATTTTGAGTGTAGAAATTGCAAGATTTTGTGATGGTTGCCAGGTGTGGTGACACACACCTGTTATCCTAGCACTCTGGAGGCTGAGGCAGGAGGATTGCTGCAAGTTCAAGACCAGCCTGGGCTACATAGTGAGTTCAAGACTAGCCTGAACTATACAGCAAGAACCTATCTTAAAAAAAAAAAAAAGATTTTGTGATGGTCGGGATATTATGCATGAGAAGAGTCAAAGGTGACTATAATGATTTTGAGTGGAGCAACTAGAAAATGGGCTTCTCATTTACTGAAATTAGAAGATCCAAGAGGAACAGTTTTCTATGGGGAAGAGAAAGCGGAGCTCATTTTGCACCCTGTAGGTTGGAGTGCATGTTAGATATCCAAGCAGAGACGTGGAACAGGCAGTTTAACTGGGATTGCAATCCAGAGAGAGACCTGAGAGAGAGATAAATTTGGAAGCAAAGAGATGGTTCTTAAAGCCCTAAACCTGGGAGAGATCTGGGGGTAAACATAGATGTGGAAGAGTTCTGAAGTCTGAACTTGGGAGCATTATGTCATTTAGGTATGGATACAGTGGATATTATTTCTGAACATTTTGATCCTCATCAACTCTTTTTTTTTGGTACTGGAGATTGAATTCGGGTCCTTGAGCTTGCAAGGCAGGCCACGGAACCACTGAGCTAAATCCCTGGCCCCTCAAACACTCTTTTTGACAAGATTTTTGACAAACACTCATCTTGGCAATGAACTGGTTCCTACAAAGTTAAGGGGAGGCTAGGTTCAAGGGAGTTCTTAAGGCACTACCAAGGATGGCATACTTAACATCCTTTCACTCCTCGTCTTCCGTTCTGCAGAGGCCGGAGCACTACAAACTGCACTTTCCAGAGCCCCTTGCAGCTGGGTGTCATATGGAATTTAGGATCCACCAATTAGGTCTACATAAGACCTCAAAACCAAATTTAGTTGGCAAGAGGCATATGCCATCCACTCTGCAGATGGTACATAGCAGAGACACAGTGTTGTAGCTGGTGGCATGGCAATAACATCCCAATTTGCCAGTCAGCCCAAAGCTCTAAATATTTAGCCTAAACTATTTTTGTTTCTATTTAATTGCTCTACAATCTATTTGTTATGTTGTAATAATTCCTTTTCTATTTATACTGGCTAGGATAAATTTTATTCTCTGCACCTGAATTCAAACATAAATTCCCTCATGGCCTGGCCTTTGTGATATAGATGCATGTGTAGACTCATTCACAAGCAGGGAATGGATGTATGCAGGTGTGATAAGTGTGTACACACTCAGGGTAGAGACCAAAGTTGTGTGTGGGCTCTGGAGGGCACTAATGATCAATTATGGCAGGTGCTCCACTAGCAGAAGATGAAGAGGACAACTCAAACTCAGAATTCCTGATACCCAAGTTTCAGGGCCAGCCCAGCAATGCTGTTCAGATCTTCTGTGGCCCAAATGTAGGACTGGTGTGGCCCTGGAAGTCTCACCCAATCACTGATATCCTACAGGTCTGTGGCTACTGGCTTCGGGGCCAATACTTGCCGCCTAATTATAGTCAGCTTCATGAAGACTTGTACAACAACCTTCGAATCCAGCAGGCACTGACTATACAACAGGCACTCCTGGAGGTAAGAACAAAGGTTTCAGGAATGGGTTGCTCCCACTGATTTCTATCTTAGCCACAGCCTCTGCCTTCAGTATGTTTACCCTTAGGGCATGAAGCAGGAGGTGCAGGAATTCTGCAGGGAGCATCACTGGATAACAGACATTTATGAGTTCCTGCAAGCCTGGGGGCCTCAGAAGCTGGAGGATATGAGAGGCTGTCCCATCAAGAACTACATAACAGTGGTGAGCCAGCTGAATGCTTGGCAGGCCCTCGTCTCCAGTATGCCTGTCGAGCTGCTGACAAAAGGCAAGCTGCTGCTGCTGAGCTGCCGTGATATACAGGCAGAGATGGGTGAGTGCTGCTTGTCTTCCCTCCTTTCCTCCTTCCTTCCCTTCCTCTTTTTCTCCTTCCTTGCTTGTGTCTTATCTATATGGCCTGGATTGAGCTTAGAATGTCCTCTAGACCTTTGGCACAAGCCCCTCTTAGACCTTTGGAGCTTCTGGGTCTCAGCCCCTTTCCATCAAAGCTATGACCACCAACAGACAGCCTCTCTGTTGGCCCTGCTCATTCCCTCTATCCCTTAGGAATTGTGCTGCTATTACACAGCACTTTCTGTTCTTATGGTGTAGAAATAGCTTAAATCAAATGTGACAGAGGAAAAGCTTAGCTTGCTCCTGGGCCCCTGAGCTCAGTTTCTTCACAGAGATTTTTAGGAAATATAGGGTGCCTCCTCCCCACACGTGGCAGAGTCAAAATTTATGCCATAATTTGCCTGTGTAAAAACTTACTCTCTTTAACTTATCTTATCTTCAGTGGCTAGGGATAGGTGAACATACAGAACTTTCCCAATTAAAGAAACCTCTTTTTGTTTAAAGCAGCTACTTTGGTCTGATTTGGTATGTTTTGGGTATTTGATCAATCCAAATGCATATCACAGTTCTGGTTGCTTTCTACTCTCAAGTGCCCTCTGTTCCCCTTTCCTTTCCCTGGTGCCTTCTGGCTCTGGGGAGGGCTTGCTCTTCTCTGTATGGAGCACTGTATGACACCTCTTTGTCTGGTCTTGGCCCTGCAGACCTTGATGCTCCCAGTGCTGCAGCATCCTGAGAGGGTGTAGGTGGGCATGTTCACTCACACTCGTAGGGTCCAGAGTGCCTACCTTTCCTGATTTGGCCCCAGCTAGGCTCCTACTGGCATGGAGAACCCCTCGTCTGGTCTCTGTCCTAGGCTGGCCTCTCCCATAGTGTTTGCTTCAGGGTCCCTCACCACAAAAACCTCATCTGGGCCCACTGCTACCAACTCTCTGCTATCTTCTGTGTCTCCTGTCATTTGGATTAGATTTGTCCCTCTTTCTGCTACAATACATCATCACACATCAGTTCTAATATGTGGTGACCATTTCATATCAGGACAAAGGCACCCTGAAAGGTAGTTTCCTCTTAAAGTTCCATATAAAACGTAGGAATCAAGAGCACCCTATTCTCTGTCTCCTAGCCCATCTCAGTCTCTTTTCTCTCAATACTTCCTACCCCTACTGGGTCAGTCTCTAAGAAATCTGATTTATAATTTGGTGTTGTCCCCTCTTTCTTCTTTGTCCCTTCCTATGAGAAGGATGGCTCATGCCAAGTGTCTCAGCTTAGCAGCTGGTCTTGAAGAGGCTCATGATGGCATAGATGAGGAAGTCAGTGATTTGTTCATCTAAGAAATAGGGAAGAGGATCTGTTTCCTCCTGCAGTCTCTAAGGATGGCAATGACCAGTAGTACCCTGTGGTATACTGTATCTAGTAGTAGACACCTCCTTTTCCTGCAGACCAGGATGCTATTGGACCCATGATCCCCTAGGCCTGCTTTCTTTACAAAGGAAAGAGGCTTGGAACTGGGGCCTAGAAAGAATTTGCTTGGACCACCCTGTCTTTATTCCTCAAGAGATTAATGTACAACCCTTGTTAACACATCCTTGTGAGCCACTGAAATTTCCTGCTTTTGTGCAGGGGGTTCACAATGGGGAGGCAGGAACAGGGAGGGCCTGTGATTCGTCTTCCTTCCTTTTGGGCCGGTTTTGCTCCACCATTTCTCAAGAAGTCTGTGTTCTCTTTCTAGTTTGTTAACTTCTTGATCATTAGTCCAGGATCAGCTGGACTCTTCAAAGGAGCAGTTGGAGAGAAAGAAGCACTGAGTTTAGAATCCTGACTGCTTTTTACTGGCTTTGTGACTTAATGTCACTGAGCTTTAGTTTCTTTGTTTGCAACCTGGGCATGCTAAACACTTGAGGTTATAGTAAAGAGGATTAAATGAGATGTTCACAATGCTCTTGGTGATACAGGAGATGAAATATGAAAATATTATATCTCCCAACCTGTTAGATGTCTGATGCACCGAGTTCATGTTCTCTAAAATCAAAGAATGAATTCTAGGAACAATGGAGGTTAAGAGTAGGAAGATATTTATTGATAGGATAGCTCCTGAGAGGCGGGAGGGGTCCTGAATGGGTAGCCGAGGACTCTACTTTTCAGAAAAGTTTTACAGAGCAAAACCTACATGGGTATAATGTGGTTTACAGCTATGATTAACCAATAAGGTTACAGGTATAGTCACTTAGGTAATAGAGATCCAATGGGGAAACAAGTCACGTAACAATTGTATATGGAAAGAACAAAGACTTTTTCTAGGAAGTGATGGGTCCAGAGGTCTTGGTCACCAATGGGGGTGGCTGATGTCTATTTAGTCTTCCTTAGGCCTGGTGTTTGTCTTTTTAGGAAGTACACAGGCCTAGTCATTTTGTCTTTATCTTGAGGCTAACAGATTTGCTTCTAGCCATGGTTGTGACATGTTTCACCTTTGTCCTGACTCTCTCAAGGGCCTAGCCTTGTCTGACTGCCTGTAATATTTCTATCTAACTCAGCTGTCTATAATATTAGCATTTATGGTGGCATGTGGTAGGCACTTAAAAAATTTTTAAATTTCATCTTAGTCTGTCCTGTCTGTTTCATCCTTCTTGCTGATCATATTTTATCTTCTTACCCTCTGACTCTGCTCCCCTTCTTCAAGGTCTCCCTTGAACAGTGAGTGGCATACTTACCCACCTTAGTAAGTTGGCCTCACCAGAAACTTGGAGTCATCCTTTACTCCTCTCTCTTTTTAATTCCACTGTATCCAACCTGTTGCCAAATCTTTTCCATTCTTCTGCTGCCTAAATATCTCTCAAATCTGTTTTCTTGTCCCAATCCCAAGGACCAGATATTTATCAAGCCATTGCTCCTTTGTACCATATGGTGTCGCTGTTGCACTCCCAGATGCCTCAGCCTGTCCGATGCTACTACAGTAAGTCCCTGACTTGTGAACAAATCAGATTCATTCTTAAAAAGTCCAACAAAGTGAATTTTACACACCTTTGACACAAATATACAGTGTAACACATAAAAAAACAAACCTTCACATCACCACTGGTTTTCCTCTTGCTTCTGGACATCCTGGGCTCTGACTGAGCCCTGTACACATATCGCACTGTACAGGACAAAACAGCAGCATAACGTGAGCCACTTCCACGATTCCTTCACATCCTCATAATGCGAGGTCTGTTTGTATCTGTGAATGTTCGCAACTCAAATGTTTGTGAGTTGGGGACTTACTGAAGTCCAAATGGCACCATTGCAGTGGCCTAGATACTGTCATGGGCCAGAGGGACATCTTGAAAAATTACAGTTTATATCCTCATATTCTGTTCCAACATATGGTGCTCCTCTCAGTAGATTTTTGTCAGCTTCAACCCTTGGTGGCTGAGTCTCTTGGTTAATTTCTCCAAAGCTCTAAGAGTGCCATGCCCAGTTATGCCTCAGTTACCTGCCCTTTGAACTCACTGTGCCACTTTCCAGTTGCAGAGATCCTAAGAGGAGGCACACTGGCTTACTTTTCACATAACACTTTCTTTATTTATCTTAGGGTTTTGGGGTTTTTTTGTTTTTTGTGTTTCGACAGGGTCTCACTCTATAGTTCAGGCTGGCCTTAAACTCACTATGTAGCCTGGGCTGGCCTCAAACTTGTGGCAATCCTCCTGCTTCAGCCTCCCAAGTGCTGGGATTATAGGTGTGTACCACCTCACCAGGCTTATTTATTTATTTAGGGGTTTTTGAGACAAGGTCTTGCTATGTAGTTCAAGCTGCCCTTGAACTCACTATGTAGCTCAGGTTGGCCTTGAACTTGTGGCAATCCTCCTGTTTATGCATTATATATGTTTATGATTAAACATTATATATTTGTTTGTATTTATAACTTGAGGTAAGCCAGGCTGCCTGAGTATGAATCCTTGTTCTAATCAACTTAATTAACTTCTCTGTGACTTAGTTTGCTTACTTGTAAAATAAGGAAAATAATAATTTTTTACCTAAAGGGAATTTTTCGAGGCTAAAATGGGTTAATATAGGTAAAGTGGATGGAATGATACCAAATTCTATACTGAATTTGGGGGTATACCATATTTCTATATTATGTTTTTCTAGTCTGTGAACATTTTAACATCTCTGAATTTAAGAAGTTCAGTTCTTATGATTGATGGCATGTCAGAGTTTAGATGACATCATTTTTTCCTTTTTAGTGATATATAAAATGATGATGCCTTTTTAAATTAGTGATATCTTAGATTTGATTAAGTATCATATCGGTATTTTTCTTGCCTTCTGAGAAAATGCAGTTGTTCATATAACCTAGGGCAGCTTCCAAAATTATCTTCTAACCCCATATTGTCCTAAGCTTCTTTCTTTTAATTATTAAAAACAACAGACAGGGGCCAGGGATTTAGCTCAGTGGTTTCGCCACCTGCTGCACAAGCAGAAGGACCCGAGTTTGGTCCCTGGTACAAAAAAAAAAAAAATTAAAAACAACAGACAGTACATCCTTCTGTTTCATCTACTTGGAGCATTAAAACTACTGCACAGATCCAACTCCAGGGACCATTCCCAGGAAGACTTTTCAAGCCTTCTCAGGACCCTTTCCCTTCACTATGCCTGTTTGAGGGTCCCTGGCTCTCAGAGAGGTTTTATCACACCATTTGTGATTGTCCAGCTGTTTATCTGCTTGTGCTATCTCACTGTGAGGAACTTTCGGTCTTGCCCATTCACTTGCCTACTGGTGCAGCACACCTTAATGCACAGCAGCTGGCTGGACACGAAACAGGGGTGCAGTAAGCATCCTGGCAGTGAGGGAATGAGTTCATTGTCTGGCTTCCCCTTCAGCCCACTCCCACTCTGGACCCACCGTACTCCCAGCACCCCCTTTCTTTTTCATGCATTCCCTAACACCTGACTCTCTTGTCTCCAGAGTCCAGGCTGGACAGCGTGAGGAAGGATATTCTTACACAGGTGCAGAATGAATGCTGGAGCCACAGTCAGCAACTGATGACAGAGCTCACAGGTTTCATGCAGGTCTTCCAGACCATCAGGACTGACATTCATGCCATTGCACAGTGCTCCCAGAAGGTGGGTTCTCCCCATTTATCCTTCCCTGTTTATCCAGGGCCCATCCTGCTCAGAGGCTCAGCACATTCTCTTCCTCCCAAAGGATGCTCTTAAAATATATTCACGTAAGTTATCTGCCTTCACTAATTCTTGCTCTGTTCACATGGCCCTCGGTTTCCTCATGCCAAGAGGAGACCCTGGTGTAAGGAAAGAAATAGGCTTCCTTTCAGAGATGTGTTTCTGCTCTCTGTGGCAGTCAGATAAGGCAATGTTGCCCTGTCATCAGAGTAACGGTCTGAGAGGTGAGATTGCCTTCAGAGAGACCTGGGTCAGAGGGGGATCTGATCCCAGATTGCCCTGATCTCAGTGAGTTAAAAGGCTGCAGCTGCCAGGGTTTAGCTCAATGGCTCCACTGCCTGCCTCGCAAGCACAAGGTCCGGACTTCAATCCCCCGGTACCAAAAAAAAATAGCAAAAAAAAAAAAAAAGCTACAGCTAAGTCCAGAAGGTTGGACTGGCCTTTGAGATTGTTCTATAGAGGTATATAGGATTCTTTTGTTTTGGTACCGGGGAATCGAAATCGGGTCCTTGCGCCTGCGCAGCAGGCAGTGAAACCACTGAGCTAAATCCCCGGCCCTAGAGGTATATAGGATTGTGGTTGGTCTGGTCTCACATTGTTATCCTTGCAGTTGAATGAAGCCAGTGAACAGTACATCCAGCTGGAAGAGCGAATGGAATACATCCGGTCACTTCACAAATTCATCCGCAACTATTTTAACCTCTTTAGTGCTGAGAACGAAGCACTGGATATCTCGGTGAGGGGGTGATTTAGGGAGTCACCCACCTCCCGGTCTGCTTCCTCTACAACCACATCTATTCCACTGCCCTCTGCTTGTCCCACAGCTTCTGGATATGTGGGAGGCATTTCAAGTTGAGAAAATCCAGGCCTCGGAGTTCCTGCTCAGCAAGCAATATGCCATTGTGCCCAAGCTGCAACAGCTGATGGCAACAGCATTGGCCGAGCTGGAAGGCCTGCTTAAGAAGGCCCTTTCCGATCCCTTCATGGACCCTACACAAGAGCAGAGGAGCACTGAGTGCAAGCTCATCTCCCTGGAGAATCAGTTCAAGAACACAGCCAGCCGTCTCAGTGAACTTCACCATGCCTATGTCACCTTTACTGGTACTGAGGATCCCTACCCCTTCAACCATCACCCTGAGATAAAGGTTGGGGTCCTATGTCCTGTGTGATCCTAAGCAAGCCTGGGGAATCGCCTACCTTTGTTGGTCTCTTTTTCTCTTTAAAATATTAGTATTTATTTATTTATTTATTTATTTATTTATTTATTTATTTATTTATTTGGCAGTGCTGGGGATTGAACCCAGGTCCTTAGCACTGAGCTACAGCTCTGACCCTTTATTTTTTAAATTTTGAGGTAGGGTCTTGCTAAGTCACTAAGTTGCCAGATTAGGCTGTAAGTTGTGATCTTCCTGCCTCAGCCTCCCAGAGTGCTGCATTACAGGTGTATTTTGTTGATCTCTTTAATAAGCAAATATTTCAAGATGAAACCTTCATGTATTTGATAATTCAAGTGTTGCATTTAGGGTGGGGATACAGGGGTCTTACTGCCTAGTAGGGAAGGCAAATAGCTGAATATTTCATTAGAATGTGATAAGATCAGGGAGTAAAACTCCTATGCAGGAGAAAGGTGTGCTCATTGTAGAATTTGGCCTTTGTGTTTCGTGTAACCCTATACCAAGATACCGAGCAGTGTGCCACAAATAAGGACAAGTCTTGATGTTACAGGAGCCTCTACCTCCAGCCAGTCTACACTGGCTGTAGAGAAAAGGCTTCTGAGGTCCTCAGAGCTGCAGAAGGAGTCCAGGGCAGACTGAGCTTCGCCCTTCCAACAGCAGTGCAGCTAGGCTGGTTCCCTCCTGCACATAAAGCATTTGGTGGGCTTGAGTTTCTTTTCTTAGATTCAGTCACTTATATCCTCTGGAAGGCATATTATTTTGAAGTAACAGATTTTTTTCTTCAAACTTAGATATTGCATTGTCTTCTAATATTTAGCATTTTAGGCAAATCTGATGTTAAGTCCAACTTTTTTCTTTAGTATGGAATCTGTTTATCAATTATTTGATATCTGCTTTTGTGTGTGCTCTGGACTCTGTCTAGAATTCTCATGTGTATATTGAGTTCACTGGTCTCTCCTTCATTTTTTAATTTTCTTCATCACTCATTCCTTTATTCCTTTCCTTTGAGTTCTAGAAACAAGTTATGAGCTTGTGTAGTATTTACTCTGTATTTTCCATTGTATTTTAAAGCATACACACATTCTATGTGTATGTGTGCACACATGTATATGCATGTCAGTGTATATTTATATGTTTATATACATGCACATATTTCCTAGCTCAATTTGCTGATGTGGACAGGAAACAAAGACACACAGTGACAAGCCATCTTGTTCTCAGATTTTAGTTTCTAATCCCATTCTCCATTCTCTACTATAACAAACCAGGGGTCCTCAGAGAAAGGGATGATTCCAGGGCTGTACCCCAGGAAGGGTGGGAACAAGATGAGCATGGAGTCTAATTTTATACCAGAAAGTAAGGAAGTGTTAAATTAAACTAGAAAAGGCAATGGAAGTTTGTCACAAGGATACATAGTGGATGCCAACTGGCCAAATCTGGGACAATTTGAGAACCAAAATACACTAATATAGTAATAAATTCTAAACTATTGAAAAGCCAGAAATTTATTTATTCATAACAACAACAATAATAAGTAGATAAATAAAGAAGAAGTATAGACTCATCCTTACAATAGATTGCCAAGATCTGACTGGAGATCAGGATATGGAGAGGGGGGGTAGAGTTGGAAAATTATTTTGCTACCATCAGAGTAAATACTGGATCATATCAGATGGATTGTCAATGGATGCCAATCTAGGGCAAGCTTAGTGAAGAGCAAAATACTTGCACTATTTTGGACAGTTACCCCCAGAGACTACTTATTAGTTGCAAAGGAAAAAAAAAACAAACATCAATTAGTGGAGAAATTGGATAACAATTTGATCAAAATTAACATCACCAGTGAAGGGCACACGGACATTCATGTGCCTCCAGATGTGATACCTGGAGAAGGACAGACATCACCTAGGCAGTAGTCCACTGAGGGAGAATAACATCATGAAAACAGAACGTGACTAACTTTCTATTAACAAGAAAGAGGGAAGAGGCTCTGTATTTTACTTTGAAAATGTCTACATTTTCAGATAAAGAAAAGCTGTAGGAATGTTCTAGATTAAAAGAAGCTAGGGCCGGGGATTTAGTTCAGTGGTTCCACCACCTGCCTCGCAAGCACAAGGTCCCAAGTTCAATCCCCAGTACCAAAAAAAAAAAAAGCTAAAAAGACATGACAAAGAAGTGTAGTACTTAACCCTAGATTAGCTGCTGTACTTGAGGGGAAACAATATGATGAAGGGTACTATTTTTTTCAAGTTTTATTTTTTATTAGTACATGTTTGCAGTACATAAAGATCACATTCCTCGTGGGAAATTGGAACATGTACATAACACATCTTAATTCCTTTTTCATTCCCCTTCCCTCCCTAGTCTCTTCTTCTCTCTTATCTTTTGGTCTCCCTCCCATTTGTGAAAGATTTATCTTCCTGTTTCCTATTATCTATCTTTTATTTTGTTCTTTATTTACATTTTGAGTTTCTCATGCAAGAGAAACCATGTGATGTGGTTTGTGTTTCTGATTTATTTCACTTAATATTATGGTCTGAAGATGCATCCAATTTCTTACAAATGACTCATTTATTCTTCTTTATGGCAGGGTAGGACTCCATTGTGTGTAAATACCACATTTTCTTTATCCATTCATTTGTTGATGGACATATAGGCCACTTCCAAGATTTAGCTGTTATGAGTTGTGCTCCTATAAGCATGGGTGTGCATATATCACCATAATATGGTGCCTCTAATTTGGGGGAAAATCCTAGAAGGGTAGTAGCTGGGTTGAATGGAATTTCTATTTTTAGTTTTTTGAGGAATCTCCATGCTGATTTCCATAGTGGTTGTATTAGTTTACATTCCCACCAACAATGTAAAAATGTTCCTTTTTCCCCACAGCGTCTCCAAAATTTGTTAATTATTTGATTTCTTGATGATAGCCATTCATTCTGGGGTAAGACGGAATCTCAATGTTGTTTTAATTTATATAATAGCCGGCAATATTGAACACTTTTAATGTATTTATTGAAATGTGGACAATAGAAAGTATTATAACAATGTAATATAAGAATTTGACAGTTGCACAGTGATTATGTAAGAGACTCTCCCTATTCTTGGGAAGCATGTACTTGAGTATTTTGAGGTGAAGGGCTACCTATGATTTATATAACTTACCCTGAAATAATTAAGAAAAATTGTGTGTTTGTATGTATATTCATATGCCTATAAACACACAGACCATGCAAACGGAGCCAATAATGCAAATGGTTGAAATGTTATAATAAAAGGGAAATCTGGATAAGAGATATACAGTATTAGTAAGACAGTAGTCAGAGGTATTCATTTTCCTCTTTTTTCTTGCACCTTTAAATATTTTGAAATCACTTCCAGATAAAAAGGTTTTGAAATACAATGAAAATTACTGAGAAGATACCACAGAAAATAGCCATCAAAGAACGTCTATCTTTTTTTCTTTCTTTCCTTTTACAGTATTGGGGATCAAATTGAAGAAACACTGAGCTACATCCCCAGCCCTTTTTTATTTTATTTTGAGACAGGGTCTTGCTAAATTGCCCAGGCTGGCCTTGTATGTTTGATCCTTCTTCCTTAGTCTTCTGGGTAGCTGAGATTACAGATGCACTACCATACCTGGCTAGGGTGTTTACTCTGAGTCCTCAAGTTTGTCTTTATCTTTGCATGTGTTTGGACATATCATGTCTTCCCTTTCTCATGGAGGAAGTCATTTGACAAATCTGGTGCCGAGGCAAGTCAAGGTGCTGTCAAAAATTCTGTGGGTCGCGGGGTGTGGTGGTGTGCACCTGTAATCCCTAGCTACTCAGAGAGCTGAGGTAGGCAGATTGGGAGTATGAAGGCAGCTTTGGCAATTTAGTGAAACCTTGTCTCAAAATAAGGGACAAAAAAGGCTGGGGATGTAGCTCAGAAGTAGAGTGTGCCAGAGTTCAATCACTTGTACAGAAGAGGAGAGGGAGAGGGAGAGAAGAGAGAGAGAAATTCAATGGGTCTCTAGCCCAAACTTTTGCATTCAGACAGAGAGATTGAACGAGTTCAGATTTTATTTTTTGTCAAATTTGAGCTCTGATAAATGTTTCCAAGTGTTTTAGTATTGATATCATTCATCATTCAGATGAATGATGTTCACACATCAAATGCATAATTTCCAGCAGTTGGGTGTAAGTCTCTCTTTTCCTCCCCCTCAGGAACTATACAGTGGGCCAGGGATTTAGCTCAGTGGTTCTGCCACCTGCCTCGAAAGCGCAAGGACCCGAGTTTGATCCCCGGTACCAAAAAAAAAAAAATTAAGAACTATACAGGAATTCAAGTGAATGAGAATGACAATCCTATAGCAATGACCTTGACTGCGAGCTCATGTCTTTTAAGTACATTATAAATATCAGTACTATAATTATTATTAATTACAAATTACTTTTGGCATTTATCTCACACTTGATTGTAAATAGTTTGTTAAGATCTAATGCAGTAGCTTGTGAAATTGAGTGCATAACTGCCATAAAAAACATGATGAGGAACTTCAGCATTTACCCCTACTAGGGCCAAATCTCATTCCATATTTATGTCCCTGAAATTCTCTCTCTTTTTTTTTTTCCTGAAATTCTCTTGGGCTGAGAATTCATTCACTCATTCATTCATCAACACATAGCTGTTGAGTGCCCACTATGTACCAGGCTTGAGGTACATCACTGAGCACACAACAAAACTCCTCCCCTAGCAGACCTGAATTCTAGCTGGAGAGAAAAACAATAAATACTAAACATAAAATATAACTAAATTATGTAGTACAGTATATTGGAAAGTGTCTAGAGAAAAAGAATAGAGCAGGTTATAGAGAGGTTGAGAATGCCAGGGAAGGTCCATAACAATTTATTTATTTATTTGTTTATTTATTGTACCGTGAATCGAACTCTGGGCCTCTCACTTGCCAGGCAGGCACTATACCCTAAGCTACATCCCTGGCCCTAATAATTTTTAATGTGATAGTCTGCATGGGCCTTAGTAAGAAGGTACTTTTTGAATAAGGGCATGGAGTTGGTGAAAGCTTGAATCATGTGGTTTTCTAAGGAAAGAGTGTTCCAGAAAGAATGAATTGCAAGTCAAAGGCCCTTAGCAGGAGGGAGCACGCCTAGTGTGGTACCTGAGCAACAGTAAAGAGTCCAGCATGGCTCCAGTGTGTGAGATGGAGATTAATAGAAGGGGAACCCTCCCATTTCACTGCCATCATGTTCTCCCACACATTCTTTCTTTGGAAAGTTCCTGTTGAACTGAACAATTTACACATACCCACCCCCTGGAATCTCTCTTCTGTCATCATGGGCCCTTGGTTGACTATTCCCTAAGTAGCCAGGTCTTAGCCAGCCCTATCCCACAGCAGATGAAAGTCCTGTGCCCTTGCCAATCTGTGGGACCCGTCCTATCGTGCTGCAGCAACTCATCTGGCACCTGTACCGAGTCATCTCTGAAACTTTGAGCGAGTGGAAGTGCATAGCTTTTGTCAAGGTACTGACTCTCCTCCTTGGAGCTCCTTCCTGGGAGGAGGATTGAGGAGAATGGGGGGGGGGTCCCTCAAACTGACAGTGAGCCCTTCTCCTGCAGTTCAGTCTGTCTATGGCCCAGGAGAAGACAGATGGCTGGCTGACAGAGGCGGCTCAGATGAGCACAACTCTGGGGGTGCACAACCCAGTGCTGCAGCACTGCATGAGCATGCTGGAAGAGTTTCGAAGCTACCTGCCCTTGCTCACCAAGCTGGGCAGCTTCCAGAGGCAGAACCTTAATTATCAGTCCCTCCTAAGAGGTGAGTTTGGTTAAAGCCAGAGGGGAGGAGGAAACGATGAATAAGGGTTTAGAACAACTCAACAACTTAGTTCCCTGCTGGTCCTGCTAGAAATGCCTTTCTAGGTTGCTCCCTATGCTCTCTCACATACCATAACCACCTTCACCAGCCCCACCCCAAGGGGAAAAAGAAATTCTATTGTCCCTTATTACCATGTAGGATCTTCTCTGTGGATGGGGCCTAGGCTCAGGCTGGCATCTTTGCTCTGAGTCCTTAGTTGTGCTGTGAGATCTGCAGTCCAGGATCTAAGCTGGGTTGGTCTAGGTGCTGGGCCCTGAATCTAGGGCCTGGGCTTAGGGTAGAACTGAGCTCTTGGACATGGGCTAGACTCTGCCACATACTGGATGTTCTGGCTCATCTCTTCTACCTTCATTCAGCCTTAGGGGTAGGCAGTCTCCAGAGTATGGAATTCCTGACACTGGGTCAGCTGCTCACCTGTCCATTGCTGGAATTTGCAGATCGAATCAACCAGGTGGGGCCCACAGGGGACAGGAAAGGAGATGGTCCAAGCCCAGGACCTGTAATAGAGACAGTCAAGGCCAAGCAGTCCCTTGAGATACAGGGCCAGTGAATGTTGGCATGTGGGTGAGTGGGAGTTGGGCATTGAGATTTCTGACCTCCCCGGAGGAGAGTAGGAATAGTCTCCTTAACTGTTCAGGTGAAGATCTGATGGGTGGTTCTGGACTGTGTGACTAATAACTCCCCCGGGAGAAGGAAGTAGGTGTCAGGCTCAAAGTGTTAAGCACACGGAATGGCAGATGAACCCCAACATTTACTCTGTCTGCTCACAGGAGCTTTCTGAAAGGGTGGGTTTTGGCCCTGGGCCAAAGTCATTAGATGCTACTGATAGCCTATCTTTGAAGCCTCATGGTCCCACTCTTCCCTGAGCCATTAGCCAGTTCTGGCTTCTGAGACCCAGCTGTTCCAGGTCTGGCAGTGTGACAATGAATGGATTCGTGCTCAAGAAAGCCTGTGGCAGTTGCAGCAGGACTGGGAAGTACGCCAGCTGCGCCTGGTCAGCTTTATCCTGCACGTACCTTACGAGTCCTCACCCTCCGAGCACTCCAAGAGGCAGTCTGCAGCCCCCAGAGGGAAGTGGTGGGGAAGGATAGTGCCACCTTCATTCTCTCAGGTAAGACTCAGCCCTCATGACCCTGTGACTTCCTCCTGCTGAGAGCTTTCACATTTTCAGCTATCACATCCACCAATCCCTTCCAGATCTGTCGTTAGCCAGGGCCCCATCCTTAGGGCCTGAAGCCTCATTCTATTCTAAGACTGTGTCTTCCATGTAGCTCCCATACTGTCTCTGTGGGAGACTGCCACACACATCCTCCTTTCACTTGATGCCTGTCTCCTTTATTGAAGGTCCTCTCGTTCTGGGTGTACTCAGAAATTCCCCCTGGTTATTTCTCTCCATGCTTCAGTGCTCTGCCTCTAGATTGCATCTGATGCCTGACTCAGCCCCACTCACTTGTACTTTTTCTTTCCCTCGTTAAACTGACCATAAGACAAACACTGGAAACCCAGAGATCATACATAGTAGCCCTGTCTTTTAGAAAATCCCAATCTGTGAGAGACAGATGATAGCACCCAGATAAGTGCATGCTGTTGCACCTTACTGACGGCAGTACAGTCTCAGAGAGGGAACTCATTCCAAAGACCAGGGAGAAATCAGGAAATCTCTGCTTGAGTGGAGGCCTCAGGCTGACTTTTGAAGGAGCAGGACTTTGCCAAACTTGCAAGGTGAGAAGAGCATGCCAGAGAGAAAACAGCACGTGTATAAACATCCAAAATGACATTGTTGGGGAATTGCCAGTGGAGGAGAAATCCTCCAACATAATCAGAACCTAATGAGCGAATCTAAACATAGTTAAATTGGGTTAATCATAAAATATTACGTATAAAAAATAAGTAAAATATGATGTGTATATGACTTCAGATTTTTATTTCAACTAAATATATGTGTAATATATTTTTTGCATTTACTTAACACACTTTTTATTGTAAGGACAAGAGATTTTCTTTGACTTGGGGTCCACGATTGCTCTCACTACCTTTCTTGAATTATGGCTTGTTGTCTATTTTTATTTTCACTTCTGTGAATCTGGCTAGCAATGTGAAGGCACTTACAAAGTAGACTGAGTGCAGAACTTTTCTAGACTTTTATTATAATTTTGCAATTTTATGAAGCAAGAGAATCACAAGTTCAAATCCCACCTAGTGAGATATTATCTCAGAAAAAAAACATTGCAAAAGCTAGAGAATTGGCTGAGTGGTGGAGCAACCCTGGGTTCAGTCCCCTGTAAAACACATACACGCACACAAATTGAATTGCCTATATCCAGTAATATGTTTTTGTTGGGTTTTTTTTGGTACCAGAGATTGAACTTGGGACCTTGCACTTGCGAGGCAGGCGGCAGAACCGCTGAGCTAAATCCCTGGCCCCTGCAGTAATATGTTTTTATAAACTCACCTTTACTGAAGCTTTCTGTAGTTTCCATAGAAACAGCAACTCTTTTCCTAGCCATATTTCAGTTAACAAAATATTAGATTAAATTCTATAATTTAAAATGTGATATAATAACGCATAAAATTGTTTACAAATGGTCTGTCTCTTGGTGATCAAACAGTTTAGTGGGAGCAAAAATGTTTGGCTCATCTACAGAATAGTAGAATACAGAATAGCTTGATATTAGTAAGTTTCAGTTGAGTTATGGCCATTAGTCAATATATTTTATGATAAGAATGGAAATATCCACTGGAAGAGCTTGTAATTCGCTGGAGCTGGAGCCCAGAGAGTTCTGGAAGAGGAAATGAGACAGATGGAGCTACAAAGGTCAGATCATGCAAATTCTTGGGAGCAACATTAATTATTTATCCAAGAATACAAAAACAATGGAGTGTTTTTGGTGGGGAAGTGACATGGTCAGACATCAACTTAATATCACCCTGGTTTTATTTATTTTCTTTATTGGTACACTTTAGATATACACAATGATCACATTCATCATAGGGAATTTGTACCTGTACATAACATATCTTGATTCTTCTTTTCCCATTCCCCTCCCCTCCCTTCAAACTTTTCCCCTCTCCATTTACAAAAGTTTTGCTTCCATTTTTTTCCTTCTATTCTCTCATTTTTGCCTTTTCACTGCTTTCCCTTCTCCTTTGTTTGTTTGTTTGTTTGTTTTTGGTACTGGGGATTGAACTTGGGTCCTTGCGCTTGCGCAGCAGGCAGCAAAACCACTGCGCTAAATCCCCGGCCCTCCCTTCCCCTTTGTCCCCCTTCTTGTTTCCCTTCCAATCTGAACATTTTCTTCCTACTTCTCAATATATATATATATATATATATATATATATATATATATCATCCATTTTGGTCCTTATTTTACCCTTTTGGCTTCTCACACAAGAGAAACAATGCAATATTCAAACATGTATCACTCTGGTTTTAATATAGAAAATGAATAGAAGGAAAGCAAAGAGTGGAAATAGCAAGATCAGTGAAGAGAAAATTGTAATCCCAGTGAAAAGAAATTGTGGCCTAGATTGGGATATTAGCAATGGAAAAGAGAAAAGTAGATGTACTTGAACTATGTATGAGTCCAACTGGGCAAGATGTGTAACTGGTCCACCTTCTGCATGAAGGAGAATGTATGTCTTTTCTACTTTAACATAGATGGTTCTTATCACCCAAACTCTTTGTCCTTATCACCTCTCCATGACCAATATTTGGTTAAGGGTTCCTCCCTCAGCTATCTGGAGCACATTGACAGATGGTGTTCATGTCTCGCTTATTAAGGATTCATAAGTTTTAGTGTTGACTGATAGATACGAAGACTGGGGTTTTGCAATTAACACTTGTATCAAGACTCAAACAATATTACCTTTCCACTTTGGACCTGAGCACATTTTATACTGATCGTTTTGCCCATTTCTGACCCTGAGTCCATGCTTTTCTGTATTAGCTTTAGATTTTTCTGCTCTTAAAAATAATCAATGAAATGCATAGCGCAGGGTACAGGCTCTGGATAGTCTGAACCTGGAGCTGTCTCTGAGCATAACTTTAGACACCTGGGTCCTCTTGTCTTTATTTGAGCTCGCAGACCTTCCCTTAACTTTGATCGCTCCTAGCTTTCCCTTCTGTCTCTAAGCTGGAGTTTGCATCAAGCATCTTTAGGGTTGGGATTTCTCTCTAACGTTTCTCTTTTCTTTCTGCACCAGGCTTCCTTTTCCCATCAACTCAGGGCATGTTGACCAAGGATCACATTTTATGGTGGCGACATGCCATAAAGTTAGTGATTTTATCCACACAAATGAGCCCAAGATGATGGAGCTTCTATGTATTTAACACTTACCCCAGGAAGTTAGGTTGTTGCAGGGTTAGGGATATCTAATAATCATTAACTCTCCCCTTTGGATTCTTAACAAAACGAGAGCAAGAAGATATTTGAAAAAAAGTACAATACTTGAACTATTACCCCCAGAAATTGTGTTTATATACTGTGATGACACACACGGTGTGGATCTAGGTCCAGTGATACTTCATGCTACCTCTTCATAACCTTCCCAAAACCAGTTGAAAACTTGATGTCTGTGTGAGTATGCAGAGGAAATTTGAAATATACTTACTCAGGTAGCTTCATGGATTGTGGCCTGCCTCATATGTCTTAGAGCACAAGAGGTGGGCCTTTTCGTCCATAGGGAGATGGAAGAAGCACATAAAATGAATGGACAGAGGAGCTAAAAATATTGCTCCAATATTCTTTCTAGAGAGTAGAAATTATTCCACTCTAAGAGCAGGATACTGAGTATTTTCTCCCCAACAAGAGTCCTGTATTGGAGAACGCTACATCTGTCTGCATCAACCTTCTCTCTCAACTCTTCTTCCATTCTCACCTTAGTGTTCCTAACTTAGTTCCAGCCCTAGTCTTATGTGGAATGATGGAATAACATTTTAAGTAGTATCACAGAGCCAAGTGCTAAGACATGAAAGAAAATTTTGGTCTCAGCTTTTCTACCAAGATCCCTTTTGTCCAAGAATGTGTACCTTTCTATAAAAGTATTATATAGGGACATGGAACCATTGAGCCCTCCTCCCAGGCTGAAGGCTCTAGTTTATCAGAGAACTTCCATGGAACTATATGGATAGCAATAGTAAGTAGCTGGGAAACCAGCTGGTCTGGTGTCTTCCTGCAGGCCCTGGAAGAAGGAGAAGTTTCTTTTTTCCCTGTTTTGAGACCCCAGTATTCTACTGGTTCTACCAGACTGGCCAATGAAATCCTTGAAGATAGAAAGGGCTTCAAGGTCTCTGTAGCTGCCTCCCCCAGAAGGTCATGCTAGTCTGTTCTTTTCTGCCCAGTACCGCCCTTGCCCACATGGAATGAGGCCAGCTCAGCTCAGCTGTAACTGCCAATTCAGCTCTTTGCTCCTTAGACTACAGAAGCTTACAAGATTCCATCCAGAAAAGTCTTCAGGCATCGTTCAAGGTCCTGGCCATCCAAAAGTCAGGAGACTTACACAAAATAGCTTTGGAGTGGGTGACCATCATGCAAGGCCTGGGTAAGTGCAGGCCTCCAGCTGGCCTTGAGGGTGGGGCCTGAGGTTGAATGGCCCAGTCATGGGGGTGAAGGGTGGGACTGGATGGGAGAAGATTTTAAAAGACAGAGTTAGGACTTCCTTCAGGAGCATTTCTTGGCATGAGGTGAGGTGGTCTTTATTTACAGTGAGTTTTATTTCCCATAACAAGGTCCCTGGGTCCTGCTGAATAGAGTAACTAGGCTGGGCTGGTGAGGCACCCAGGACACCAGGAGTAGGCTGCACTTCAGGCAGAAGTTAGAACCCTATTATCTCCCTTTAGTGTTCCTCTGGCTGCTCACACAGGTGCCCTGCTGGAGGTGTGGATGGCTTTCCAGCAGAAATGGATTTTTCTGAATAAAGTTCTACATGAGATGAAGATCCAGTTTCCTAGTGCCGAGCTGGTAGGGAAGGGAGTGAAGCAGAGTGGGCAAGAACTCCTGAATAGTGGGATGCAGGGTGGGAGGGGGAGCTACCACTTCATATTTGCCTTCGCTTTGACTCTTTCCACAGTACACTCGTTTCAAGGCTATGGATGATCAGTATCGGATGCTGATGCGCATCTCTGTAGCTGACCCTATGGTTCTGTCACTTATAGTGCCCAATGCCAAGAGAAGACCCTACTTTCAAGGTCAGCAGCTACAACAGCAGCTGCAAGCAGGATCAGTGGAGCTGGAGGGCATTATCATGGCTCTGGAGACTGTGCTGTATGGGGTGTGTGCCCACTTCCCCCGCCTCTTCTTCCTCAGTGACAGTGAGCTGGTGGCCCTGCTGGCTGCCCCTCTAGAGCCTTGTGAGGCCCAGCTATGGGCACGACACTGCTTTCCTGCTGTGCATGCTGTAAGCTTCAAGCCCAGCCCAACTGATGAGAAAAACATGGATGACCGAGAGTCAAGCCCAAGCAGACAGACTCAAATGGAGGCACTTGCTGTGCTAGGGGAAGATGGGGAGGAGGTGAGGCTGCCGGGGCCCCTTCTTTTGCATCCAGATCTCCCCATGTGGTTGGCCTGTCTGGAGAACTATCTGCGCTTGGCACTCGTGTACATGTTGCAGGACTGTGTGGCAGCTGGTCTTGCAATGAGACCTTCCATAGGTGAGACCTTTAAGAAGCTGCCTCAGCAAAGCCAGCTGCCCCTACAACTAAATGTCCAGCACTGGCTAGATTTAGTCCAAGCCTTCCCTTGGCAATGTATAATGGTGGCAGAGGAGGTAGTGTGGCGGGTCGAGATGGAGGAGGCTCTGCTTGAGATGGGGACCCTGGCCATGACACCCAGGCATATACAAAAGCTCGAGCTACTGGTGCAATTTATTCGAGCCCAGAGGAGCTCCCAAGGAGGGCAGCCCCTACTTTCTGTCCGCCAGGCCAGCCTTCTCAGTGCTCTGCTGGTTATGGCAGTGACCCACTGGGATATAACACAGCTGCTGGAGAAGCACCAGGTCAATGATCTGACAGACTTCCACTGGGCTCGCCAACTCAAGTACCACAAGGGTTCACCTCACTTGGTCCCCCAAACCCCTCTGCAGAGCCTTAAGACTTTTGCATCCACTGAGCCTTCCCAGCCACCAGCTGCCTGCTGGATAGATGTGCTGGGTAGGTCCTTCCTGTATCATTATGAGTACCTGGGTCCCAGACTGGGGCCTGTACCCTGCCTGCTGCTTGAGCGTGCAGTGCTAATTCTGTTATTGGCCCTGGAGGAGGTGGCCTGTGGGACCCTAGTAGGCCCTGATGGCGTGGGCAAGACAAGCACGGTGAACAGCCTGGCACAGGCTCTGGGCCGCCAGCTGGTGATGGTGCCATGCTCGCCTTAGATAGAGGCCCGATGCCTGAGCAGCCACTTGCTGGGCGCCCTGCAAAGTGGTGCCTGGTTGTTGTTGGTGGGAGTTCACCACCTACCTTCTGGCTTACTCTCTGCCCTAGGCCAGCGCTTGGCTGAACTGCACTGCCTCTATGCCCCACGGTACCAGGAGGCATCCCAAAGCATCTGCACCGCAGACCCCACCAAACCCCAGATCCTTGGCAGTGGCTTGTTTGAGAACCATCATGTGTCTGTATGTCTTGGCTATGGCTGTCTCCTGACACTGCGTGCCCTGAGCCCTGCTGTGCCTGCCAACCTGCATCTGCTATTGCGACCTGTGGCACTGGCACTGCCTGACCTGCAGCAAGTGGCAGAGCTGACTCTGCTTGGTGCAGGGGTACAAGATGCCTCTAGCATGGCTACCCGCCTATCTAAATTCTTCTCCCTAGAGTGTGAGCTGGTGTCTGGGGCCCTGCCCTGCCACTTGCCACTGCTCAAGCAGATACTGGAAGAGACAATACAGACACTATATATGACCAAGGAGGAACTCAAGTCCCAGGATTCTAGCAGCCTAGCTGCCACTGAGGAGGCTGCCTTACTACGCGCTCTGCTACACTCACCGCTGTTCAGCCTTGGTGGGCTCCGCCTGCACAACCTCCGAGAGCTGCTCTGTGGGATTTTCCCTAGTGCTAGCCAAGTGCTGGCGGAGCCTATGACCCATAGGCTGATGAAGTCCCTGGTGGCAGACGAACTGCAACAGGTAGATCTGCATCCAAGTCCCGACCTTATAGGGTCCCTGGAGCAGCTCAGTGAGGCCCTGAGCCGGGCCTCAGGCATTCTGCTCCTGGGTCCTGCAGGGAGTGGTAAAACCACTTGTTGGCACAGCTTATTTAAGATTCAGAATTGGTTGGCAGCCATGGAGAAAACCTTAACCCAGAGATACCAGTCTGTGGAAATTACTCACATGTACCCCAGTGTGCTTAGCTCCCAGGAATTCCTGGGATGGCTAGAGGGCCCCTACTGGCACTAGGGTATCTTTCCCAGGCTACTTCATGCAGCCCCTCATTGTAGCAGCATGGGCCCAAAGGAGCAGACTGAGGAATCAATGGGGATCCAGCACTGGGTAGTATGTGATGGGGCCTCTAGTGCTGCTTGGCTGGACTCCATCACTTGCCTTCTGAGTGACCCGCCTCAACTTAGCCTCCCCAATGGACAACAGATAGCATGACCCCCAGGTACTTTGTTTTTGATGGAGGTAGCCGATGCAACAGGTATATCCCCTACATTGGTGGGCTGTTGTGCCCTAGTCTGGTGTTGCGGGGAACAGACTTGGCAGAGTATGTTTAGCATCCTGATGGCAGCCCTGCCTCGTGAGTACCACCTGCAGCCCCAGACAGTTGCTGAGCTCAGCCACCTGGCTGATGGTCTGGTGCCTGCAACGTTCCAATTCCTCACTCGAAAGGGTGCTAGTTCTTTGCTGCAGGTACATGGGCATCAGACTGTTTGCCCAGGAGTGGCTGAAGTCACCAGCCTGGCTCGCATCTTGCGTAGTCTGCTTGACCCCCATCTGCGCCTAGATGAGGAGGAGAAGGCACATGATCCAGGTGGGAGGATAGAAGGGCTGGTTTGAAAGAGATGGGGTTTTGAGGGATACTGGTATGTAGTTGGAATGGGTTCTTTGGTGGACCTGGGCCAGGGAACTAAAAGTAAGACGTAATATGATCAACCTCTGCTGTTCTCCCCACCCCTTGCTTTTTCTGCTGGGGTTTCTATGATGGCTACGTTGATCACTACAGAGGACTTCAGCTTCACGTCTTCAAAAACCAGCTGTCTGAACTGGCCCAAAGTTGACAGCCATGATGTGCCAATTAAGGATAGGGAGCATTTATTTGTTCTCAGCAGCTTTCTTTTTGCCCTGATTTGGGGCTTTGGAGCCCACCTTCCTTCCAGGTACCTATGAAGATGGGAGGGTGGAGAAGGCAGAGGGCTGAGATGGACTGGCCCATGGGAGTTAACACTCATGTGCTATCACTGTGGGGATAGGGTGGAATGTGTGGGTGTATCACAGGTGGAACTGTTATAAGTGTCTGATACTTTTTTGCCTGTGTGTCCCCTGCGCAGCTTCTGGCCCTTTTTTGATACCTTCATAAGGAGTTCTATCAGTGGCTTCTCCAACTGTCCTGAGCTACCACCTGCAGTGTTGGTGTTTGATCTATATGTGAACCCTGAAGATGGGACACTAGTCCCCTTCACTGGCGAATATCTGAACAGCCGCATCAAGGGAACTCTGGGTACCTTCCACCCTTCTACTCAGGTGTGAGGAGAGGGGGTCAGTAGCTAGGGTTGGGACTTAAGAGGCCATGCTAGGGGTGTGTTTGAGGCCCAGCTGAGACACACCTGGTCCCATTTTTTGAACTTTTCACAATCACTACAATACATGGAGTGTTCTCCAAGTGCAGCTTTAAGACAAGTCTCTTAGGCCTATAATTTCAGCTAGATCACTATCCTGCCCTGGAACTGCCACATAAGCCCTGCTCCTGTCCTGCAGACTGAACGGCTCTTGTACATGGTAGACCTGCTTCTTTCGAGGGGACAGCCTGTGCTGCTGGCTGGAGAGGAAGCAACGGGGAAGTCAGCCTTTGTGGAGGTGCTAGTGGAGCCAAATCATCCTTACATATACAGCCCTGTCCACCATGCCTCCAGTTCTACCCACTTTCGCCTCCTGCTGAGCAGAGGAGTCCAGGACCAAGCACAAGCCAGTCCATGGTCTGCATGTCATCAGGAGTCTAAAGGCTCCCTCCTCTTCCTGGTGGAGGATCTGCACTTGGCTTCTTCTGGTGAGGAGCTGGGAGAAGGGAAAGAAGGAACTATGTCATCTCATGAGACTATAAAATCCCCAGTACATTACATTGACTCAGATACATGTCTACAAATCAAACTTCATGTTTTATTCTTAATATCCTCTCATTCTACATATATTCCTTGAGCAATCTTACTCACTCATGGCCTCATTCTCCATCTTTTTGCTTTGACTGATAAATCTCTCTCTCCAGCCCAGACTTCTCTTTTAAGCACGGGCCTGTTTTATCCATCCATCTACTCTACTATCTCCACCTTGTACCATTGGCACCTCAGACCTAACACCCCCCCACACACACATACACCATCTGCTCTGTGTGTCCTCTTAATAACTGGTACCATTATCCAAACTGTCATTTAATCCAGAACTCTTATTGACATCTCCTCTTTCACCAAGACCTAGTCACCATAGTCCTTCAATTCCACTGCCTAAATATCTCTTGAATCTTTCTATTGTACTTATTTCATGGTTCAGACAAGCATTAAATGGAACTTTAGCAAATGCTCTTGCAAAGTTCTTCATGATGAGGGTTTCTCCTCTAGCCTCTTACACCCTGTGCTCTAACTGGATTCAAGAAGTCAGGCTTTCTGTAGCCTCTGGAATCACTGGCCTCTGCCTTCTCTCTTTTGTTTATCTGGCTAAATCCTAGTTTTATTTCTAAATCATCTAAGATAGTAGCATCTCCAGGAAGCCTGATCCTTCAAGCTAGGGTGATACTTATCCGATGCTGTGTACAATATCTATAACAACAATATTTTTGTGATTGTATGCTTATCTACCCCATTAACCACATTTTCAGCTTCGTGACAACAGGTATTTATCTCATTCATTTTGATAGACCTGGCAGGAAGTAAGTGCTCAGTGAGAGTTTGTAGAAGAAAATACAGTATAACAGAGGAAAGGAGAGAAACTGTGATGAAAGTTTAGAATGCCTGAAGTTTAAACATTCTAAAGTGTTACACCTCTAGATAATAACCAGTTTTAAACATGGTCATGGGTATAAGTAGAAATAAAGTAGAAGTAGAAGATGTTGGAGTCAAGAAAGTCAGTGAGCTAAAGCACTGGGATGGGTTTTCCAGTCAATCCCTGAAATCCTTTATGGGATGTAGATAACTAGAACCAGACGTATTGAAACTTAAAAAAATAATACAAGGTACAATTTATTGAGTGCCATGTGTTACATGCTTGATGTCATCTTTAGTGTTTATAAAAACTTAGTAAGGTGGATATTTTAATGATTACTTTAAAGATGCAGAAACTGAGACAAATTTTACAACTTTCCCAGTACACCCTAACTATGTTATTTGACTTTTGCAATGAATTTACATAAGTACTTAGGGTGCCTGTGGACAACAGAAGGGGCAAAAGGTGATTTAGCCAGATCTGTGAAGAGATTTCAATTGAGAAGAGATTTAAATACAAGTGTTGAAAATATTGAAAGCAACACTATAGACTGAAGAATATTGTACCTGGCAGAAGGAAAAGTTATCTTTGGGTGACAGCCACTGGAACAGCCATATAACATTTAAATAATGAATACAAAGTTTTAAAAGTCAAAAAAAACAGGAAAATGTGACCTACTATTAAGAAGAGACAATCAATGGAAACTGACCCTGAAATGTTTGTACAGGTTGGCATTAGCAGTGAAATATTTTAAGGGCAGCTAGTATTCAAGTACTTAAAGGAAAACATTATCTTAATGATTGAACAGACAGGGAATCATAGCAGTAACCCTTGAAAAATAACTAATTAAAAATCTTAGAACTAGAAAATACAATAACAAGTGAAAAATTCACCAAGTGGGATTAACAGAAGATTGGAAATGGCAGAAGTCAGTGAACCCTCAAGAATATTAAAAATGTTGAATACTAATAAAACTTAATTCTAACACATATGTAATTAAAATCCCAGAGGAGAAGAGAAGGCAGCAAAATGTTTAAGAAAATAATTACCAACATTTCCCCCAATTTCTTTGCTTTTTTTTTTTGCTTTTTTTGGTACTGGGGATCAAACCCAGGACCTTGTGCTTGCGAGGCAGGTGGCAGCACCACTGAGCTAAATCCCCCGCCCTCCAAATTTCTTTTAAAATGCTGACTTTCAGATAAAAAGCCCATTTATCCAAAAGCAGAATATTAAAAGAAATCTACAACTAGATACATCACAGTCAAACTGCTAAAAATAAAACTTTGAAACTGGCCAAAGGAAAAAATAAAAGGATACAGTATATGTGGAGGAACAACATTAAGAATGATGGTTAATTTTTCATCATAAACAAAGGATTCCAGATGATGGTGGAACATTTTTAAACTACTAAAAGAAAAAGAAGAAAACTTGTCAACCTAGAATTTATTTATCTAGCAAAGACATACTTTGTAAATTACAACAAAATAAAATATTTCAGACGCATGAAAGAAAGTTCTTTTCTGCTAGAATTTCACTATAATAAATACTAAATGGTATTCTTCAGACGAAAGGGAAATAATACATGGAAACTAAGATCTACAGAAAAGAATGAAAAACATCAAAAATGGCAAATATGTGGGTACACATAAAGGATTATTTTTTCTTCCTGTAATTTCCTTAAAGAGAACTGATAGTTTAAAATAAAATTAATAACGTTGTTAGGTCAGTTGGTAATGTAGGTAGAAGTAAAGGAGACAATAGCTAAAATAGTAAAATTAGTGGGAAGAAAAAGTAAATTGAATTATGCTATTGTTAGTTTCTTATATTTGTGAAATAGCAAGTATTAAATATTAAGTAGGAGGAGTGAAGAAGGAAGTGGGAAAGGTGTGAAGTGGCGTGATGTTACTTCTAATATAGGTAAGGTAAAAAGGCATATTGTGCTGGACAAGATGGTGCACGCCTGTAATCCCAGTACTCGGGGGCTGAAGCAGGAGGATCACCATGAGCTTGACTCCAGCCTGAGCTACATATCAAGACCCTGTCTCAAAAGGAAAAAAAAAGGCATTTTATTAGCCATAGAAAAGTCACTAAATAATAATGTTAAAGAGTAGTTAAAGAGTGAATAAATATGAGATATTAAACTATTTAAGTTGTACAAAAGAAAGCAATAAAGTTACAAAGGTATAAGAATAGAAGAAACATAGAAAACAACAATAAGATGGACTTTAAATCAGAAAAATCAATAATTAAACGTGAATGGACTAAGGCTCCAAATAAGAAGCCAGCATTGTCAGACTAGATGAAAAAGTAAGACCTAACTATACACTAGGAGATTCACTTTAAATATAAAATTACAGGGGTAGGGATGTAGTTAAGTAGTTCTTTATCCAGCTTGTATGAGGCCCTAGTTTTGATCCCCAGCATCATAAATATATAATAAATAAATAAACACAGGTAGATTAAAGGGTTTTTCTGAAAAGACAAAACAAACGGTATTGTGGCACATGCCTGTAATCCCAGCATTTAGGAGGCTGAAGCAGGAGAATTGTGGGTTCAAAGACAGCCTGGACTACATTATGAGACCCTATCTCAAAAAAGAAAAAAGGCAGTGGATGTGGTGGCGCACGCCTGTAATCTTGGCACACAGGAGGCTGATGTAGAAGGATCACCATGAGTTCAAGGCCAGCCTGGGCTACTTAATGAGCTCAAGGCTAGCCTGAACTACATTGAGACACCCTGTCTCAAAAAACAAAGCAAAATAGGGCCAGGGATTTAGCTCAGTGGTTCCCCCGCCTGCCTTGCAAGCGGAAAGTCCCGAGTTCGATCCCGGGTACCAAAAAAAAAAAAAAAAAAAAGCAAAACAAACAAAGGCAAATAATACCATACAAACAATGCATAACAAAATTGTTGTGGCTATATGAATAACAAAGCAGCTTACAACAAAGGGTATTATTGAAGATAGAGAAAGACATCTCATAATTGAAGGATTCAATTCCTCAGAAAGACATAAAAGTCCTCTTTCAGTACGCACTAAAACAGAACTTTGAAGTATATAAAGAAACAAGGGAAAATAGCAAATCCAAAAACATAGTGTGAGATATAATACTCCTTTCTCAATAACAGAGAATAGTGCTAAGAAAGTAAAATATATAGATTTGGACAACTCCCACAACCATATGGACCTTTACAGAACATAATGCCCACCAACTGCAAAATGGGCTTTCTTTCCAAGAGCACAAGTGTTATGGTTTATATCTAGATGTCCCCCCAAAGCCTCATGCTTTCATATGTGGGGCTTTTAGACAATGATTGGAGCACAGGGGCTGACAGCAGACTTGTCCTTAGGATTGGGGTCTGGTCCTTAGAGGCGGGTCACTAGAGTTAGCCTGGAAGAGTTTATCGCCCTTCCCTGCTCCTCCCTTGCTCTCTGCCTCCTGTCTGCCATGTTGCGAGCACCTCTCCTCTGCCATGCTGTCCTGGAGTCCAGTGTCCATGCTTGGAGCCAGTGTACGGACTGAAACAGCCAAAATAAACCTCTCCTCTTTTAAATTGGATTGTGGTTGTCAGGTACTGTGTCTCCGTGATGAGAAAAGTGACTAAGACAACAAGCTAGGTCATATGCTGGGTAAAGAAATAAGTCTCAATAAAATCAAAGGTTTAAAATTTTAGAGTATAGGCCCAGGGATTTAGCTCAGTGGTTCCGCCGCCTGCCTCGCAAGTGCAAGGTCCCGAGTTCGATCCCTGGTACCAAAAAAAAATTTATAGAGTATATTCCTTGATCATGATAATACAAATCAGTAACAGTATGATACCTAGGAAATTCCCAAATTCGTTGAAATGAACAGCACACTTCTAAATAACTTAAAGAAAAAAAGGCAAGGGAGCTGAGATATAGCTCAGTAGTAGAGTGCTTGCCTCGTATAGGCGAGACCTTGAGTTTGCCCCTCAGTATGGAGGGGTAAAAAACTACAAGAGAAGCTACAAAGAAAGAAGAAAATATTTCAAACTGAATAATAATAAAAAACATTAAGATTTGTGGGATGCATGTAAAGTAGTACTTAGAGAGGAGGCTATAGCATTAATGCCTGTGTCAGAAAACGTCTGGATTCAGTGACCTAAGTTTTCCACTTAAGAATCTAGAGGGAAAAAAAATCAGGTTAAACTTAAGGCAATTAGAAGGAAATAAATAATGAAGACCAAAGCAGAAATCAATGACATAGAAAAACACATGAACTATAGACTATCAACACAGCCACAATTTGGTCTTTGAAAAGGTAAATAAAATTGACAGTTTCCTAATAAACTAGCCAAGAAATAAAGTAATCAAGAAATAAACAAGAAAACCTATCAATATCAAGAATAAAGTTTTCAATATCAAGAATGAAGTTTTATTAAAGATATGAAAAAGATAACAAGAATATTATGAAAAGCTTTATGCTAGTAAATTTGTTTGTTTGTTTTTGGTACCGGGGATCAAACTGGGGACCTTGCACTTGCAAGCCAGGTGCTGGAACCACTGAGCTCAATCCCTGGCCCTATGCTAGTAAATTTGGTAACTTAGATGAAATGATTGGAATCTTGCAAAACACAACTTATCCAAGTTTGACTTGAAATATAATGAAAAAAGAATAGATAGAAATAAAAATCTTGAGTTAACAATATTAAATGTTTCCAGTCCCAGAAGATGTCATAGTTAAATACAGTATTAAGAAAAAATTGAAACTTGTACTTTTTCAGCAAGTGGACATGTAAACACTTTCCCACTCATTTTATGAGGCTATCATAACCCTAATACCAAACTTTGGCAAAGACATTTTAGGAAAAGAAATTATAAACCATTATCTTTCATTAATAGAAATGGAAAAATAAGTCCTTGATGAAATATTATTAAATAAAATTCAATGACATAAAAGAAGAATAACACATGACTAAATGGGGCATATCCCAGGAATGCAAAGTTGACTCAACATTCAAAATCAACAGCATAGGGCCGGGGATTTAGCTCAGTGGTTTTGCCACCTGCTGTGCAAGCACAAGGACCAGAGTTCGATCCCCGGTACCAAAAAAAAAAAAAAAATCAACAGTATAGCTGGGCCTGGTGGAGCATGCCTGTAATCCCAGCACTTGGGAGGCTGAGGAAGGAGTATCACTGTGAGTTTGAGGCCAGCCTGGGCTACATAGTGAGTAAAAGGCCAGCCTGGACTACATAGTAAGACCCTGTCTCAAAAGCAAAAAACAAAAAACCCAAAAACTGTATATTGTTAACAAAAGAGAAAAAGTACAAGAAAATTGATAAAGCATTTGATAAAATTTAACACTGTTCATGATAATTGTGAGCAAAGTAAGAATAGGGGCCAAGTGTGGTGATGCCTGCCTGTGCTCCCAGCACTTGGGAGGCTGAGGCAGGAGGATTGCTGCGAGTTCTAGGCCAGCCTGGGCTACATAGTGAGTTCAAGGCCAGTGAGTTCAAACAAAAGCAAAACAAATGAAAAAAGTAGAATAGAAGGTAACTTTCTAAATTTGATGAAGAAAAACTTGCAGGTTCTTAAAGTCTGAGCTCAAACTTATAACCCTACTGCTTCAACCTCCCAGAGGGCTGTGACTACATGCATATGCTGCCATGCTTGGCCTTAAATCTGATTTTTTTTTTTTTTGGTACCGGGAATCAAACGGAGGGTCTCGTGCTTGCCAGGCAGGCACTGTGCTGCTGAGCTAAATCCCCAGCTCTTTAACCTGATTTTTGAAGTGTAGCTGTTTGACTGAAATGACTGAACTTTTCCCCTGTGATTGGACTCAGTTCCCTGCACCTTCCAGATCTTACTACAGTAATCATTTTCTTTTGTTTTGATGAATAATTGATCATGGAAGTGGAATCTGGATGAGAAGAGGAAATAACTTACTCAGACATGAGTCCCAACACATTGGATGCACAGAACTCTTCAGAACTCTGTGTGTGCTGGAAGCAGAGCCAGGAGACAGGAATAGGAGGTACAGGGGACACTCTCGTGTGGACTTCCACAGTCCTCACTGTTGTTCGTGTCCCGCAGATGCAGAGAAGAGCTGCCAGCCAGTGTTGGAGACTTTGCGACAGGCCATGGACGGCACTGTGTATGCCCACGGCACATTGGAACTGCAGACACTGCAGCCGATAGTCAACTTCCTTGCCATTACCACAGTGCCAGGAAGCTGTGAGCGCCCACTGTGCCCATGCCTCTCTCGACTCTTCACAGTGCTTGCCCTAGGCAGCATGACGCCGGCCACCCTGCTGAGCAGGCACACACCGAGCATCCAAGCCTGGCTTGAGCGGTTTCCCTCTGTGGAACAGGAGGGCATTCTGGGAAAAGCCCTGGTGCAGGCCTCGGTGGATGCCTGGGAGGCTGTGAGCCACTGTTTCATGCCTTCACCTCTCCACCCACACTACCATTTTTCCCTGCACTCTGTGAGCAACCTTCTGGAAAGCCTGCAGCTACTGCCTACCAGAGTGGGCTCACAAGTTTCTGAAGACTGTTTCTATGACAAGGAGCACTTGTACCGGGTGTCAGGCTTACGTGGCACTTGCCTGACTATTATGATGACCATGCGCTGCATGGTGTGCCTTTGGTTGCATGAGGCACAGAGAACATTTTGTGACCGGCTGGACAGCCCCAGGGAACGTGCCTATTGTGCCAAGCTGCTCCTAGAAATAGCTCAGAGAGTCTTCTGCCACAGGCCGGGGCCCCAGCACTTGGCCAAGGATCATGAGGAACAGGAGGAAGAGGAGGAGGAGGAGGGAGTACCTGAAGTCGAATCTGAGGGAGAGTTGGCCCAGTGGGAAGACTTAAGCAACAGCAACAGTGAAACAGAGGAGGGAGAGGACCCTTATGGCCTTCAGGGCACCACAAGCTCCTACGTCAGTGATCCAAGTCTAGCACCATCCATGAAGAGAGTAAGCAGGGAGACCATGGGAAGCGTAAGTCACAAGATGGAACAGGGAGAAGGCAGAAGGGCTGCCAGCTATAAGCTCCAGTCAAAGGAATTCAAACCTTGGCGGCAGAAGGCAGCCCAGATGGACATGGTCTCACCCCTGTTGCTACCAGTACTGCTACTCCGTCCCAAGGAAAAACCCTCAGACTTGGTCTTCTGTCAGGAGCTGATATTTGGGTCCAATTCTGAGGGCCCCAACTTGTATCTAGAACGACAATGGGAAAGCTTGGAAGGGCAGCTGGCTGCTTCAGCTGCTCAGCTGAGATTGAGCCCCCACCTTGTCCGGTGCCGCTCCATGGCCCAGCATGTGGCCCGCCTGGTCCGGGTGCTGGCCAGGCCCCGGCAGCATGGCCTACTGCTCTCAGGGGCTCTGGGTACTGGGTGCCATATTGCCATCACTCTGGCCACTGGCATTTGTCGGGCCCACCTCTTCCATCTGCCAAGTGGTCCAGAGGAGGCTATTCTCCAGTGTCTGCGAGACGCCAGCTGGCATGCTGGAATGTCAAGCTACCCAGTGGCCCTGCTGGTGCCCAAGGATGTGGATCTCACTACTCTTCATCGGCTGGTGGCTCTGGCAACCTCAGGCAGTTTCCCTGACCAGTACACAGAGGCAGATTTGGACAGCACTGAAGAACATCTCCCCAGGGAAAACCCTGGTGTCAAATATAACTTTAAGAAGGAAATGGTGCTGCAGAGGTAAGAGCCAGAACCCCACACCTGAGCCTACTCTGCTGTTACTCTGTCCTGCCCACGAGGCCAAAAGGAAATTCATGGGTTATTTTGAGGGCTCTGAAGATGAGGGCCAAGGGGCCAGGGTTGGAATTGGGGCCTAGATGGGCAAACAGAACAAGAGAAGGACAGCAAGCTGAGTTCCTGTCTGTAGATTCTACCAGCAAGTGTGTAGCCTGCACATGTTTTTCCTGATTGGAGATGACCTGGCCCAAAAGAAGCTGCCCTCCACCATTTTCCTGAGGCTCCTTCAACTGGCCACTGGCAGCATTGACCGCTGTGAACCTTGGGCCCAAGCTTCCCTGGTGAGAGTGGCCCAGTACCACCTGGAGGGTACTCAAAGCCTACCCGCTGATGACAGTAAGAGCCCTTTTCATCTGTCCTCACCACTCATGTCAACCAGGTTCTAATGAGGGTTATTAGTGAGGCAAGAGTCTCTCTCTCTCCCTCTCTCTCTCTCTCTCTCTCTCTCAGCTTCCTTCACATTTTCTACCCTCTTTCCTGAGCTAGAAGAGAGAAGAGAGTATTTTCCCTTTCCCATTCCCCTGAGCTCACACAGCTAGGCTAAAGCCATGCCCATTGCAGGATCCTTGAAGTGCCCAGACCTCCAGGCCTCAATTCCCAGTGTGGCTAAAGCCATGGCTCTCATCCACCTCTCTGCTGCCTACTACCATGAGCACTTGTGCCCTGTATTGCCACTTGTCACCCCCAAGACCTTCCTAGACTTCCTGGATACCTTCATGCTGCTGCAGCAAAAGATGGTCCTGCAGATAAAGAATAAAGCAAAGAGGTAAGTGGCCCTGTTCTCTGCAATTTCCCTCTTGCTTCCTTGGCTCCACTCACGGGCATGTGTATCTCCAGGGTCCAGAATGCCCTGGAGAATCTGCGAACTCTGGTTGAGCAGCACAGTATGCACACCACCCTGGTCATCAACTTGGAGCAGCAACTGAAAGGCGCCTACGAGGTAAGAGGAGATTGTGAGCCTTATGTAGGTGTAGCAAAGCAGAGCGGAGGAACCAACCAGAGTGAACTTTAGTTCTTATTTTCCTAGAATCCTCCTTTCCCCTGGGGAGCTCTATAATCCTTGCTGCCACCTTCTTTAAAGCTCAGGCTCAAAAGTTTCCCACAACACAGGAAGACAGTATTGATTTTTATAACAATGATACCTAGGTGTCTGCTTCCGGTGGCTCCTGGTGCCTTGACTGTGTGAAACTCAGTGTGTTCCCCAGACCTCTGTGTCTCCCAACAAGGGGCGGGGTGGGAACCGTAGTGTCACAGTCAACTCTTCCCTTGAATCCCCTATCACTGAGAGTTGGCTCACCTTTTTAGCCATACCACTTTTTCTTTCCATACCGCTTTGTCTTGTACTTCTTTTTTCAAAAACACCAAATTGGCCCAGCATGGTGGCTCATGCTTGTAATCTCAGCACTTGGGAGGCTGAGGCAGGAGGATCACCATGAGTTGGAGGTCAGCCTGAGCTACATAGTGAATTCAAGGCCCATCTGAATTTTTAAAAAAAAGCACCTACAAAAAAGGTGTGATTCAAATATACAGTGAATGATGAATTTAAAGTTTTTGTTACTGTAAAAGGCACATTGCCATTAATTCCTCCCAAAATGCCTTCATTTCAAAACACACACTTATCTCATAGTTCTTGCCACTTCCTGAAGCCGTTCTGGATGTCCTCTTTTGTGATTGTCTTTTACCAGGTGAGATCAAAAGTATTGGAGGGAGGGAAAATGGCTTGAGAGAGATTGGGGAGTTTTGAGAATACAAGTATAGAGAAGATGTATAAAAGTATAAGATGAGAACAGAAGGGGGGCCTGAAAAAATCACTAAAGAAATTTGGGCATGGTGATGCCTGCCTGTAATCCCAGAACTCTGGGAGGCTGAGGCAGGAGAATCACGAGTTTGAGCTCAGCTTTGGCAATTTAGTAATTTAGCAAGACCTTGTGTCAAAATTTAACGGGGGTGGGGGCAACTGAAGATATCGCTCAGTAAGAAGGTCCTGAGTTCAATCCCCAATACTGAAAAAAAGAAAAGAGAAGAAAAAGAAGTTGCCAAGGATGTTGCTAAAGGATGGCGAGGAAGGGACTGAGAAAGGGCAGCTGGAGAGGTTGGAGAAAGCTTATGGAGAACACAGTGCCATGAGGGCCAGGGGAGAAGAATCCTTCCAGGCAGAGGGGGCCATCTCCCATGACGACAGCTTCTGAGGGGCCAAGTAAGATGAGGAAAGTAGCATAATAGTTACCCGGGCAGGCTTTGGAGTCAGATTGCCTGGGTGTGTGTGCTGAAGTGGCTACCGCCTGCTTGAGGCTGCATTCCTGGATGTGTAACTCACACAGCAGTGATAGATCCAGAGCTCAGATCTATCTGTGACGTACGCAGAGTCCAGAGGGGTCACCCCTTGGTCAGGCCATGGGTCCTTCCCTGGGCCGTTCCCACACCGCCCAGGATCTAGAGCTGCAGGGCCTGCTCTCTGTTTACAGAACCTCAACCTATGTCAGCAGCAGCTGGAGAAGAGCAAGCTCCTGTACAAGAGGCAGCTGGCAGAGTGTCGACATCAGGAGAACCTTACCGAGCATCTGGCCAAGCAGCGGGATGCCCTGCAGGCTCAGCAGGAGGCTTTCCTCGAGCAGGTGGGCCCTTCTGCCACCTGCCCCGCCCTGCTCCTCTCCTGGGAGAGGACAAGCCCTCACGGGATGCCGAGAGGAGCAGATGAGGTGACTCATAATGGAGCAACCTGGGGAGAGGGCCAAGTTCATAGTGCGGCTTGGGGGGTGGCTCCACATGGGGACTACCAGGAGGACATGCTCCCTTCTTGAAACAGCAGAAAGAGAAAAACATCCCAGGAGCTCACTTCAGTGTGCATCTGTCCTCGCTTAGATGGGAAAGGCCTTTCTGGGCCCTCTGAGCCAGCTGCAGGTGGCTGACTTTGAAGAGATACAGAGCTATCGAGCACCACCAGAGTCTGTAGTGCAGGTGACTAATGCACTGTGTGACCTGTTCCACCGTGAAACCGGCTGGGCCAGTGCCAAGCAGCTTTTATGCACTGAGGATTTTTATCAGGTAGGGCAGATGAAGGAGGACAGGAGAGGCCTAAAGGGGAGAGTGGGCAGGGCTAGACTGTTAGGTCACACTCCAGAGCATCAGTGTATTCCCCTTTCTCCTTGACACATATCCTCCCAGGAGCTGGTGTTCTTCCCCAAGGAGAAGATGACGGACTCAGACCTGGTAAAGTTAAACCAAGCTCTGAAGGCTCCAGGCATGAGCGACACTGCCCTGCGAGCAGTCAGCGTGCCTGCAGCAAGCCTGGTGGCCTGGCTCCGGGCTGTTCTGCACTACGGGGTGGCACAGCACTGGGGACTGCCCATGGGCCTGCTGCTGCAGCAGGTGGAGGCAACCCTGGCTCGGGAGCAGGCCCGCCTAGGCCACTACCAGCTGCAGGTTCAGGAGAAGCTGGAGGCTATTCTGAGCCTACTAAGAAGGTGCAGGATGCCCAGGCTTCCCACAGGCGTATGGTGGCGACCCTCACTCTGGCACAGTGTGGCCACTATAAAAAGTGCCCCGTGAAGCCTGCGCTAATCACGCCCATGCACACTTGGACTACCCAGCTCCAGGTAACCGGCCCCCTGCCCACCAGGCCCTCAGAGTTCCCTTGCCCCACTGTCCTCACCATACTGTCCTCCACACCCTGCCTTGCTTCCCCTTGCCAGACTCTCTTCCTGCCTGCTCTCCCTGGCCTACATACCTCTGCTCTTCCCTCCACACCAGAACATGAGGGGACACTGCATGACCGTGTTTGGAGATGCTCTCATGTATTCAGCTGCCATTGTCTACCTGGGTCCTTTCCCACCACTACGGCGCCAGGAGCTGCTGAACAAGTGGCTGGCCCTGTGTAGGGGCTTGCAGGAGGCCCTGGGCCCCGATGACGTGGCACAGGCACTGAAGCCAAAGCAGAAGTCTGGCATCATGCCACCAAAGAACCCCCTGCTGCCCACACGCTTTCCCTTCAATGTTCTATCTTTGCTGAGCTGCAGCTCTGAGCAGAATCGGTGGGACCGAGACCTGAAGCCCCAGGGAAAGTCAGCCCGCCTGGCGGGCCTGCTCCTCCGAAGCTGCACCCACTACCATAGTTGCCGTTGGCCTCTGCTGCTTGACCCCAGCAACCAGGCCCTCATATGGCTGAGCCCACTGCCTCTGGAAGAGAACGGGCGTTTGGCATCACCTGCCACTGCGGGCAGAGGTAAGGCAGGGGTAGTAACACGATGCTTCTGGCTGTCTCCGTGTCTTGTGGTCTTCCTTTTCATAGTGGAAATACTGAATATAGCCAAAATATCTCAGATTTTATCAGCCTATACTATATTAATAAATTTGGTCACATTTGCTTTTTGGGGGATTTTTTTTTGGCCTGTAATGCAATGATCCTGATTTTGCATGGCCAACCAGAATCCATGCTCTTTCACTTCCCCTCTCTGCTTGGCACTGCTGGAAACCTTGCTCACAGCCCAGAGTTTTACTGGCCAATTTAGCCTATGCTCAGAAATTCCAGGGGAATATTTTTATTGAGTATTTTTGGATCATCTTGGTGGAGTGCTGGATAAAACATTTCCTAGGAGAAGGAAGAGAGGGTGCTTATTTCCCAGAAGATGGAACAAGGGGGTTAGGTAGGTGAGGAAAATGTGACCTTATTTGGAAAAGTCTTTGCAGATGTAATGAAGTTCAGAACCTTGAAATGAGATCACCCTGTACATTACAAGAACAGGCCCTGCATCCCGTGATAAGCAGCTTGTGAGAGACAGAAGAAAATACATAAATACAGAGAAAAGATGCCCATGGGAAGGGAGGCCAATACAAGAGTTCCGTAGCCACAAGCCAAGGAACACCTGGAACCACCACAGGATGGAGGAGGCAAGTAAGGAATCTTGCCTCAGAGCTTGGCCAACATCTTGATTTCAGACTTTGGCCTCCACAACTGTGACAGAATAAGTTCCTGTTGTTTTAAAGCCACTACATTGGTGGTAATTGGTTATGCGGCCTCGGAAACGAATAAACACATCACAGTTGCAAGATGTCTGCTGCCCTTCCAGTTATCACGGCATAGCTGTTCCTGACCATTTCTGTCTCTTTTATCAAGAAAGCAAAAAGTGGGGCCGGGGATTTAGCTTAGTGGTTTTGGCGCCTGCTGCGCAAGCGCAAGGACCCGAGTTCGATCCCCAGTACCAAAAAAAAAAAAAGAAAGCAAAAAGCCCTCTAGAAGTCTGAATAACCTAATGTGGTAGGCAGAATTTTGGTCCCTGTGACTTTTGCCTTCTGGTATTATTCTCATGATTATGTTATATGACACAAGAGACTTTGAGATATGATTAAGGTTATTAATCAGTTAACCTTAAGATAGAAAAATGTTATCCCAAATTATCTAATGGGTCCAGTGCAAGCGAGACTTTCAAAGCAGAAGGAAAAGCTAGGCAAGGCGGCTGATGCCTGTAACCCCAGCACTCTGGGAGGCTGAAGCAGGAAGGAGCACAGGTTCAGGCACAGCCTGGGCATTTTAGCAATTTAGTGAGCCTTTGTCTCAAAGTAAAAAAAATTTTTAAAAGCTGAGGATATAGTTTAATCCCCAGTATGAGGGGAAAAAGAAAAGAGGCAAGAAAACACAGGTTTAAAACACAAGAAAGATTCGATGAACTGTTGCTGTCTCACAGATGAAAGGGTCTACAGGGCAACTGTGAGAAGGAAGCAAATTCTGTGAGAAACTAGTAAGAACCGGGTGTGGTGGCATATGCCTGTAGTTCCAGCTACTCGGGGCGCTGAGGCAGAAGGATCACTTGAGCCCAGGAGGGCAACTTTGAGGCCAGCATGGGGAACACAGGGAGATCCTGTCTCAAAACAAAAACAGAAAACCATATAGCCTGGGAAAAGTTTTTAAGCTCCACAGGAGACCTGGAGCCCACCTAACACCTTGATTTTAGCTCACTGAAACCTTGGGATCAGCATCTGCCCCTGCTGTGCCGAGCCTCTAATCTACAGAACCGGCACATAGTAAAGGGACCTCTTTTCAAGCCGCTAAACTTTTGGAAACTTGTAGCAATAGAAAATGAATGCTCAACACTGTGGACCTGGCAACCTCCACTCTCAAGAGAACCTTAAGAGAAAACAAACAAACAAAATTTATCTTTTCCAGCTTCTGCGGCTGAGCCGAGGAGTTTTAGGCCAGGCTGGGCAACATAGCAAGGGAGAAAGGGGGATAGGAATAGCTGTTGGTTAGTCAACCATCTAGATCTATGTTCACCACAGTAGCCATGACTTGGCCAATTCCACAGCGGATGGCCTTCCCACTACTCCAGCCTTTGATTTCCAAATTAGTGAGGACTCTTTTTAGTTGTTAGTGGCAGAATTAGCTTAGGTGAAAAAGGGAAAGGCATGGAATCTTCTAACCAACTCACAGAAAGGGCAGAGAAGGAGCCAATGAATGTCAGAGATGACTAACCCTTCTCTGGAATTTAGAATAATAATGAGAACCAACATCTACTGAGCACTCCCTAGATGCCAGCCTAAGTGCTACCTATTGCATTTAATCTGCATTTGACCCATATGGGGTCATCATTAATATCAACTCCATTTTATAGATAAGAGAATTGTGTCATAGAGTTTGAACAACTTTCCTAAGATGTCTTCTTGCAGACCTTCCCTCCTGGAAGGGAGCCTTCCTCTCAGAAGTGCTCCCGTGCGTCTTTCTATCCCAGGGAAAGGCCTCATGAGAAATCCAAACGGAGAGAACAAACAAGAGCCCATGGAAGGAGACAATGATGGTGAAGACAGAAATAAGGCTACAGACCAGACAGAAGAGCAGAACGCAGAGCAATGGGAAAATGAGGAGGAGGAGGAAGAACAAGAGGAGAAAGAGAAAGAAGAGAAAGAGGAGAAAGAGAGTGAGACAGAGAATCAGGAGTCAAAATTAGTCTCTGAGACTCTGTCTCCGCCTCTTCTCTGCCTTAGTGTGCTCTCAGGCACTGACCCAGAGTTGGGTCCTCGGCTCCGGGAGGCAGCTGCCAGTGGTGAGAATGGGTCCCCATCACCATGCCCTTCGTGGTGCTCCCCCAAACCTGTGATCCCACAGGCTTCTTACACCACACTCTGAGCTCAGCTCCCATCTTTTTCCCCACTATGTTGAAGAATCTTTAGGGATTCTTATCAGAGAAGTGCCATCAGAGCCAGATCTTTGCAGGGAGGGCACACGGAGCCTGGCACTATGGGTTGGTTGTCCTTGTTTCCCTTCACAGGCCAGCCTGTGCTCCTGACGAACATGGAGCTGGGCCTAGGGTGCAAAGAACTTCAGTGGCTGCTGCAGCGGGAGCAGCTGAGTCCACCCCTCGTGCACCCTGGCTTCTGTCTCTATCTGAGCACTACCCTCCCCCTCCATGCCCTGGATAAAGGTGAGATCCAGAGGGTAAGTTGCCAGCCCCTTTGCGGACACAGTAGGCCCCCAGGGCTTCATTCAACCTAGCCCAGAGCAGGCTCAGAACTGTAGGAGGGAGCCACACTCCTGTCCACCCACCTCCTGGCTCTGCCAAGAGGAAGGAATTAAGCATATTTCTTGTGACCCCCAAGTGCTAGGTTGTGAACTGCTGAAAGGGCTGAATATCCTGGATCTGGGCCTAAACATGGAAATACTAGAAAACCAGATGCTACATGAAGTCATGTACAGAGAGTGTCCTGAGCTTGAGATCCATTGGGAGGACCTAAAGATCAGAGCCCTGGATGCCTGCGAAGCCCTGGAGGCTGCTGAGGTACTTGGGAGGCCCAAACTATGGGAGACGATGAGCACTGGAAGGGCCCAGGTAGAGAGGTAGAGATGAGTGTAGATGTTTGGATATCGTAAGGAAGAGCCAGATCCATCCAAAAAATTACTATATGCGGGAACAGTTGCTGATGATGCTGCTGTTCCAGAACCCAGAGCATCAGAAACCAGCCAAGTTTCTACGGGACGTTGTGCAAGTCCAGGCAAAGATCTGTCAGATGCAGGCCCATTGTGAGGAACTAAAAGAACAGAAGCTGCAAGAGGTGGTATTGTGGGTACCCTACCAGCAGGTGGTTTGGCATGCAATGGCCATAGTAAAGGCCCTAAGCCCACTACAGAACTTGCTGCCCTTTTTCCATATGAGTGCAGAAAATTGGCTGGCAGCAACCAGGCAGGCTCTGGACAGCATGAAGCCGCATGATGTTCATCATAGGGACAACCTGGCCAGACATCTGCTGCAGCTGAAAACACACCTGACCCGCCAGCTGCTGGGCAGCACCTTCACTGCACTAGGACTAACCCAAGTACCCTTGGTGGGTGCCTTGGGTGCTTTGGCTCTGCTGCAAGTGACAGAGAAAGTACCAAAGCTGGAGAGGCTGGCACTATGGCCTGGACTGGCAGCCTCTCCCAGCACAAGCCACCAAAAGCCAGACCCAGGTGTGGTTTGGCCAGATTGGCTTACGCCAGAAACCTGGCATGAATGTGGGACTTTAGAACTCCTGCCTCCATTTGTTGGGCTTTGTGCATCCCTGGTAAACCATTCCAGTGTATGGCAGGATTACCTGTCACTGTCATCCGCAGTGCTGGGCCCTGCACCTGGGCCCAGCTCTGAACCACTCAGCGTCCTCCAGAAGTTGATCCTGTGGCGTGTGCTTCGACCGGAGTGCCTAGCAGGTGCCCTAGCAGACCTCACCACCAGCGTCCTGGGCCGGCCTCTGGATGAGAACCTGGGTAGCCCCATCTTGCCCTTTGAACTTAGTCAGGCTACTCAGCCCATACTGATCTTGTTGCCACCACCTGGCCACCCTACAGCCACCCTACATCCTCTCACTGTCACCCAGAAAATGGCTGCCGAGCATAAGCAGGTTTGAACCTATCTCTTGGCCACAGAGTGACTGGGACCCTATGGGGTAGGATAGGGTGTGGGGACACCCCCCCCCCCGCCCCTGGCATTCTTATAGGTCTTTGTGGATTACAGAGTTACTTTGGGGGTTGTTTTGACATTACTCTGAAATCACTTGGGTCACCCAAGGATCACTTAGAGTCACTGCCATGTTTCTACTGGTCCCCAGGGGCAAAAGCATCTGCAGATGATAGCCCTGGGCTCGGAAGCCTGGAACCCGGTCTCAGATGTGGTCAGCACTCTACGCCAGGCTATGTCTGAGGGGCACTGGCTGGTGCTGGATAACTGTCATCTGATGTCCCACTGGCCAATGGAGCTACTGCAGCCCTTGCTGGGACTGTTGGGTGGAGCCAAAGGTGAGTGTGCTGCCCAGAGAGGATTCTAGTATCAGAACCTGCACTTGGCCTTGAGTTTGAACTCTCAGGTCTTATGACTGATCCTCTAGATCCAAGCCTGTCCCCTTGGCCTTGTGTCTGCATCCTGCTGTTCCAGTCCTAAGTGTGATGCCCAAACTTGTATCTGACCAATCATCTGAGGGCTGATCTCAGCCTCTTGTCATACCCTAGTAGTCTCGGACCTGGAACTGGAACAGCTTTCAGCTCAGCCCGAAAGCAGGAACATGGCCACTGTCCATAGAGATTTCCGTCTTTGGCTTATTGCATCTGCAGAGGCCAGTGCTTCTTTGCCAGGTGAGGACCATCCCCCTGTGTGCTCTCAATCCGGAGGAGCGGCAGGTAATGGTGGTGCACATCTGTAATCCCAGCACTAAGGAGCCTGAGGCAGGAGGACTGTTTTGAGTTCAAGGTCAGCCTGGGCTGCATAGTGAGATCAAGGCTGGCCTGAACTACATAGTGAGATCTTGTCTCAAAAAACAAAAACAAAACAAAACAAAACAACTGGAGGGGGGAAGTTAACCGTGTAGTGCTGACTCAGCACCCTCCTGTCTCCCCCCCGCCCCCCAGCTGTGCTGAGCCAGCATTCCATGCCTGTTTTCTGGAACCAGTCATTGGAGCTGGGTCACATCTTGATGCACAGTCTGGAGCTGGCCCAACAAGGAGTTCACATGCAGCCTCCTACCCAGGCACTGCCTCTGCTGCTCCTGCATGGCCTCCTGCTGCACCGGCAGCTCTATGGAATGAGGCTGCAGGCACACCGGGGGCACTGGTGAGCTACCCCCACCTGTGCTGTTGAGTCAGTCCCCAAGTATCTTCCCTTGCTGGGATGATGGAAACCAACTCATCTTGGGGAGTTTCAGTGTGAGGATAATGGGGAGGTCTCAGAAGGCTTCTCCAAGGACTCTGTGATCTCTCACTCTGAGTTGAGAAGGACAGAGGCAAATCACATAGTCTTCTAAACAGAGGGAACTAAGCTCAGCAGAAGGGAGACTTCAAAGTAGCTGAGGTGGACATGCAGGGAGTTGAGTGAGAAGGGGTGAGGCTCCTCACAAGGTGCGTTTAAGACCATGACAAATGGCCTGATGTTATCCTGAGAAAAGTGGGAAGCACTGAAGTGTTTTAAGTAGAACAAACGTGATCCTGTTGGTCTGTCGGAAAGATCATTTTGGCAGCAGTGTAGAGAATGGGCCAGAGGAGGCAGGACTGGGGGCAAGCAGAGCAGTTTTAGGAGGCTCTGGCAGTTCCAGGGAAGAGATCACAGTATGGGTGAGAGAGACGAAGTAGTGGGGATAGAGAATAAATACTGTATGGGGGGAGGAAGGAATCAAGGGAGACTCCTAGGTTTCTGCCTTAGCTGGGATGGCTCCTACCTCTCGCTGGGATAGGAGACGGAATAGGTTTCAAGTAGAAACATGATGGTTTCACTTGAAAGCAAGTTATATTTGAGGGGCCATAAGGCAATCACTAGTGAGCCCTCGTGAACCTGGAGCTCAGCTCGAGAGAGGCGGTATTTGAAACCCTACTTTCTGTTCCTCTCCCTCAGGAGTCATCTGACCCTGACCCAGGCCCTTGCGACCCAAGAGCAGCTGTGGGCCAGTCTTACCAATCCCGGCACTGCCATGCAAGAGCTGGCTGGTGAGCCCCTTCCTGCCCCCATGCACCCATCAGCTCCAGGAGAGCCTGGGAAAGGGTGGGGGTGGGAGTTTTACGATCAAGACATAACGCACAACTTTGGTTTAGGTGGGTGGTAGAAACCATGGAGGGGCATAGACCTGAGGGGTTCTGATCTCATCCTCAGCTTCTGTTTTCTATGGGGGATCTCTGGGGGATACCAAGGACAGAGAGGCCCTGACTAGCCTCACCCAAGCCTGCTTGTGCTTCAGCTGCCCGAGCTGAGTCCGACCACACACACCTCAGTATCTGCTGGCCACCCTGATGCCCAGCCCAGGTAAGTAGCCAGAAGGTACCTGTTGGGGAGGGCAACAGTGAAGTGCAATGCCACCTCCATAGAAGTGTGGACATCCGTGCCAATAAAAGTATATGAGGGGCTATATACAACACTTGTGGGGGGTGGCGTAAAGGATCAAGGGAAGGCCTGCATTCTGCCGTCTCCACTCCAAGAGCTGGGGAAGCTGGATGCCATGGCAGAGTGCAAGGCCCAGATGCACCTACTGCCCACACCGTCTGAGCCCCAGATCTGTGGACTGAGTGAGGGCCCGCAGGCCTGGCTGTTGCGGCGCCAGAGTCGTGCTCTCCTGAGCGTGTTCCAGCGGAGTTCAAGCACGTGGGTTCCTGCAGCTCGCAGGGGCGCCGGGCGCTCGGAAAGGCGGCTGCGGCAGCGCCTAGTGCAAGTCAAGCAGAAGTTGGAGTCATTGCAGGCCCTGCTCAACAACCACACTCGCCGAGACCAGTCTTGGGCGGTGCGGGGCCGCAGTACCAGGCAGCCTCTGGAGGACTTCCTAGAGACCGAAGCGTTGGAACTGAGTCAGCTGGTGGGTGTGCTGCAGCGTGACCTTGACTGCCAGCTTCGGCAGCTGAAGGGCGAACCCCCGTGCCTCTCCCGCCGCTGTGCCGCGGTGGCCCACGCTCTCTGGACCGGCCGCCTACGGGCGCCTTGGCGACCCCGTGCGCCCTCTGGTCCGCAGCCGCCCTGGCAATGGCTTCGACAGCTGTCGTACCGTGGGCAGCTGTTGGTTAGTTACCTGGGCTCGAACGCAGGGACTGAAGTATCAGAGCGCGTCTTTCACCTGTCAGCCTTCCGCCACCCGCGCCGCCTGCTGCTAGCACTGCGTTGGGAGGCTGCCCTGGAGCAGCGTGCGTCCAGCTCGAAATTTCCTGGCAGCCAAGGCACCAGCTCCTGTCATATCCCGCATAAAAGCCGGGAACTAAGCAGCAGCCCTCTGCACCTCCAGGTATCGTAGCGTTGCCCCTCCTGTTCCCCATGACGCCCCCTCAGAGTCCTTGATTACACCTCATCCTGCTCCTCAGTAATGCGATTTCTGATCTCACTCTGCCTCGACCTCCACCTTCCACTCCCCACGCCCCATCTTCACAGCCTTGTCTAACCGGCTTCTGGCCCTCTAGGTGGAAAATAGCCCAAACCCCATGGTTCCAGAGAGGGGGCTGCTGCTGACAGGGCTGCTGCTGACAGGGCTGCAGCTTCTGCGTGCTGAGTGGGACCCGGTAGCGGGGGCCTTGCAGGACAGCGCTTCCAGCCAACCCAGCCCTCTGCCTCCTGTCAGCGTTAGCGCGAGCGCCCAGTGCACCAGTGCCCCAAGGAGCGGGGACGGCCTGGCTGTGTACTCCTGTCTTGTGTACGCGGCAGGGCCCCTCGGCACCACTAAGCTGCACAGCAGGAATATCGTGATGCATATTCCCCTACCCACGAAACTTAGCCTCGCCACCTGTATCCAGCGCAGGGTCCATGTGTGCAGCCCACCCTTGCCCTGAGCTCTCTACCAAAAATAAAATCGTTGTGATCCCATGAATGATTTATGGAATTTGGAAAGAGAATGAGGCACGCACAGAAGGCAAAATATCACACACACAAAAAATATATTGTGCACAAATGAGGAAAGGTGTTTTCGCATGAAGAAGGGGCAAGTGCCTGGCAACTAGGGAGAGGAGAGGGGTACATTTCAGAAGGTGGCTGGTGTGAGTCATCTAAGGGACCAGGCAGATTTGGCAATGGCTAACACACGGAATCCTGAATCCATTCCCAGCTCTCTACTGTGGCCTCAGAACATGCACTCAATCCTCAAGGGATATTTTTGAAGGGAGAACATTAAAACTCAAAATGCTTTCTTAGGACATTTAGTGTTATTATTGGCAATGTTCCATTCCAGCCCTAACACTCACACACATCATCACCTATGATGGATTCTCTAAATGAGTTCTATATACAAAAAACAAAAGCTAAATAAGAGGGAAAAGGTCATGGTGGTGCAGGCCTGTAATCCCAGCACTCGGCAGGCTGAGGCCAGCAGGGCTATATAGTTAGACCCTGTCTCAAACAAAACAAAACAAAACAAAAAAACAACAAAAAACAAAAGGAAAAATCAGAACGTCCTGTGTTCAAAAATTATTTATTCAGCACTCATCCACACCAGGTGTTCTTCCGGGCAATGATGAGGCTGTTCTAATTAAAGGCAACAGGCAATATAAGGTTGATACAAATATGTAATTTTGATGATTTTGGAATGCTATAATTAAAACCAAATAGGCTATCAAGTGACAAAAGGGGAGTACTTAATAGAACGATCAAGGAGGTCTTCCTGAATACTGAGATACTTGAAGATAGAGAAGGAATATTCAGGTAGAGGTCTCAGTAGGTGCACATGTCTTGAGGCAGCAGCAACCACGGAGTATTCAAGGACCCAAAGATAGCTAGGTCCACTTCAAGGTGAGCAAGGAGTGGAATAATCCAAAATGTCAGAAAGGGGTTGATCACATGGTCATGGTAATGAGCTCATATTTTTCAAAAGCATAGTGAAAACCTAGAGTAGTAGGTAGGAGATGTCACGCTGATTTACGCTTTTCAAAGATCACTCTGGCTGCTCTTGGGTGGATGGATGGTAGTAAAGCCAGAGTGGCAGGGAGGAAGATCTGTATGGGCCCAACTGAGGTAATTCGAGTAAGAGATGATGGGGCTTGGACTGTGTTAACAGTGGAGATGGGGGATGGACTGATTTGAGAAATATTCTGGAGGAAAGCCAGCAGGACTGATGGATTGGATGTGGGCAGTGAAGAGGAAGATGACTCCTGGGTTTGAGGCTTGAGCAGCTAGGTAGGTCATGATGTTATTAACTAAGAGAATTTGAGGATGAAGAAGTTGGAGGTAAGTCATTACTAGTTGCATGATTACATACTATCCCAGGGCAAGCCTGTCAGATTAGAGTATGGCAGAGCTAAACGTCTCAACCACCAAACCTTACTAGGTACAAATTAGTTTCCTTGCTGGAGATACAGTTCAGTAGTAAAAGCCAAGTGTGGTGGTGCACACCTGTAATCCCAGCACTAGGGACGCTGAGGCAGGAGGACTACAGAGTTCAAGGACAACCAAGGCTACATAGTGAGTTCAGGGCCAGCCTGAACTACAAAGAGAGACCCTGCCTCAAAAAACAACAAAAAAAAGTTCAGTAGTAAAGCACTTGCCTCACATGTAACTGGTTCTGGGGATGGAACCCAGGACAACACACACACACACACACACACACGCGCGCGCGCGCACACATTAATTCCATTGATGTATGACTAGGTTCCAGCTCCAGAGTGGGAGGAAATGAACAGATGTTGTGTACTGAGCATCATTTTTCATATTTTCACAAAGAGTAACTCATAGTTGACTGTGGTACCACTGATATCCTTTAACCAGAGTAGAAAGGCAAAAGCTCCCATTTTCCATTTCCTTTTACATAGCCAACTAGAGGGATGGCCGTTCCTTCAAAAGAGAAATTAACAATACTAAAAAAAATCCTTTGGAGCCTCACGTGGTGGTATATGCCTATAATCTCAGCACTCTGGGAGGGTCAGACAGGAGGATTGAGGCCAGCCTAAAATTTAGCACACTTCAAAGTTTTATTTTTTCTTTAAGGCTGGGGATGTAGCTTAGTGCAAAGGCCCTGGGTTCAATCCCTGGTATGTATGTATGCATTTATGCATAAATAAATTTTTAAGAGAAAAAAAGGAAAAATATCTAGCTTCTTTCACTATACAGTGGAAGGGAAGATTTGTGGGCAAAATCAGTAACTGAGGAATGATAAATTGTATATGTTCACATTTGTGAGAAAATCTGTGATTCTGCTCTGATACCTACACGAATAAACTAACGACCAAAATTCTCATTGACTAGTGTTCTGTAGCTCACCTAAAACTCACTTATTTTTGTAGGTTTATGGTCTAATTTGAAATCTTCATTCAGAAATTAAACAGGGAAATGTCTGAAATAGAAAAGTGCCAGTTTCGCCTACTAATGCCGAGGGCCTAGTATCTAAAAGGTATTATTATTGTTATATTTAACAGATGTGAAAACTGAGACACAAATTCAGTAAATTCTCCAAGGTCCCACAGAAAATGGTAGTTTTTAAGTCCAGGAATTTGTCTCTAGAATCTATTATCTCTACAGCGTTCCGCTGCCTTTGCCATATCCAATGTTGGAGAGATAAGTGGAAAACAAGACTCCTCATGCAGTGCTGGTAGAGCACAGTGGTGAAGCTATTCTGGGTGTGGGGGTGGGGATCTGCCATCACTTAGTAAAATTAATTAAATATACTATGTTCTAGCAACTCCACTCCTGGGATTGTGTCTCAGAGGGTCACACACAAACCAAGTTGGCAAGTATTCTCTACTTGTTTTCTAAAATAGTGTATGACAACAAAAAATATTTTGTGCAGGACTGATACTTTCTTCATTAAAGGGTGGACAGAATTTGCTAGTAATGCCACTGGGGCCTGAAGTTTTGTGTTTTGTTTTTGTAGGGGGTGGGCAGGTTTAATTACAAATTCTACTTCTTCAGTAGATATGAGGCTATCAGGTTTTTTACTTCTTTCTCAGTTGTGGCAATTAAAAAAATTTCTTATTATATGAAATCTAAGTGGGCCCAGTATGGTGTTGCATACCTTTAAGACCCAGAGGCTGAAGGTAGGAAGCAAGCCTGGGGAACTTAGTGAGACCCCCATCTTAAAACAAAGAGGGCTAGGGCTGTTGCTCAGAGCTGGAGTGTCTGCCTCATCCATGATACCCTGGGTTCAACCCCCAGTAGTGACCCCCGCCAAAAGCAAATCTAAATGAATTTATTATCCTTTTAATATCTGTAGTATCTATAGGGATATCCCCTATTTCATTTCTATAATTGGTCTTTTTTTCTTGATAAGTCTAACTAGAAGAGTTTCAACTTTAGTTTCAAAATGTCAGCTTTTGTTTTCGCTGATTTTCCTATTCTTTCTCTAGTGATTATTTCACTGCTTTCAATTACCTTTTTAAATTTTCTTCCTTTTTTTGGTACCCAGGGATTAGACTTGGGACCTTGCGCTTGTGAGGCAGGCAGCAGAACCACTGAACTAAATCCCTGGCCCCTTTCTTCCTGTTATTTACTTTTAATTTTCTCAATGTGGAAATGTAAGACTATGTTGATTTTAGGTGTTTCTTATTTTCTATAAGTGTATTTAAATTTCTAAGGACTGCTGTAGCTACCATCTTACAATTTTTGATGTTATATTTTCATTTAAAATTTATTTTCTACTTTCGTTTGTTTCCTTTGCCTGATCCATTCATTTGTTGTTGTTTTGGAGACAAGGTCTCAGATACCAAAGGTGAGAGATTTTCCCTCAAATGACTTAGGAAGATCCTTGCTCAAACTGGATTCCACAGGGACAGAGGAAAGGTCAGGGTCATGGCCTAGTCAAGTAATGGGCTCAGTGGAACTTAGCTGAAGTTTTGGTAAAGATCTGACCAGAAGGGATCCAATGGAGGTCCCATGAAGAGGAGATAGGGTCTTCAATTCGCTCTCCCCTCAGAAGTCATAGACTCTTGTCACAGAAAAAGAATTTCAGGACACATTTGTGAGAGGCATAGGCAGAGTTAAAGAAATAAATTCTCAAAGAGAAAACAGTATAGGCGCTTAAGACAGATGCATTATGATCTTGGGTTGGAGACATATATATATATATGGTCTTTGAAGTAACTTTCAATATGGGTGATATAAGATGCTTTGCCTAAAAACATTCTTTGAACCATTTGAATCTGTCTCTTCATCTTAAGATCAGGTTGCTGTCCTTTATCAACTTATAGTATCTTTACTATAGACTTATAGTATCTTTAAGAGATGTGGAGCCAACACCTGTAATCCCAGCATTTGGGAGGCAGAGGCAGGAGTATCAGATAGCATTCAAGGCTAGCCTGGACTACATAGTGAATTCAAGCCCAGGCTGGACTACACAGCAAGACCCTGTCTCAAAAAAACCCAAACAAACAAATAAACAGAGATTTGGATGTGATAGGCCTGGAAGAAAACCAAACAAGCTGAGGGGGTTCAGATATGGATCACTCTGGGTAACTGTGTCCTAAAGTTGCAATTACTTTTAGAAGTACAGACTTAAAAGTATGATTTTACTTGTGTCCTTTTTACCTATCTTTATTTTTTCTATTCTACCTCAAAAGGACAAAACAGTTGTCAGTGTTACTAAAATACTTTTTAATATTCATCTTAACTCTTTTATTATTTTTTTATATTCTCTATTATTCTTATCTATTATCTATTTGGATTGTTTTAGTTGTTGCCTTACTGATTACACTATAAAGCTTTAATTCATTCTAGTTCATTTAGGGGTCCCAAAAATTATTTTAGGTGGGCCGGAGATTTCGCTCAGTGGTTTCGCCACCTGCAGCGCAAGCACAAGGACCTGAGTTTGATCCCCAGTACCAAAAAAAAAAAAAAATTATTTTAGGTAAAACTGCAATAATTAGAGTTTCACTAAGCCCCCTTCAACCCTTTGAGCTTTTGCTATATACAGCAATATATATTACAAACCCAATATATATGATAAGCATTTTTATTTAAAGTCGTATCTTTTAAAGAAATAAAATATATTTAGAGAAACTCTTACATTTATCCACATACTTACCATTTCTGGTGCTGCCTTTTCTGTGGATCTGAGTTATCATCTGGTATCATTTTTCCTTAGCCAAAAGAACTCATTTTTGTTTGTTTGTTATCCCTGTCCCAGCACCTTGAAATGTCTTTATTTTGCTTTCACATTTAGTTTGAATATAGGGAACTAATCTGCCTGATTTGGACTTCTAGATTAACCATTTTTAAAAACCACTCTGAATATGCCGTTCCGATGTCATCTGTCCTCCACTTTGAATGAGAAGTCTGCTTTTAATGATGTCTTTGTCCCTGTGTCTTTTTTCCCACAGTGCTTTCTCTTATTTTTATGTCTCTTATACAATGTTCTCTCAGCAATTTTTTTTTTTTGAGACAAGGTCTTGCTATGCAGTTCAGGCTGACCTCGAACTTGTGATGATGATCCTCCTGCCTCAGCCTCCCAAGTGCTGGGATTATAGGCATGCATTACCTGGCTTTTCTCAGCAACTTGATTGTGATATTCCCAGGTGTGATTTCCTTTCCATT